GATCGTAGATCTGCTCCCGCGGGAGACTGTAAGTGTGATAGAGTAGGTTGCGGTAGCAATCCTACTCACTCCACGATCCAAAAACGGAACGCGTGAAGATTCGTCTAGCATTTGTCTAGTAGCGTGGAAGTACTCCACCTGGCTAAATATCTAGAGCGATGTTTCCATCGGATGAGTGGTGTCAAGGATGAGGATCTCTCTCGTTGATTAGTTTTCATAGCTTTCTAATCCTCTCATAACTTTCATTCTCTCAAACTCAAAACACTCGAAAGATCTTTACACTAGCTTTTAGCGTAGTGCACTAGACTATAGATACCGATACTGATACAGTTCCGTTTCCGATGGCTCGCTTACACCTGGACCGTTCGACGCTTTTCACTCAGGATTTAAAAATCTTCAAATTGCCACGACTGACAACATCCTCTAAACAACCCCTTAAACAACCCCTTAAACAACCCCTTACAGCTTCATCATCCCCTTAAACAACCCCTTAAATAAACAACCCCCTAACAACATCCCCTTATATCCTCGAAACAACCCCTTAAGCCTTCATTGAAACGCAATACAACAACCCCTTATCACGAATGAACAATCCCTTAAATAAACAACCCCTTAACAACAACCCCTTAAATATTCAACATCCCCTTAAACAACCCCTTAAAGCTTCAACATCCCCTTAAACAACCCCTTAATGAGAACTGGGATAATGAGTCAGTCGTGTGCATTTCAAAGCCAGAGGAAAACCGTCGGACGGTCCAGCATTATTATTGTAGCGTTCATCTTGGAAAATGCCGGAAATCTGGAAGAAGCTGAATACAAGTAGTTCAGGTAACTAATGATATATGTGCTTTATTATTATCCCGCATCTACCTCAAACCCAATTTTTTCTTCCTCAGCCAAGAATTCTCCACCAAACTTCAAAAGTCATGCAGCCAAGACCACCACCCCTCATCAACCGCATCATCAGCACGCCAGAAGAAGCTCATTGAGTTAATTAACTGATTGAATCATTCATCTGACGCTGTTGTTACACCACCATGTTCGCTGCACGAAGATCCTTGGGGTATCCAACTGGAATCATTCTCCGACAAATCCAACTCAGGGGTATCCACTTGATGATTGCGCCAAAATCAAACTCGAGACAACTGACGAGTGCGGCACTTTCAATAGGCAATGGCGTCCGAATAGATCGACAATCCACTACTACTAATAGCACTATAAATCAACAATCCCGATGGTTGGCACGCACATCGGAAATGGCACCCGATTCTCCCGCTTTGAAAGCCAAGAATTTTATCATGCAAGTCGGCTACGACGACCCCAAGGTCGCCGAGGGCGTCATTGAAGCACTCCAACAATCGGGTGTCACTGGAACAGCTCTGCTATCGACCGTTCGCAGCATGGCCGGACGCTGGGAAGTGGGGGAAGATGCCGGATTGGAAGCCCTCGTCGAAGCCGTCAAATTGCAGCTGGTACGGAAAGAAGGTCGTACACCCATTACCATTTACTGCATCCCGGCCAATGCTTGGAAATCCAGTGAAGAGGATCAAGACGATTTCTCCCCAATAGAAGAAACACCCCAAAATTTTCAAGATGCTTTTTCCAGAGCATTTAAAGTCGAAGCCATGACGGGATTGACATTGACGGATGTGGCCAAATTCGGAGATGGCGATGGCGCTTCCGAACTCGGTGATTGTTTGGAATGTGCCTGTGCGGGCATCATGGCATGTTCCACCTGTCATGTCGTCATTGATCCACAATGGTTTGACAAAGTCGGAGAAGCCTGTGAGGATGAGCAAGATATGCTCGATTTGGCATATGCACCCAGGAGTACCAGCCGATTGGGATGCCAAATCCTGCTAGACGAAAACATGGATGGCATGATCATTCGGTTGCCCAGAGGATCCAATAATTTAATGGACGATATTCCCTTTGAAGGATGAATAAATACTAATAAGGGAGATATGATGTACCACGAGTAAGCAATAATTCTTGCCCTGCCCTGGAAAGTATTTCTGTATCAGACTCGACTCGACTCGACTCATCATCATCATTGTTGTCTTTGATATGAGCAAGGAGCTGAAAGCTGCGGATGACGCAAGAGATACGTACTATCCCAGCATTGTAGTTTTGCTGTTCCTTGTTACCTAATGCTCCCCGAGCAGTTTCTCTGGCTATCTCATCACGTCAAAAATTCACTTTTGGTTTTTCGTATCGTCCCTACGGCACTTGCGACTGCTTCCTGCACGTCTGTCGCGGTTCCCTTTGCTTGATCGTAACCGTACAATCTTTTTGATTTCCCATCGTCCGTACAGCCGCCATCGTCCTTCAGAACGATCCCTGGAGGCGACTTTGTTGGTTTGCTTAGGCTCCTCCTTGCATCGGCTTGTCAAGTCAATGCATGGGTCACTTGCAGATTGGTTTCTGCCAAGACACACATCTTCTATTGCAAGTACAACACAAGAGCCTGCACTCGAGAAACACTGCTTGTTCGTGTACCACTGGACATCTTTTGACACCCAATGAATCTCACCAGGATCCGCGTCGTTTGTCGGGGTGTCCCCACTGTATTTCGGAGATTCGACTCATCGATACGGGGCAGTGACGATGAAAGGAACCGAGGTTGTAGGTTCAACTGTGGACTTGTGTTCTGGCTTCGGATCAACGTCCTTCATTGCTACTACTAGCTGCCGTAGCCAACAATAGCTAGCCAGTTCACGGAATCCAGCTACCGGTATGCACCATTGTCGATCTCGTTTTTTTTTTAAAAAGCAGCTTAGATTATAATCGATTGATGAGGTCCTGGCAGGTATTGCCTTTGGTGTCGAGCTTGCAATGTTACGTGCAGTCCACGTCTAGTTTCAAATGGAACGTTGAAGCCCAAGCAGTGAACTGCTTTGAACTTTCTGGCTAGAGAACCGAAGCTTAACCGTGTGGAGCCCTTCGCCCCGTGTGTCCACCATCGCAGCTGATGGCATCCTGTTTTGGCTGATTGGTGGTGCTAGATGTGCTGCTTCACTGCCAGTTCGGGTCTGTTGACTGTTGGGGAGCCACACGGCTGTGTCATTCATAAAGCGTTTCTTCTGCCAGCTCCATGGCTTCGTCCAGGATGTCGACCAACAAGGATGCAGATACAACGCCGTTGCCTCCTGAACGATGCCTCGTCCAAGCCATGCACGTTTTAAAAACCGGACCTGAGGATTCATCCTAATCCGTTCCCCTCATCCACTCTTGATGCAGAGGTCCATCCGGTGTGAGAGCACAGGACGGCGCCACGACGTCGGCGGAACACGCCACAAACTGGATGCCTGTGCTATCATAAACATAACAGCAATTCTCACCACCGAGGAGGCTTTGCTCCAACTCGTTAGCTGTTGTTGTTGCGTGTTGGGGATGCGCACACTTTCGTGCCTTCTCCCGTGGACCCACAAAGACATCTGCCACGAAATGATTCACAGTGGGAGCAAAAGACTTGACCTTTTCCACATGATGGCAAATGACAACCCAATCGTCGTGTCTATTTTGAGTTGTTTCTTGTAGAACCAAGTTGTGCAAACTGCGCACCAACCATGCTGCCCACAAATCTCGTTCTTTGACTGGCACATTGCCATGCACGTGAAGCCACCCACCACCATTCGAGTTCAAAGTGGTGGTCGAGGTGTCATTCTCCACCACCGGCAGCACACCCATGACTGCCTGGACCGCAATCCTCCACCCGCCTTGACTGCTGGGCAACAGACCCAAACTGACACGATTAATAATGACTGGTTTGTTATTGTTTGGCAAGACCAAGTTTCGACAATCTCCTTCCATAACATCCACACACTCGTGCACATGATTGTCTCTCAGATTGTACCGCAAACATGCCACGGCGTGTGGATTCCATTCGCAGGCGTACACATGGGATGCCTTTCCGTGCACTAGTGCAGGTAATGTGTAGTATCCAATACCCGCGTATAGATCCAACAGTACATCTCCTTCTTGCACGAGTTTGGTTCCAAATCGGATCTTTTCGGAAATATTCCCACGGCTAAACATGACCTGTGTCACATCAAAGGACTGTCGAATGCCTTGTTCGGTAACGGTAATCCAATTCTTTTTATTGTGAGACAAGTCGGGGCCAGAAGTACTACATGTTCCGTCATGGGGTGGCCACAGGAGTTGGTAGCCTGTCTGACGGATGCGGCTGTTGGGATCGACACCCCCCTTTCGAAGGATCCGAGGACAACCAAATGTCCGAGCCACTGTGGGCCACAAATGGTGGTCCATAAATAATAGCTGTAGGTTGTTGTTGTTGTCATTTTTGAAAAACGATAATTCCAGGTCGCATGATAGCATTGCCTTGGGAGGTAAAACTAGGTTGTTGTCATCGCCCAAGAATTCCACCTTGGCAGGGCAAGTCGTTGTGCTCAAGGAATCAATCTGGTCTCTCCAATCTTTGGTGTCATTATTATCATGTTGTGGAAAGCGAGACTGAAGTGCTGCCAGCAATGCCTGTTGGAGAGGTGACCACTGTTGTTCTTTCGACTCTATTACTACTAATAGTGTCTGACGTTTGTGGCGGTTTCCAAGGACGGATGTGCTAAAGGGACAGTGCTGTCTACCGTGGCCCACAATGAGGTCCTTCCAGGTATAGTCTTCTTGTTGCAATGATGATGATGATGATGATTCAAAATAGGCAGACAGCACAGGAATGGCCAGACAGTCCACATGCTGTTCAGTGATTGCCGCCGTCATTCGAAAATCCTTGTGAATCCATCCGTGGCCTTCCAAGGCTGTCTTGACTGTCTTGGCATTCTTTTTCGGCACAAATATCACCTGCACATCATCGCCAGAAGAAGCAGTACTAGTAGATCTACTCATATGGTTGTCTTTCATTATAATACATGACACTGCAATGGGAATGCTCCTGCATGACAATGTCATGTACTATCCTCATTGCTCTCCACATTCCAAAATTGGTCCCCACATTCCAAAATTTGTCCCCACATTCCAAATTTTGTCCCCACATTCCAAAATTTGTCCCCCCCCTATTGGAGGCTACACCTATCTGGAGCTAGACTGCGGGCTTATTGCGGACACTGTAATAATAAGTGAAATGGTTTGTCCCTCCCCCCTTCAATACGTCAGCGAAGGCCCGTCAACACTCCACGCACAATCCCGAACACTTATTCTCAGCAGCAAACCAACAACAACCACGCAGCAAACGATAATCATGTGCATGTCGACAGGAAGAGCAGCAAATGCACACCTGTGGGGGTTGCTGATAGAGCTAAGAATCACGCTTCGAAGGAAACCCCGCATACCGACCCTGCGGAGCTTTTTCTAATCTGGTGAGAATGGTGGGGGAAAGAATCGAGTGTTATGATGGAAATCCAAAATCCGCATCAGTTATTAGCCAAATGAGTGAAAATTCAGCAAACATACCAAGCCCTGTGGCTAAGAAGGCAAGGACCGCAGGGCCAGGACGATGGAATGTTGACTTTGATGGTGCAGGGAAAGGTGTTGCGGATGTGCTTGCTGGTGATCTCGCTGTCGAGTGGGAACGTTTGCTTGATGTCGACAAATCAAGCCGCAAGAGCAAGCCCACGATTGAATCGTGCGGCTCCACCACAACCGGAAGCCAAGACTCAATGTTGTCCTCAGCCACTGAACGTCAACAGGGAGAGTCCCAGGATTCGTCGGGCGAAGAAATTGTAGATGGCGCAGTGACCCAGAAGGTCAATTTGAGCTCAGCTACACACAATGGGTCGTAAACCGTCTCTTGAAGATGCTGGGGAACCCCTTGACACACTGGTTGTGAGTGGAAATGCGGGCAAAGAGCTTGCCAGAGTGGTCAAACGAGATGTTTGGGGAGCAGCATTGGCAGCACTCGAAGAAGCCGAATTGGTGCACGCAGATTTGCATCCTGGGAATGTTTGTATCAGGGAACGGGATGGGAAACTTGAGGCTCTGGTTGTGGACTTGGAGGGGGCAGTAAAGGAAGGAAGCAAGTTGGAGGAGAGCCCAATCAAATATAGGGACGAGCTTCTGAACGAAAGCTCTAACACGGCAAGCACAAAAATGGACAAAGCATGGGTCGCTGCAATTCTTCAATGCCTCTGGGAAGAGGGATCCTTTCATGACCTGGTCAAGGGCGTAAGGGGGCTGAAGAATCTCTCACATGCGGAATTCAAAGAACGCACAGAAGACATACTGTGCAAGATCGTTCCGAGTGGAAGAAGTTGACTGTGCACATACACAGGCAGATTCTTTTATCTTGGGGTGTGTGTGGTGGTGACTCTATCACACTTTACAGTCTCCTGCGGGAGTTCAGATCTACGATCCTTTGATTGTGGATCTCTCTCGTTGATTAGTTTTCATAGCTTTCTAATCCTCTTATAACTTTCATTCTCTCAAACTCAAAACACTCGAAAGATCTTTACACTAGCTTTTAGCGTAGTGCAGCAACGCGGGAACTACAGAAACTCAGTGCGAGCTACAACCCCCAGGCCCTACAGACATTGGACAAGCTAGCGGCGGTACAACCTCATGACGGGGGCTCCCTCATGCAAGCACTTTCGGACGATGCATCCGAAGGAGGAGAGAAGATAACAGCTCAGCACGAACAACCGGAATCACAGCCCATGACAGAAATGGCAAACTTTTCGACGATTCCAATGACAGAACGATTTGGGAACGCACATGAAGACTGGATGGAGTTTGGGTACACGGCATCAGAAGTAGATTTGACGGGAGGACTAGGACAGGCATCCATTGATCAAGAGACTCTCGCATATGACCCAAGGACTCAGGATCCAGCAAAGTACAAGTATCTGTTCACCAAGCCAAGCACGTTCGAGGAAGCTTGGGACCACCCGGAACCATTTCAACGAGAGAAGTGGAGGGAGGCGATCAAAGGCGAGCTAGACAAGATGGAGAAAATCAAGGTCTGGCGCAAGATCAAGAGATCAAGAATGGAGGAAGGGAGACGATGTGTCAAACACAAGTGGGTACTGGAAATCAAGCGGAATGGAAGATTCAGAGCTAGATTGGTGGCCTGCGGCTACAGCCAGGTGCCCGGAATTGATTTTGACAACATCTACAGTCCGGTGGCTAACGACATCACCTTCTGCATCATCTTGATTCTACTACTAAAGAAGATGGGAAGAGCAAAGGCAATTATCTTCGATATTGAGACAGCATTCCTACATGGAGACATGGACGTAGTCATCTACATGGACTGCCCAAAAGGACTAGAACATCAAGACGACGAATATGTCATACTGGACAAGACCATCTATGGAGCTTGCCAGAGCACATGACAGTACTACTTGAAGTTTGCGAGTGTCCTGGAAGACTTAGGATTCATTCGTTACGTGTCCTAGTGATCCATGCCTCTTCATGCGGAACAAGAATGGGAAGATATGCGTGATTCTATGTTACATGGATGACAATCTCACCATTGGAGAAGAAGACGATATCAAGGAAGTGCTTCAAGGGATTAAAGATCGAGGCTTGGACATGACGATCGAGTACGAACTCACGGACTACCTGAGCTGTGAGATTCGAATGAATCCCCGAAAGGATGCTGCATGGGTGGGACAACCCCACATGATCAAGAAGATTCAAACCACATTCGGAGAGGAGGTGCAGAAGCTACCCAAGTACAAGACTGCGGGAACACCTGGACTCGGAATAGTGAAGACAGACGAACAGAGCGAATGGATCGCTGAAGAATAACAGAGCAGATATCGAACAGGAGTAGGTATGCTCATGTACCTTATCAAGCATTCAAGGCCAGAAATCTCAAACGCGGTGCGAGAACTAGCTAAGGTCTTGGGATGCGCAACGCCAGCAGCGTACAAGGAAATGCTACGTTGTGTAAAGTACGTGTTGGACTCAAGGAACCGTGGACTTTTGATGAGACCAGAGAAGAACGAAGGACCGTGGAAGTTGGAAGTATTCTCGGATTCGGATTGGGCCGGAGACAAGAACAACAGAAGATCAGTCACGTCCATGATGATCTTTCTCGAAGGTGTACTCATTCACTGGAGGTCCAAGCTACAGAAGGTTGTAGCATTGTCGAGTTCCGAAGCTGAGTTCTACGCGTGTGGCGAAGCAGTGCGGGAAGTCCCGTTCATCGCGCAGATTCTGAAGTTCCTACAGATCAACGTGGAACTACCTGTGCAAGTGAAGATCGATAACGTGGGTGCAATCTTTATGTCAGAGAACAAGACAAGTGCGAGTCAAACAAGGCACATGGATACGAGGTGGCACTACGTGAACCAAATGCAGCAGGACGGCCTAGTGAAGATTGATTTTGTTCGCTCGGAAGACAACGTGAGCGACATTGGGACCAAGAATGTCAACGTCGAGACCCTCGACAGACATGCACCAAAATTGACAGGAGACAAGGAGCAATTGGTTTGAGATGGTAAGGAGGTCGCTGCCATCATTGCGAAAACAGGAAGGGTGTTAGAAAGGTATTTTCGTATGACGGACAGACGACTAGGGATCCACAGTCACGGTTCGTGATTGGGAATATGTGACTCAGATTCAGATGGTGATCCGATCATCATCAGATGGCCAGGTGTACGAGGAGCGAGGACAATGGTCGTCTAGATGATGCAACTACAAAGGATAGGAAGTTAGGTCGAAGAGATGAAAGCAAGGAGCGATGGGACGGAGCAAATGAATGGACGGATGAAGGTCCATAGGTTTAGTAAAGTGGGAAAGCCCTCCAGGGCCAACCATGCACTTCAGGAAGATAGATCGACGAGATCTATCTGCAGATGAAACTGCGAGAAACAGAGGATCGAAAGATCCTGGTATATGTATGCATATCGGAGCTCAGTTGTAGAGCTCACAATCTGAACGAGAGAGAAAGAGAAAACGAAACGAATAGCCAGTCTACTAGACAGTAGAGCTGGAAGGATATTGATTAAATTAGAGAAATTGTGCATTCAAGCTCACACCTTTTCAACAAAAGATTTGGGGTGGTGCACCGGATCGAGCGTTGTGAGAACTTACTTACTTGAAGATTGTCCATTGCCATGGTGTCTCTTTAAGATTATTGGCCTACTACTATAGCTAGAGTAGAAGCATGCGTCAGTTCATACGGTACTGGTACATAGTACAATGAGCACCAACAAAGGAAGGAAGAAGCGGAATGCCAACGAGAAAGGTTCTGCTGGAAATGACAACAACCGTCAGGAGTCGCTTTTGGTGGCAGGAATGCCCATTGCCACTGCCATTTTGGCAAATGACATGGAAGCATTGAGCAGAACTGTCGCCAGTTTTCTCCCCAATCCAAAAGCCGTGACAATCGAAAATCTGGTGATTTCCAAATCACAAGGAGAAGCCTTTACCGGTGGAAGATCCACACCTGTCTATCACGTGAGCTGTGACGTCCTCCGAGGCAGAGGCAACCGCCGACAACGACATTTTGTGGTCAAGCTGGTGCTCATGCCGAACAATAATACTCATAGTAATGATGATGATGCAACAGAAATTCCACACTCCCTTTGGATCAAGCGAGAATCCTACGCGGTGGAGCGTCGATTCTACGACTCTGCTGCACCGCAGATACGACAACACGGACAACTGGCCATTCCCAGGTTGCTGGGTGCCGACAATGACGACCGACATAAGGGTGCATGGCCTGCCGTCTGCTTCATCATGAATGATGTCCGTCAATCGGGGTATGCCAGTCACCCCGATTTCTTGTCCCCTCCACAGGCCATGGCTGCCTTGAAGTGGCTAGCAGCCTTTCATGCTCTCTTTTGGGGACAAGCAGCTGACACGAATGATCAGGAGTGGAGGCGTGACGTGTGGGATCGGGGTGGTTTCTGGACACCCAAGCAACGAAAGCAAGACAATAACAAACAACAACAAAAATCAACCTCCTCCGTAAGAGTGACAGGGCTGGCACAGCAATGGAACAAAACTGTCAAGTGGCTCGAGGGCAAGCATCCGGATGCCATTTCATCGTCAACCAAGAGTCTGGGGGCACGCCTGGAACATGTGGCGGGACCTATTGCCGACTTTTTGATGCAACAATCACAACGAAACTGTGGCAGCACACTGCTCCATGGAGATTACAAAGCGGCCAACATGTTCTTTCGGGACAATGCTGAGGAAGAGGAAGATCAACTTGGAATGGAGGATGTAGCCGTCCTGGACTTTCAGTTTGCGGGCATGGGGGTATGTGCCGAAGACGTGGCGTATCTGTTGTTTCCCGATGCCAGAGGGGACTACTTTGACATGGAGAAGGAGCTGTTAGAATGCTACCACGAGGAGCTCATTTCGCAGCTCATGATTCAACAAAAAGGCGGTCCATCGTCCCTATCCTTGGAGTCGTTTCAGGCATACTACGAACTGGCACGCATTGATTTTTTGCGGTATTTGCTAGTGGAAAAGGGCTGGATTGGGAGCAATGAGGGGGACAAGAGACTCGTAAAGGCACTGGAGGGCACCTTGGATCGAATCGACGGTGCCATTTCCTCAACGAATAATAATCATGAGGACGACATCCTGCAAGCCTTGTCCAGCCTTGTATCCTGACCTGCACGACTCGAGTCGAGTCTAAACTGTCTGGAATTGGGTGCGGGACTACAGTACTACCATACCGTTACGGCGCAACAGGAGCTGTTTACAAAAGGGAGCTACTCCCGTGTTCGAACATACATTGATTGATCTCCATACCGTATCGGTTCGGTTCGGTTCGGTTCGGTTCGGTTCGGTTCGGTTCGGTACAGAGGGTGGTGGTGGGTTTCATCCTGATCTTTTCATGGGCATGTCACCACAACCAACGTTCCTTAGTCGCAGTGCCTTTCTCGAAACGCGTCAACCCAGCTACGGTAGTTGATTGCGAAGAATTGAATCGAGCGTTTGTATAGCTAGCCAGATGAATTTTTCTTTTTACTACCGCCACCATGCAGCGTAAGCATTTTTAATGACACACGTCTAGCTATAGTCAATTGAGCTTTTTAAATTCTACATATAGCCAGTGAGATAGATAGATAGATAGATAGATAGATATAAGTAGGTTGAATTGAATTGAAAGATTGGTAGATTGAAATACACGTAGCTTCCATCCAAGAACTATCCATCCATCCAAGTCTTCCGGTTGCATCATTCTTGCTGGTTGTTGTCTTCCAATATTCCTTCATTCCATTGCCATTCCATTGTCATCATATATATATATTTTACTCAAATGCATTCATAAAGGTAACTTCCTGGGTTTCGACTTCCCCTTCCATACATTCGAGCACTTCCATGACTTCTTCATCAAAATCGGCTTCGAGGGCAATCGTAAAGGACGTATAAATTTTTCCATTTTCGACCTTGCAGGCATCGTCCCATTTCAACTTGTAGTCGGGTTGGGATGTAATGGTCTCCTTCATTTTGGTGTAGAGCGTTTGTGGATCGACGCCGGCACACGGCTTGACGGCAATGGCCACCATGCGGCGGTCTTGCATTTCTTCTTGGGCGGGTGGTGCTGCTTCGGACATGATGATGATTAATCAAGTTGATTTGATTTGTGGTGGTATTTTATTGTGAGGACTCTATCTGTCTATCTGCAACTGCGGCAATGAAACCCAGACGTATCTTGTTGTTGTGATTGAGATCTAGAGAGGAAACGTGTGGTGGAATGAAGATTGACGGTAAAGAGAACCAATGACACGGAAAATCTTTGTGTGGCTCTGGAACGAGGGGACTGACAGACGGTGTGAGTGTGCGACTTTGCGTCTAAAAGATATTGTGAGGGTTCTGGCGATGGAGTGAGTCGAATAAGTCGAACCGTAATCGATTCAAGGGTATGATCGGGCAGAAGCAACGGCCAAATCCAAGGACCAACAGACCCAAAGCTGTCTATACGGGACCCCAGCGGCACAAGTTCAGCAAAGCAGAGATTGAAGATAGCTGAGTGACAATCGAGTCCAACTAGAGGATAGATTGGAGCAAGAGAGCAGACTTCTGCAGAGGGCTCGAGATCTCTAGCTAGCTAGTAGAGTGGCCAGGAAGCAAGAGAGTAGAGAGACAAGCGAGGCAGAATTCTAGCTGGCGGTCCATCAGTTTTCTGTCATTTTCGCTTGCCATCTGACTGACTGCTGTCTATTGATAGGATGGGTCGATCTGGAGACGCTGACTATGGCGAGGAGGTGCTTATCGACGACGAAAAAGGAAAAGCAGAAACAGAAGAAGAGAATTTCGAATGGCGCGATGAAGCAGTTCCTCCCGTGACGCCTCCCCGCAAGGTGCGATTGAAGAGCGACCGTGACAACAATGCGAACAACAGTACCACAAGCAGTAGCAGTAGATCCAAACGCAGCACCCTAAAGCGTCGTCATTCCTCTTATCATGCCACCACCACCACCACGAGTATTCATACTACGAGTAGCCTGAGTGAGGAAGAAGAAGAAGAAGAGGACACGCCAAGGACAAGATCCCCGCCACCACGTCCTCACAAGAAGAAGAAAAAGATGCACTACAGCGATGACGAAGATGATGATGAAGAGGGACAAGAAGAAGACGATGAACAGCCCGAAGTGGAGTCGACCGAAGATATGGACAGCGATGACGATGGAGAAATTTCCGAGGCGAGTGCGGAAATCATTCTGCCCAAAAAACAACTCGTCTATACCACCGGTTGCTCCTTTCTAGAGAGTCTTCCATTGCCCGTCATGACTCCGCCGAAAAAGAACAAAAACAAAAACAAATCTGGTCACAACAGCACCCACAAAAAGCCAGAGACCAAAAAGAATGACAACAACAACGGCAAAGAAGAAGAAGATGAAGACTCGTTTGTCTCGGCCCGAGAATACGAATCCTCAAAAGACGACAGTTCCATTGTGTCACAAGAAGAAGAAGACGACGATGATGATCCCGATTGGAGGAGCCGTCGAACCACCACCATCACCCGACGCACCAAGAAACGCAAAACAACACCCATCAAAGACACTTCTCTTCCCAAACGTCGTAGTCTGACACCTCGTCGTCGGCGGCGTCGACAGAAACGCACTCCCAACAACAAAGAGGTGCGTTCCCGAAGCCGCTCCAAAACACGACACATTAGCAGCAGCAGCGAGGAAGACGAATCTACGACGACCAGTAGTCGCAACAAGAAGAAACAGACTAGTACCAGTAGTCACAACAAGAAACAAAACACCAACCACAATAAGAAACACAACTTGACGTCGGCCAAAAAGAAGAAACCCAAAGCCACGTCCGAGGAAGAAGACGACGAACAGGAATTCTTTGGACAAGTACAACGAGAGGCACAAATGCTACTACTCGAGGAGGAAGAAAAAGCTGCTGCTGCCTCCAATAATACTAACAACAGTGACGAGGAAGACAGTAAGACGTCGAGTGTGAGCAGCAGTGATCAGGAAGCCAAGGACGATGATGACATGGATGTAGTCCCCGATACTAGTCACGGCGACAACGACACGGAGCAACAAACCGAAACGACCACCACCACCTTGCTACAGTCAGAGGGTGTCGTCCCCACTGTCGATCATTCCGACGTGGAAGAACAACGTGAGGTGGAACAAAGTGAGGAGGAAAACAACAAACCGGTCGACCAAAACGACACCGAACAAGCAAGTTTCGATGATGACGACAACAGCAACCGCAACAATCACACCGTTTTGGAGGAACAGCAGCAGCAACAACAGGGAATGGAAGCTGCCGTCCAAACCCATGACGAGCCAGAGCAGGAAGAAATGGTTGCCATGGTGGCGCAAGAGAACGACGACGACGACGACAACCGTTACACTACTTTGGCCGACCAGGAAATGGAGGAACCAGAACAGGTGGCTACTACTGTTGATGCCAACGCGGAGCAACCACATCATCAGCCGACCGAGGACGCATCAAAGATTGCCGTCGAACCTCGCACCGCCGTTGAAGTGGAACATGAAGAAGTCGCCACGGAAGCAAACCGCAGCAACAACAACAACAATAGTGGCACCACTTTGGCCGACGAGGAAATGGAGGCGCCAGAACAGCTGCCTACTGCTGATGCTAACGCGGAGCAACAGCTGACCGAGGAGTCAAACACAACCATGGAATCTGCCGTTGAGGTGGAACACGAAGTAACGACACAAGTCGCCACGGAAACAAACCACAACATCGCTGTACAAGAGAACGACAACAACAACAGTGGCACTACTTTGGCCGATCGCAACCAGGAAATGGAGGAGCCAGAACGGGTGACTGCTACTCCTGATACCGACGCGGAGCATCAGCCGACCGAAGAGTCTACAGCGGAACCTTCCACCGCCGTTGAGGAGGAGGAACACGAAGAAACGACGCAAGTCGCCATGGAAACAAACCACAACAACAATGTTATTGCTGGCGAGGAAGAAGACGAGGCGGAACATCCACCGCAACTCGTCAATACTACCACTGTCATTGTTGTTCCAGCAGCACAACAAGACACCGCGAGCATCTTCCGCGGGGATGACACTAACAGTCACAGCGAGCAAGAATCCTCCACCACCAAGACGGTCGACGACGACGATGATACTCCAGAGGAAATGGATGGGATCCAACGCACTGGCAGTAGCGGTGACTCGAGCAGTATTAGCAGTCTTCGTAGTACGGCCGAAGAGGGCAAGAGTGAGGGACACAGCAAACAACCTGAAAATGAGGACGAGCACACGGGGACGGCCAATGATGAAGTGGTCTTGACTGTCACTCCTCCAGCAATCTCAGATCCTCATGGCGACGAAAGCATGATGACTGCCCCTACCAACCAACAGCCAGAAACGGAAGGAGTTCAGGACGACGACGACGACGACGACGACGACGACGACGACCGACAAGAGACAGCCAGCATGAATCATGATGAAATTATTTCTCCTGTGGAAGCTTCCGGCGAAGAATCGGCACAGGAACAAAATACCACCGCCACCAACCAAGAGGCAGTCGTCGACGTGCAACCCCAAACTGAAGAAGGCAACAACAATGACGTGGTGACGGCTGCAGCTGTGGTTCCTGACCAAGAGGAACCAAAACGAGCATCCACCGCTCCTGTAGATGACAAAAAGGAGGCCCCCCAAAACAATGGCAAGAACCACGCTCCGCCAGTGGCAGCAGTATCCCCTGCGCAAGGAGATAACAACATCAACAGCAACGCGGGCGAATTGGCTGCCTCTGCAACAACGCGCAAAGCTGCTGCTGCTGAGCGAGCTAGTAGCAAGGCTGTCCCTGTTACTCCGCTCCGTCCAGTCAAGAAAATGATGACTCGTGGCTATGCAAAGCGAAAGCTGGCGCAACTGGAGGAGGAAAGGAAACAGGAAGAGGAAGCCGCCATCGCAGTGATTGACGGGAAGCAGTGGAAGGTGTCCATCGCAGTGCATAATAACAGTGATGACAACAATAATGAGTGTTTGGACTTGGAACAAGTGGCTTCACCATCACCGGCAACAAACACCACCACCACCACTGAGACACCAGTGGTGGGAGCAGCAACGGTGGCAGCAGCAACAGCGGCAGCTGCAATGGCCACCTCTGAAACTCAAGTGCAGCCAGCTCCTGCTCCCAACCACCAGGTGACTAATCCAGCCCCTGCAGCATCACAGAACGACGCAAGTGACGCTGTCCTTCCGGCCGCAGCTCCTGATGTCCTTCCAGCAGCTGCTGATGCTGCCGCCGCCCATGCTGATGCTGCCGTCGTCGCCCCTGCTGCTGCTGCTGCTGCTGCCCCTCGATGCCCTTGTTGTCGCTTGGGTGAAAATGTTCGAAATTCTTTCGAATCGCTTGCCGAGTGGATGATGGACAATGGCAACACAGATATGCTACACAATGAGTTCATCAACCACAGTGGTGAACCCAATGATGGAGATGGAGTCGAGCCAGCCACCAGAGCAAGATCCTTGTGTGATCAGTGCAAATCACTCTGGGACACTCTGGCTGAAGATTATTGTACCCGCCGAGAGAGCGAGTTAGTGGCCCCCTTGAACAAAGACATGTTTCCAGAAGAAATCTTCAAAATGGGTGGGGTGAACACAGAGTTCATGGATACTTTCATCAACCTCAAACGAAAAGTCACTGAGACAAAGGCTCGTTTCAAAGACTTTGGGCGGATCCCAGCTACCAATGGACGAGGCAAGTTTCAATACTTGGTGGGAGACAAGTCAGCCTCGCAAAAGCGTTGGAACTGGCAGGATTCCAAACTTCTGGAGCAAGCACCGCTGGAAACGGAAACACTGGAGCAGTTTGCTTTGGACTTTGTGGCTGCCCAGCTTCCACTGGGCCGCAATGGCTATCGGATTGATCCTGGGTTTGTAATGACCCAAAAGGCCATGGTACAAGGGCCTCACCGTGACTACCATGGCTACGGTGACTTGTACACTCACCGCAGGGGTGAGGATGTTGAAGGCAAGCCACCAAAAGACGAAGACCGTACTGCCCTGGACAAGCCCGAAACTCGGTTCCTGCCCTGGATTCTTGTAAGTGATCTTTTGGGTTGGTTGCTCAATTTGGTGGCCGTGCTGTTGTTGTCATTGATCTCACCATACTTTTCTCCCAGCATTGTCCAATTGTCAAGGAAGGGATGGAACTGAATTACTGGCCCGATGGCCGCAAGTCTGAGCCACCAATCCGCGTTCACATCCCTTTTGGCACCTTCTTGGCAATTCGAGTTGATGCTGTCCATGGCGGCATTTTTGGCACACCAGGCAACATTCGCCTGCACATAGCCTACTCCCCCAAGGAGGACGCCATTCTGAAAAAGGGTGCAGAGTGGAAGAAACAGGGGGATTACTTGCCGGACGCTGTCATCCGGTACCATGCTGATTTGGGGGCCCCAGAGGCCGGTCAGTTCCAGCGCCGCCTGGATCTGCTAAGGCAGGACATCATAGATTACTGTGATCCTGCTGGCGTTGACGACTGCATCTCCAACCTCCCCATCACCTACGCAGAGCCTGGGTTTCTCCAGAAGATGCTCAATCTGCGCTCTGTTTTCAGGTTGGAGATGTTTGAAAACGTCCGGCAGAGGTGAGCAGGTGGTGGGTGATGTGCTGGCATGTGGTGTTTTAAGTTGTGGGGGTTGCATGGTTTGCATTTGTTGGGGGTGTTGGGGTTTCTGGTCTGTGTCAAGCTACTTGTAAGAACAGTAAAGTTAGCAACCAGTTCTACACGCTCATTTCTGTGCAGCAGTTTTGTGTGCCGTTCCTTGTATTGTTCACCTTTGCGTCTCGCTAGCTAGCTTGTTCAGTGCAGATTTTCCTTCCATGCGCTGTCTACCTAATCTAGACCCCCGTTTGATTTGGAAAAAGTAGTTGTGCTGTTGATCTTGTAGCACTTGGTGTCATGAGCAGTGTCGTGACAGAACGTCCAGTTGCTGGGCACAATTCAGTGCAACGAATCCATACTCCCTCCACGAGATCGAGTTCAAGTGTTGCAAAACAGCGGTCTTGGCCATCGGCCGCCCTTCACCAACAATCGGGCGATTGTGAGAATTGAATGCAACGAAGGCGGGCAGAAAGTACAACGCCGGAGATCCATTCCAGGGCTCACGGCTCACACGACGAGCCATAAAGGCGTAGCGTCTGTTAGCGTTTCCTCGGCACCGGTCGCGCCATAGTGCTGAAACGAGCCTCGAGTTGCTGTGTTACGAGGAGTTGCACAATCGCAGAACAGGACGCGAGTAACTCGTGGCAACTTGCTGTAGTCACAGTTGGCAGCGTTGCTTATAGCCTCATGAATCCGAAAGAAGGGGCGAGCATCATCTCGACGTTTCTCGTGATTGTTTGGCGGCTTGTTCCAACGGAACGGTTGTTTTGTGTGTCGGGCCAGAAGACCCACCGTATCCCGATCTTGGTAGGCATCGCCTCAATTGTCCACCTTGTTGCTCGTCAATTCGCCCCAACGAGTGCAGTTTGCTTCCCGTAGCGGCATATGCATACGGTACCACCAGAAAGAAGAGGAAGCCTCGCGTATTCCTTCCTCTGGTCGAATGGGCAGTTCGTTTCGATAGCGCAACCGTATTTTTCCGGCCTTCGATACAAGAGACCAGTACATGTAGATTGCTCGTTGAATAGCCTGTAGAAGCGTCGCAGTCCTTCCGAGAGAGTGGCTGCAGTCCCTCCAGGAGAGTGGTTCTGCTCCCACCCCAACGGAAGCGGAAATTAAGCTGCCTGCGTGGAGCAGATGTCGCGGGTGGAACGGGACGGGCAAAGGCAGGTTAAAGACCGCACATGCAACACGCAAACGTTTGCCTACCGGCATGATCGGGTAGAGAGCCACTCTGAATGGCTCGAGTCCTCAGTCGCCCCTGCTTCCAACATCTGACATCGCCGCCTGCGACCGTCCACCGACCAAGAGCTCCTTTGCTGTTTCCTCTCTACATGGAGTTGACGCACCAGCGAGTCATTGAGATTGTCACGAAAGCGTTAGCATTGATTAGGGCTATTCAGTAGATTGCCACCAAAGAATCTGTGGTACCGGGACTTCCTGGTTGCCATGGAGCGGCTAGAAGTTCAGACCGAAGCAGCTGGAAGAATGGAAGATTCAGTCGATCAGAATAAACCAAGTCGCCAGAAAAGCGAGCGACGTAATGTGTGCGCCGTTGTACACAAATCTTGCGTTAGTAGTACCATCGCTGCCCTCGATGGCTTGAATCTCTTTCGAACAAACATCCGTCAGCAATTTGTAGAGGAACACGCGTGAACGTATCTCTGGACTGCACTGCTATCTAGCTAGCCCATCGACGAATCAAATCAGTTAGGATTGCCCATACCCACTCGACGAAGGCCGAAAGAAATGGCAAATGTTGCGAAGACGACTGTAGCGAACATGCATGGGTTGTTGCCGCGCTGCGCGGAAGTGCATGCCAGAACCGAAGCTTACATGTGATTGCAAAGGGCCCATATATTATACATCCGTCAGGCAGAACAAGTGCTAGCACTGGGTTGAGCCGGAACCTGCTGGTATTGCGAATCGAATCGCGTTCTTCGCTCGCGAAAGCGATGAACGCACGGAAGCGACATGGCTTTTTATGAGCCATAGACCAGAAGGAAAAGGCTAGTTGGGTGCTTTTCTTTTGAACGAGTAGATCCGCCTGGTCCAGCACGGACACTTGACACTAACCTCCCCCTTTCTAGCTCGCTGCAATAAGTAACTGGTATTGTCCTGGTTTGAGGGCGGCCACTTTATCTACTATTAATACGGTACCATGGGAGTATCGCTGCCACAGTCAATTGTCATTTGGCAGTGATCTTCCTTGGAGTGAATTAGGGCTGGAAGGTTCGGTCCGAGGCCAGCATACAGTAAGGTAGATCTTTGGACGCACCGTTGACCATCACGGCAGCAAAATTCAAAAAGCAGCTCCAGCACGCCTCCGACCTCTGAAATGCCCGCCATTACTACAGCTGATATAGTATTATACTGGCAGTCAAGATGCCACCAACGACAGCAACTCTACTGTAGCACAAGTTTACCTCCAATAATGGCATCCAAAAAGCGTCGCTGCCATCAAATTCCCAGTATGAAAAAGCACCAAGGAACGAAGTACCGCCCGTCATGCTCCGTGACCATGACGAAAGGGCTGGGAATAGTACCAATGGTGCTTCCAGCAAAGGGAAAAGAGACAGCACCAAGGAAGCACCAAGGAACGAAGTACCGCCCGTCATGTTGATACTGGCTGCAGCATATTGATACTGCAGCATGTTGATACGTAGCAGTGGAGTTGTAGGAAGTAAGACAATTGATGATCTCCACAAAAGAGCACTGCTCACTGCTTCCACTCATTCATCATGACAACAATGCAACCCTTCATGACAAAGCCGAGAACAGTTGCTAGATGTATCAAATTGCGAGTGACTAAATTTCCTGGGCTGTCAGCAGTAAGACTGCTGACAATGAGTGACCTACCCTTGAAAAGAAAACATTCCCGAGTTGGCACGATTTCAATTGGAATGGCTTTCAGTGTGTTAGTGCGGGTGTTGTTGAGCATTGTTGGTGGGATTTCACTCTGCAATAGGAACCTGCATGCCATCGGTATCGTATAAGACTGGTTGCCATCGTATGAGACTGGTTGCCGTCGTATGGGACTTGTTGCCGTCGTATGAGACTTGTTGCCGTCGCAGGAGACTTGTTGCTGTGCTGGATCATGTTGCCGGACGTCGTGTTACAGTCTGGAGATCTAACAGCACTAGCACCATTGAGCCAATTGTGCCTCCTCTTGGTAAGCCTGTAGTGCAGTAGCCGTTGTCCCAGCCTGTAGCCGTTGTCCCAGCCTGTAGCTGTAGCTTGTAGCTGTTGTCCCAGCTTGTAGCTACAGCTATTATAGCTGTAGCTTGTAGCTGCCGTCCCAGCTTGTAGCTGTTCCAGCCTGTAGCCGTTGTCCCAGCCTGTAGCCGTTGTCCCAGCATGTAGCTGTTGTTCCAGCAGGTAGCGTTGTTCCAGCATGTAGCGTTGTCCCAGCTTGTAGCGTTGTCCCAGCTTGTAGCTTTGTGTCAGCCTGTAGGTGTAGCCTCACTGTTATCCCAGCATAATAGTAGGCTTACCATATTGTAGTACGTATCTGTACTATTAGTACCGTAGTAGCAACCGATGGATCCATTGAGGCTGTCCATGGAAGCCATTGTGGTATGGCATGTGGCATGTGGATTGGGGAGAGCTGAAAGAGAGGAGTATGTACGGTACCTATTCCACCATTCCACCGTTTTCCTAGAGGAATTCATTGAGGTTTTGTAAATAAATAAGTGTCTCACTAGCTTTTTAAAAAGGGAGTTTTAAGGAAACTGTTAAATCACCTTGTGCTCTTGTGGAATGCTTTGGACACTTCAAACCATAACCAAATGTGATGGTTTAAAGTTCGCAACATTGTTTTCTTTCCCTGAATGCTTAATAATTACTAGTGCATGTTTTAACACATCAAAAGCACTTCAAGAAGGCCTCTTAATTGCAGAATCAGCTTTTGTACTCTTTGCCTCTATTCAAAAAAGCCAAAGTAAATTGCACAAGCCACCCCCAGACCCCTTCTATGTTTAAATCGTGAGGTGACCTCACGAATGAGTGAATGACGAGTCGAGTGGTGGATAAATCAAATCCTAATCAATTTTTGGGACCGGTTTCAAAAATTCATTAGGACTCGATTTATCCACGACTCGAATCGTCGTTCGTCCGGCACTCCGAGGATATGTACGGTATGATACATGTATCTGGCCTGCTATCGGCACCGTTCTAGGTCGCACGCTGTATTACCGGTAAGCGATAAGTGTGCCGGCACCCCTCGGTTGTTGGTGAGCAATCAAACAGCTCGCTTGGCTTAAATCGAAGAACACGTTTGACGCGGCAAGCGTAAGCATCATCAGTCGGGTTTCAAGCAAAGATCCATTTTCTTTGGAACGACACGGCTGAATGAGAAATGTGCTGTACATGTACATCAAATGAAGAGGACTCACTCATCAAAGAAGGCCACACGCCCACAATCATCCCAACGCAACGGAGGCACTCCAAAGATTGGACTAAACAATGACGGAAACCAACGACGCCGACAACGACCACATAGGCTGGCGCGCTGCCGCCGTTGCCGGAACCCAGCCTGACGGAATGTCCAAAAATGCGTTTAAGAAACTCCTCAAGGCGAAGGCGAAGGAGGAAAACAACGCCACAAGAAAGAAACCTACAAATCACTATTGTGGCGTGTGCTCGCGTCGCTTTATCACGTGGCAGGGGCTTGGCCAACACATGATGGCCAGGCCCACATGGTGTGACGGAGCGTTGAGTCGCGCAGAGTTCGTCCCCATTGAACCTGTTCCCACGGCACCCTACCAAGACGAAGCTGGTGGATATGGGATCGCGTCCAACACTTCAAAAGCCAATGAGCCCCGAGAAGCCGGTACCAGCTCGAGAACCCGAGTGTCCGTGAGGAAGCCAACCGCGCGTACCAATACGAGCACCAAAGTATCCGTGGCGTCCTCGGTATCCACGGGTCGGCTTCGCACAATCACTGAAGAAAAGAAGACATTCCCTTGCAACCTTTGCGACAGGAAGTTTTCTTCATGGCAAGAACGTGACAGCCACACGATGGTCCACCCAGAGCATCTGAGGCAGGTTTATGCGAAGGAGGGCTTGGCTTTGGACAATGGAGCCGCCTTGGAACTTTGGTGTCAGATGGCGGCTTGCAGCTCAAAAGGTGACGATGACGTGGACTACACGGCGGTAGAGGACGCTGCTCGCATGCTTCAAGACAAACACGATGATGCCGTCGTGGCTGTGGCTCTCCACAACTATGAAACGTTCTTTGGCATGGAGGACGGAACTGCAACTTATGCACAAGTCAATGGCACATCCGCAGGCATCGACGGCTGGGCCTCGAGTGCTATAAACAATGTTTCCATCGACAACCAACAAAACGACAATGACGAAGGAAAAAGCAAACCGGCAGATCATGTAACCGCCAAAGAAGACCATCGAGGCGACACCGAGGAATCCCGGATGCTGAAGCGTGCGATGATGGAGTCCCTGCTGGAGGCACAAGGCGTCCGTGTCCCCGAGAGATTGGTGGACAACTGCAGGGACAGCGAAGATGAGGAAGGATTCTACTATTACGAAGGATCCTTCTATGACAGTGAATCAGACAATGGATCGGATGATTGTTCCGATGATTTGGATGATGACAGCGACGGGGCACGCTCAGTCGACGCCGAAAGCTTCACCATACAACACGACAGTAGCAGTGGCAGCAGCGATGAAAGCTGGTCGCGTGTCTCGGATGGCTGGTCGCGTGAGGAGGGCGCTTCCGTGAATGGTTCGCGCTGCAGCGGTTGGAGCATCGTCGAGGGAGATCCCTTGGAGGAGGATTAGGCGCACCTACTTTCCTCGACGGCCAGTCCTGCGAGAAATACATAAACCAGAGTAAACATAACAACATAACAAGCTACATGACATTGTACATCACAGGGGAACCAGCCAGCGACTTGGGTTAGACGCAAAACACCCCACCAACCGCCGAGCCGGAGTTGAAAAGACCTCAGCCCCAATTGATATTTTGAATGATTCAATAATTTCCCCACAGTAGACTACGATGTACTCTAAAACCCCCGTTATATTCAATACGCATGACTCGAGTGACTCGACTCAATGTTGAGGGGACGGGACTCGTCACTTGACTCAGTCAGAGTCAGAAGAGCTGTCAAAGAAATTACGATGTACCGTACCTTGCCTCTTTGGATGTCAAGTCTGTCAAATTGATTCATGGAACCAATTGACTTGGTCAAGCGCACCTTCGGCAATGTACCACAATGAAAATTAATAGTAGTAAGCGTTATTGCCCTCAACGGACTGAGGGTCTTTCACACTTTTATCGCTGTATGTGTATGTGTATGTGTGTGTGTGTGTGTATGTGTTGTTGTGTGGATGTGTGTGTGTGTGTGTGTGTGTGTGTGTGTGTGTGTGTGTGTGTGTGTGTGTGTGTGTGTGTGTGTGTGTGTGTGTTTGTGTGTTTGCAGCTGTTTTGGTCACATAGGGGACCTTTCCTCGTTAAGGATAGGGATTATATTGTGTGTTCAGCTGGACACAGTAGTTTCAACATATGGGTACCAGTTCTGGCTGGCTATGCAGACCACTAGTGTGTCCAGATAAACACGGTGTAAGTTTTGCCAAAGACATAAGTGACATTTTCCTTGTTAAGGATAGGGATTGATATTGTGTGTTCTGTTGGACACAGTACTTTGGACCCTTACTGGCTGGCTATGGAGACTTGCTAGTGTGTCCAGTTGAACACGGTAAAGGATTTGACCAAAGATGTTAAGGATTCGATTGGGGAATCCAATCAAATCTCTTTTTGACAGTTGAGGGCATCAGCCTCCGGCTGCTTGTTCTAAAATGTACTTGTTACAGTTGTCAGTGCTAATCCTTGCGTCGAAAGCAATGAAACAGGTAAAAGCATACTCCAGGATGGACCTCCAACATCCAAGGATCCTTTTGCCGGTCAGGACCAAAGGGCAGTCTCATTGTCCTGCGAACATTGCCATCAAGACTCCAGCGAGATGCCTCAATAAATCCAAGGATTATCCACTGGCATAATGACTTCGATTTCTCAAGAAAGTGAACTGACAGGATTTAGGAAAGCGTCTTGAAAAGTCTTGAGGAGAGGTTCAATGCGTGTTTCAATGTCGTCTTCGGAGCTGCAGGAGAATCTTGAATCTTGTTCTGTTAGTGAGTTGGTGTTGAGGTTTGAGCTCTTGGGAAGTGAGGGAATTTGTTGGCCGTAGCCTGTCCCGGCGAGACGGGGTTGAACTGTGTTTGAACCAAGCAGGTTTGTCCACTGCTCAATGCTACAGTGCTTCTCGGCTGCCGTACTGCTTTTAATTCAATCTAATGTTACGTTCCAGTCTCTACTACTAGCTAGTCCAGAAGAGTGCTCTAGCTAGTATCCTTACCAGCTCTGCAATACTCCTACTAGAAGGAAAGTTGCTTGGTAACTTGGTGTGAAGTTGGTGATTAACTAGTTTCAGTGATGCATGCCATGGTATTGAAGCTCCCTGTGTTGCGCGCACCTATTCTTGTATCTTTGGCTGGTTACGTTCCGGTAGCTCGCTCCGATGCCTACCTAGTAGCCTGATAAGCTGCGCTAAAGCTCTTGCAACTCGCCCGAACATTACTGGCTGGCAGGCAGCTCCAGGTTCTTTTTCATCTCGACTTTAATGGAAGCACCCCAGTTGTGCTTGGCTCTGTTGTTCCTCTCCCAGGCAACGAAGCGGCTCTTCTGAGCCTGCCCATTGAAGATAGATTGTCTCATTATCCCGCTGCTAACTTCTAGACTAACTTGACCGGCTTCGCCGAACTGTGAAAGGCAATGCGACCACTACCGTAGCTTTTGGTGGTACCAAAGCTAATGAATTAAGTTCCATGTTGCTTGCTTCTATCGCGGGTTCTCGTACGACTCGTACGCGAGGACAAAGAATCGACTCGACTTGACTCGGACTCTCTGTTTGAGGTTAGTTTTTGGCGCTGGCTGGTTAGAAAAGTTCAAAGGCGTGATTATCACTGACCTTTAAAGTTTTACAGATTCTGAGCTTCAATGAGAACAAGCAACAGTTATCATAATAGTAACTTGGTTACTGTAGCTATCTAGCAGCTAGCTAGATTGGCAACCGTGGTGGCTCGGGAGTTGCCAGGGAATGAGAGCGAACCAAAGGCCAGCCAGTGGTCGGGGCCTGCACTGCTCATGCTGCACTTGCTTGGTGGTGCTTTGAGTTTTGTTTTCAAAGGTGATTATTATGATCCTGACATTTTTTTGGAAAATCAATCAGAAGTTCAGCACCATAGACAGCAGCGGGTCAAGGGCCTGCACTGCTGCGAAAATTGTTGCTGTCGTTTGAGAACAAAGGATCCGTGGCCACCATGATTCTGAGGCAAGCAAGGGGCCATTTGTGGCAACTTTAGAGAGGCAAGAGTGAGAGGCGAACGAACTGAAACATTGAATTAAGAATCGTGCTTACTGCAACGTCTGCCGACTGCTGGACTCATGCACTGCCTCATGGAGGCTTTGATGTGCCTCCGCTGTGGCGAGAACCGGTACCTAGCTAGATTCGATTCTGTCATCTATCCCTCGACTGAATTGCCACATCAGGACCCGCCTTTGACAAAGATCTACTGATGAGCTACATGTAATCGGCGTACGGTACCATCGAGGGCGGGGTTCAAGTGTCTGTGTACCACCGGATTTGTTGTTATAGTGTTATGGTAGCTGTACCACCATTGAAGAGAACAAGCACTGGAACGCATGTATGTAGTCAAAATCCCTCAGACCCCTGAATCGAATCTATATTCCGAACCCGATGTGGTTGGTCACTGGTAGGATCCAGCTGCACGTTTGCTTTAATCTCTCATAGTCTTCCATCTACAGGCTTTAACACCTCGGTTGTGTACAACATGGTGTAATGGTTGTACAATTCACACAAGTTTTACGGATGGCTTTGATTTGCGGCTGACTTGCTCATGCGGCTCATGATGGGCCTATGAAGGAGCGACTTAAAGATGGCCTTTGTATCAGTGTTTCAATTACATAATTCCCTATTAATAGTAGTATACTTTTACCACTGGCAAGTTGGTAAGTTGGTGTTGAAGCTCTTATGGTACATAAGGTGTGTTCGTGTGTTCGTGGACAAAGGTAAACCCTTTGTGTCTTGGACAATCTTTTTCTTCCTTCCGATGTTCGATGGAAAATCAGGCAAAGATGGTTTTGTGATTACCTTGTGTCGACCACCATCTCGTTTTTGCCATTGGATCGCCGTCTCCGCACGTATTGCATCGAGGGCGTCTCACTTACTTCATCATCAATAGGTTGATAGTCGTCCACTAGCTAGTTTGGCCTGTTTCTTCTTTGGAGAGTTGCCGAGTCTGACAACACACACAACTTAATTGCTGATCAAAACGTTGCAGCAAAGGGCATAACTTCACAAATCTCCTCCTGTCATCTTCTCTTCTCTCTCTGCTCCAACTCTCTCAGCATTGCTCCTACTAGCTAGTCTTTATCAATCAATCAAAGTATGACAACGGATGTTTCTAGTACGACCAACGCGCGGCTGCAGCTGCAGCAAACGCACCATGGTCTGGACCGCGTCAAGTCGGCACCACAAGCGGTAGTAGAATCCAATAATTCGCTACGATCGTCGCTCCGCCCAGCACTGCGCAAATCGTTGGCACAGCGGCGCAAGACGACTTGCGGTGCTAGTAGCAGTTTGCGGCAATCCATCAAGTTTTCGACCAAAGATTTTGTCACCAAAGCCTGTGGCGATCTCGAAATGGACTATGACATGGGTCCGTTGTTGGGTGAGTACCGTCGCATCTAGCTATAACTAGATGATGATGATCTGATCATTCATTCATTCCTTCGTCTTACTTACCCTATGTCTCTCTTGTCTTTCCTCTCCTCTACTCTTCTATCAATCTATCTATGATATCAGGCGAAGGCGCGTATGGCGGAGTCTACGCGTGCACGCACAAAGAGACGGGTGCCGAACGAGCCGTCAAGATTGTACCCAAATCATTGGATGAGAAACAAAACGACATGGTGATTCAAGAATTCAACGTGCTGAAAGAACTCGATCATCCCAACATTGTCAAGAACTATGCGCTCTACGAAACCGACACGCATTTTCACATTGTCACGGACGTGATTAGTGGTGGGGAACTGTACGATTTACTCGAAAGCGAGTTTAGTGAAATGGAAGTGCGAGAACTGCTGAAAGCGTTATTGACGTGTATGAATTACTGTCATCAACAAAGGATTGTCCACCGCGACTTGAAGCCAGAGAATGTCTTGATGGAAGAATCGCACGACTTTACCCAAGTCAAAGTCATTGACTTTGGACTGGCCGAGTTTATTCAAGCCGACAACAACTTTACCGAAGCGGCTGGATCTTCCTATTACATGTCTCCTCAAGTCATTCAAGGCAACTACACGTCCAAGTGCGACATTTGGAGTTGTGGCGTCATTGCGTACGTTTGTTTGGGAGGATATGCCCCCTTTTCGGGAGCGGACGAACAAGAAACGGCACAGCAAATTCTTGATGCCACACAAGTCTATTTTGACGATCCCGTTTGGGATGACTTTTCGGAGGATGCCCTCGACTTTATCGAATACTTGCTGACATATGACGAAGACGAACGACCTACGGCGGCACAAGCATTGCAACATGCGTGGTTGCAACACTGCGATGATGATTTGTCCGAAGCACAAGTCGTCGACATGGACAAGTCGGCCCGAGTTTCGTTGGAGTCGCTCAAAGCATTCCACGCGGCCGATTCCAAACTCAAACAATGCACATACAGTTTGATTGCCTCGCAGATTGTCCGCAAGGAAGAAAAGGAATACCTCGACAAAATATTTCAAATGATTGATGTCGACTGTGATGGTCAGATATCGGCGGACGACATGCGGACAATCTACAATGACAAGTTTGGCATTGATCTGCAACAAGATGATCTCGATGGCATCTTGTACGAAGTCAATCTCAGTGGCAGTGGATCTATTTCCTATTCGGAATTTGTCATTGCCAGCATGTTGGAAAAGGGCGTGCTTGTGACCGAACACAATTTAGAGCTGGCATTTCAAATGATGGACACGACACAATCCGGGTTCCTGACATTCGAGACGCTCAAGTCTGTCTTGGGAGTCGACGACGATATGGAAAACTATGTACAGCAACGCATCATTCGTCCCGCCGATCTCGATGGTGATGGCAAGATTTCGTTGCAAGATTTCAAAGGATTCTTTGCCGGACGGCAACCACGATCATCGGTGCACTCGAGTGTGAGCTCTCGTCGCAGTTGTCGATCGTCATCCGTGCGACGATCCTGTCGCAAGTCCTTTCGGGCCAGTGCTCTGTTGCAGCCCGATCCGTCGGATATCGATGCCGGATTGGCGGCACTGCGAGCCGAATTCAATGGACCCAACTATCAGTATCAAACCTCTTCGTCGATGATGATGGCGAGTTCCAGTGTGCTCAACTGCAGCATTGGAGAAGATGAACCAGTGCTACTAGAGACCAGTCTTGCGATTACGACAGAGGATGAACCGACCTTCAAGAAATTGCTGAGTAAATTTGAACTGGAAAGCAGCATCAACACCAATGTCCCATCCATGTTCCGACCACAAGGCAGCAGCAGTAGCGGATTGACTTATTGATTGAAGCAAGCAAGGCAGCAATCAATTAAAGCAAGCAACGACCTCCAGCTACACCATGATGATAGAGGAGGTATGACTAGTGTATAATAATAGCGAAATGGTTTACATTTTGACGCAACTTGCTTGTCCTACATAGTAGCTGGCTAAGAACTAGGTAGTCAGAAAGGAACCAACTAGCCAGCAAGGCAACAGCCGGAGTTGCAGCACAGCAAACCAGGAAATTGATTCTGGAGCGAGTCCACTTTTAGCCTTGGTTCTCCGGTTCATGCTGAGATGTTTCCTAGCTAGCTGCTGTAGTGGCTAGCTACAGAGCACGGGAGGAGGAGGATGGGTCTAGTTTGGATAGTCGAGTGGACTGCTGCGGTTGAGACCTACAGTGTAGCTAGCTAGCTAGATGCGTCATCTGACGTAACTCCAAGGTTTAAAATATCCTGGTAGCTAGTGGCTGACTCGTCAAGGCCTTCGAAGCTATTTACTTGCAGCAAATCATCATCGCAGCGACACATCCATCGTGTCAAGCACTTGCCGTAAGGTGGCGAGGAATCCTTCCATGTCATGTGGAAACATGTGCCCGATACAACCCACTCGAAATGTCGGTTCAGCTGTAAGCTTCCCTGGATAGATCACGTAACCATGAGATGATAGACGGTCGTAAAATGCTCGAAAGTCAAAGTTCGGATGGGTGGGCATGCGAAATGTCACAATGATTGGTGTTTGTGAAGCCGCGGGGACCACGCTCTCAAAGCCCAACTCTTTCATCCCATCAATAAGAGTTTTGCAATTGGCCTCGTATCGTTTCCTTCTTCCGGACACTCCTCCCTCGGCTTCAAACTCCTCCAATGCTTGCGCCAACGCCAGTAGGCAATGTGTCGGAGGCGTGAACCGCCACTCTCCACTTGCCTCAAAGCCTTGCCATTGGCTATACAAATCCAGAGCCAAACTCTGGGAGTTTCCTTTACTCTCTTCCAAAGCCACCTTTCGAGCCAATACAAATCCCAATCCTGGTGATCCCTGTAGGCCCTTGTTGCTGGAAGCTGCCATGGCGTCAAACGGCACCGACGCCGGAATGTCCACGACCGCAAAGGACGACATGGCATCAATCAATAGACGCTTTCCTTTTGCCATTACCAAATAGGCGATCTCCTCCACGGGATTCCATACCCCCGTGGTAGTCTCACACGATACCACGGCTACATGAGTGACATCCGTAAGTTTGTCTAGCGCCTTTTGCACAAGCTCCAGATTCATTGGTTCACTCTCGGGAGATTCCGCAAAAATATAGTCACGACCGAGTGCCTCACAGATGCTGCCCATGCGTCTTCCGTACGCTCCGTTGCACAAGATGAGGAGCTTCCCACCATCAATAGTATCAGGGACGAATTGTCCAATCATTGCCTCGACTGCAAAGGTGCCACTTCCTTGTAGCAGGACGGCAGTGAGATCGCCCTCGTGGTTTCTCTTCTTCCCACCCACCACCACATCCACCAGCTGTTGTCGAACTTTTTGCGTTAGCCGAATAAAAGCATCATCTCGAGATCCCAAATCATGCATCATGGCAGCCTTGACCGTTGGAGACGTGGTCAATGGACCTTTTTTTTGTCGTGGGGGTGGATTTGTCAAATAAAATTAGTTAGTTGGCTGCACAATAAGATAAACTATATGCGGCACACACACAAACACTCAAATGACTTAGTCAGCACGTACCTGGAGTGAGAAGTAGAGGTTCTCCACTTTGAGTGAATCCACCACTGCTGCTGATGGTGGCACGGCTCTCCTTGTCGGTTGTTGGTAATTGACAAAATTTCATAAAGGCCTTTCTTGCTGCTTCGGTAGTAGTTTTGGGTCGACCCAGATCGGTTCGAGCTCCAACGGCCACTTTGACTTCTAAAAACAAGGGCCGTCCACTTGGCCCCTTTAGTTTCTCGAGTTTGTCATGGAGCTCCGTCTCGGATGTGGCAGTTCCAATGCTGTGGTACCCCAGAGACGACGCCACGGCTGGAAACGAATGGAGTGATTGTTTTTGTTGTGATCCTTGCGACGCCACGGTATTTTGTCCTCCCACCGATTCGTGTACTTCATTATTGATGAGGACATGACGTAGATTATCGAGTCCAAACGATGCCGAAAAGGCCATGGATCCCAAATGCATGAGTGCTGCACCATCTCCATCCAAACACCATACCGTTCGATGAGGTTGCGACAGGGCAATGCCTTGGGCAATGGCCGCGGCATGTCCCATGGATCCGACACAACGAAAATCCGATGCATGACTACTACCAGATGCTTCGCGCAATTCGTAGAGTTCCCGCGATGTAAAGCCAGTGGTGGACACGACGGCATCGGTCGGTCCCACTGCCTGGAGAATTTGTGCCAATGCGTGTTCTCGAATCATCAACGTGGATGGACGGTCTTCTTCTTCCTGTTTTGTATTGGAAGAAATTGGTTTGGAAAATGTATTGGGTGGCACCAAGACAGCGACGGGACCTTGCCGCGCTCGAGCCGCCTCGTGTGCTTCTTGGAGTGTTGCTTGCGCTGCTTTTGCGTCAGTCGTCAGAATAAAGGTTGGCACATCCATGGCATCGCAGAGTTGTTGGGTCTTTTGGCCCGTGACAACGTGCTGTGGTTCATCGGCATGTCCCGGTGCGCCGCGCCATCCCAGAATCAACATCATGGGAATTCCATAAACATGCGGATGCGCGGCCGACAAGATGGGATTGGTGGCATTGCCCAACCCCGAGTTTTGCATGTACACAACCGGCACCTTGTTCGTGGCCAAGTAGTTGCCAATGGCCAAGGCAATCGACGCGCCTTCATTGGCGGCAATCGCATGAATGGCACCACTGCTACTATTGTTATCGGAAGAAGAACAGCCAATGTCAATTTCCGTACAAAAGTGCTTGATACAAGAGTCGGGGACGCCCGTGAAAAAGTCCACATCCAAATCTTGGCGTAGAAAGTCAAACAACTGCTTGGGACAAACAGCTGTAGTGCCATCACTACCAGTACCAGCCATGGAAGACAGCGGCCGACATCCAGCACTCCACGGTAAGGACGACCGTGCTTCCAATCTACGGGACAAAACAAGAGTCCTCAGTGCTGCCGTTGTCCGCATCATTGGAAGCCTACTAGTACCGGTACAAGAGCTTAACTTTCGGTTGCTTGACTTTGTCTTGTGGTCGGCGTCGGATTGTGGGAAAGATCCATAAGGAAAGGTGCGAGGTGGTCGCAGGATGGTCTCCCGGCAAACTGAAGATCCGAGTTCAATCGTGTTTCTGCGGCGAAGCCAAGGAATCATCACGGGGATTCGATTCTGGCCGTTTCAACCCGCAAAAAACCTGACACGTAGAAAATGTACCAGATACTACGAGGGCGTTCGCGGGTGGTTTACTCCACAAATGCGGTCCCGTGTGAATTGTGACTTGAGTGGCAAGGCTGCACCGCTGTGAAACAGAGGGGAGGGCAGGTCTTCAGACCAGGAAATCTCGGTTGCAAGCGTCTAGCTAGCTAGAAATGAAACAAATTTACAATGCGTGTAGAGGCAAAAATAGATTTGGTAATAAGTTACAGTACGTAGCACATTGCTTTCTATATATATTGGTAGGTACGGTACGTCCTGCGTAGAGCCTGTGGCGCAGTTTATCAGCCGCGAAGATGTATCGTATCTACACCCAATGCATATTTAATTTGCTGTACTCATACCTTCTCCTCCTCCCCGGCCTCCGTGGCTTTGGTTTCACTACTAGAAGAAGAAGAAGGAGATGACGCAGTCCCATAGTTGGCATGCATCACATGATTCTGGTGGGGCTGTAACGCAATGGCAAGTCGGAGCGCCATGGCCGGCTGAGAAATGTCCGAATGGATCAGGTGGTCTGGTTTATTGCTGGGCGCCACAGGCACCTCCGGTTTCAATAATGCTTTGCTGGATCCCCACATTTCCCGTTCTTCTTCGTCATTGACAAAATTGACCACAGCTTTGATGGGCATCAAGTCCTTTTCTGCTTCATAAGACCTGGAATGGGTCAAGATGGTCTCCGCAACACCCATCATGGAAGGATATGCTGCCCGCAGCAGCTGATTGGCATAGATGCAAATGGAAGCTCCAGCGTGGCCCAGATCCTCCTCGTGGATCTGGTTGTAGGAGGTGGGGACCACTACAATGGGCACATCTGGATGAATGGCACGGAACTGACTCATGAATTGCAAGACTTCGGCCGGTGACTTTTGACGGGAGTGAATCATGATTCCCGATGCTCCGGCTTCCACACACGCCATGGCCCTGGACAGGGCTTCTTCCATGGGTCTACCCGCAATCAAGGATTCCATCCGTGCAATAATCATAAAGTCATTGGATCGGCGAGCTTGCAGCCCCGCCTCAATCTTGTCGCAAAAATCATTAATATGGCAGAGTTGATGGAGAGAGGAACTATTCTCCAACAAGGAGTTGCGCTTCAATCCTTCCTTGTCCTCAATAATCACAGCCGAGACACCCATCTGTTCCAATGTACGAACGGTAAATCGAAATATCTCTGGTAGACCTACACCAGAAGAATAGAGCGGCATTTGGATGAGCCCAAAGTTATTGTTCGAGCGAGAAAGAAGCAAGCCATCTATCTATCTATCAATCTTACCTCCAGTATCTCCATCATAAATCATTGGCTTGGTCGTCACATTAAGAGTCTCTCGAACCAATGCCAATCGACTAGTTGTATCCACAACTTCAATATCCGGAAGACCCCGGACAGCACTTGCAGTCAGACTGCTGGACCACATGCCATCAAACTTTTCTCCACTAGAGCCAGTAGCGTGCTCTGCCACCAATCCTGAAAGGCCGGAATGCGTCTCAAGGATTCGAAGAGGACCCTCTCCTTCTTGACGACTCTCTAGAAGTTTTCGAAGAGCAGGCAGTCGATCACCGGCAAGTCCAGTGCTGCTCGAGGCAAATGGCCTGGCGGAGTATGGAAACATGGCTTTCAGAGTGCCGGGTTTCAGAAGATGACGGGCAGGAATCATCGTGGATAGTATAACTGGTCAGTTTCGATTCACAAAGTTAACTTATTGGCTGTTGTGATAGAAATTATGAGGCAGCCAACAACAGATCGATCGAGCGAAGCTTCAAAATTGCATAAATTATGTTAGGGCATTCTCTACTTGTGCTCGTCCTAAAACTCGTCCTAAACTTAGGACGAGAAAATTTGAATGAATTTTTAGGACAAATTGGCAATCTCTAAAAAACCCGTTCTAAAACTGGACTTAGATAAGACGAGTTTTAGGACGGACGAGTCCATTCTCTAAGAAAACTCGTCCCACCAACACGCACCAATATTCTAACAGCCTATTAAAGTGGTCTTGATAGTGAGGCTAGGAGCTTCCCACGAAGCACCTCTGTGGTCAATGGTGTGGTGGTTATTGTTGGGGTTTGTTATCTAGCTGGCGCTTCCTTTTACTAGCTAGCTACTAGCTAGCTACCGCACTCCTCATCAGGCAGCTCGAGGGCCGGGTGTGGGTGTCTCAGTCTTGTTAACTCAATCTTGTGAACTCGATGATGTCATCGGGAGACTCAAGGATTTAAAGGATTTGTTAGGACGAGTCTTTAGAACGAGTTTGTTTTTTCGTCGTATTTTTGAAAAATAGGACGGAAATTTTCAGTTCGTCCTAAAAATCGTCCTAAAATTAGGACGAATTTGAGTTAAAGATTGCTTTTGTCCTAAAAATTCGTTCTAAAATAGACTTAGAACGAGTTTTAGGACGGACGAATTTATTAGAGAATGCCCTTACCAGCCTTCGTGCAGTGTTTGCAGAGTGTTCGGTACTACCAGGTAGTACGTACCATGACTAAACAAACCGATGACCCAAAGGCGAGCGGTGGCTAGCTAGCTAGTATACCGGGTAGCCAGTACCTGGTAAGCTGACGAGGTTGTGCAGGACCCAGGACCTGTGTAAGCATGGTTGTCGAAGGTACCTGGTACTGATAAGGTCGGTCACAATCCCAACCCAAACTCCTTGGGAGAGCTTCAAGGGAGCATACACCGCACGGTAGCTCACCACTGTAGCGATCAATCTATGGCTCTAGCTCTCTAGTAGCTAGTAGCTACAATGTAGTTACTGGTAGCCAGCCCCTTCCGCTAAACGGTAGCTAGGTTCGATGCCATTCAACACCCGCCCTAGGTGCCGTTACACTGCTTCTTGGAAGAACAAGCCCTCATCATCAATGGAAGGCTTAGATGCTCCGTAACTGTCATCCAGTCACTAACCTTCTGGGTACATGTACTAGCTAGCAGCTGTACCGGTACGAGCATGGTCGCATTGCCGGATTGAAGAAGGACTTGACTAAGTTTGCAGCTTGCTTTCCTCGTGGGTTGACAGCGCTTAAAATGCATAGGTTGACAGCGCTTATGCGGCCGGTGCTATCGGGTGGTAGGTTACTAGCTAATGTAGCTCTAGAAGATCTCCTCACGAGGGTTGTCGGCTTGTTGCCAGAACTGACAAGCCAGCCGAAGAAGAAAGTCTCGTTTCCATGCCATTGAAGCGTAGTTACACTGCGTGGCAGACTGAGTCGAGTCACTCTCTCAAGTCAATGGAGGCTGAGATGTAACGCAACAACTTAACGTAACTGCATGTGTCAGTCGCTCAATAAGCCGAAAACCCTCTGGGTACATGTACTAGCAGCTGTACGAGCATGGTCGCATTGCCGGATTGAAGGACTTTACTACGTGGTAGGTCGCTCTCCTTGTGGGTTGGCAGCGCTATACGGTGTAGTGCAAAGTTTCGAGCCTTGACGGCCAGTGATGCAGAGCTCACCAATCCAACGATTCCTCTACTAGAAGTGATACGAACCAGCAGCAACGACCTTACAACCGCCACAGCCGCTAAAGTTGCCGATCCCACTCCGACCCATTGTGCCACATGATGCAATTGAGTCAGCCCCCAACTGGTGAGATGTGCAAGAACTGGCGTACGATGTGCAAAGAACTGGTGTGGCTTGGCTCGCCCTTGCATGGTGGCTTCGACAAAACTCCCCAGCAGCAAACCTGATTGAAATCATCGGATCATTCACTCGATTGAAGATTCATCCCGCCTCCACAGAACTCGCGCTCAGCCCCACTTGAAATGAGCAACCTCGTCCCGCACGCCCTCTCCCCTGTCCTTGACAAGATTGTCTCGCTATTTCCCGTTTTCGTCTTCGTTATCACATGGGTCGTCCATCCAATTCTCAAAGGCTTGGTTTAAAAAGTCGGGAGAGGAAAAATGCACATCCGGCGACTTCATAAAGCTCTCACGAATCCACAACGAAGTTTCACGAGCCCCCTGCATCAGAGCCTCACGCAATTTAATCCACTTTTCGTCGCAAATGTTGATTTTGAAGCTATCTCTAACTGCTTGGATCTCCGGAGTCCACTTCTTGCCAGGAACTTTGTGAGGAGCAGACGAGTTGAAGTTCTTGGTGAGGCCAAGGTAATCCCGAAGATCGTTCTTGAGACGCTCGGATCGAACAGGGTCTTTGTCGGCGAATTGTGTCATTTCACACAAAAAGACTTGGTTCTGCATTGCCTTGGGCTTTTCCTTTCTCGTTCCATCTGGATGTTTCTCGTAAAGCTTCTTTTCAGTCTCAGTCTCTGGGAGAGATAGCGTTTTCCCGAGTCTATAGAGCCATAATCCAAAGTGAGCATGCTCTGTGCACCCATCACCGGCTTGGCCAACGCAAGGACCAATCCTCTCGATCGGCGTAGCAATGTGCGATCGGTTCCAGTTGCCCTGGTTGTGATTTTGAATCCTAAAGTTGTAGAGCGACTCAAACTAAAGTGAGCAAGTAAAGGAAACCACAACAAGGAGGGTGAGCCGTATCCAACCTTCACTACCGAGTGCGGCATCCGTACAACCAACCACTTACATAGCGAATAGGATGACGAAGAGTAACAATGAGTTTCGTTTTGGGGAAATACTGATCAATGTACTTCATGGTGGAGCCTGGGTAGAACAGATCCAACGGGTTCTTGTATCCACGCTTATAGTCCTCGTACGGTGCCTGCGCATACATGTCCTGGACTAACTGCCCAGGAGTTTCATGCATCAAGCTGTAGTTCTCTTCCTGTGGGCATTGCACTTCGGGATGTGCTCCAAGCCACACCATCAGAGTCGAGGTTCCTAATGGGCAGCAAAAACTTGGTAAGAACAAATCGTCTCAGCACGAAGCAACCACAATTTGAACATCTCCAGCAGTTCATCTTTACGTACCGCATTTCTCAACTCCAATAATGGCAAAGTCTAACAAGAACTGTGGGTCGCCAATGATCTTCAGATCGTCATTGACCAGTGCGTTGAGACGAGGCCAATTTGACATGGACCGAGGATCCTTCTGCGACTCGTCCTCACAGGGGTCATTCATCCACGCCTTCATGGCCTGATCAAAGAACTCGGGTGATGAAATAAAGACATCCTTTGATGCCAAAAAGAAGGTTGTGATCCAAAGAGACGTTTCTCTGGCACCCTTCATGAGCTCGGCTCGCAAGGGACGATACTGATCCTCGCAGATGTCAATCTTACGACTGTCTCGAATTGCCTGGGACTCGGTGGACCACTTCATTCCTGGCACAAAGTGTGGTGCCTCCTGATCAAACGTATGCTTGAGTTCCAAGAAGGTGGCCAAGTCTTGTTTCAGCGCTTCTGTGCGTTCGGGGTCATTGTCTTGCAACTGCGACATTTCGACTAGGAATACTTTGTTGGTGGATGGGTAGGTGTAGTGATTGGCTTCCCATGGATGAGTGTCAATGATTTTGCGTTGAATTTCAGTCTTGGGCATGTCAACAGTTTTACCCAAGCGATAGATCCAAAGAGCAAAGTGTGCATGATCGGTACAAAGACCCTGCGAGTATTGGTTGCAAATCCCGATTCGTTCCAGAGGAGGTGTAAACTCGTCGTTTGGATCCGGTAGATTCTGGATGCGAAAGTTGTGCAATGACTCGAACTGAAGACCAAAGCGTCATCGAATGCGGGAAAGATTAGAAACCATCGTCAGAAACAACAACAACACAAGCACCATACGAAAGTTAATCATCTTGGTCCAATCCGAAACTTACATAACGAACCGGATGACGAATCGTCAAAATCAACTTGGTTTCGGGAAAGACTTCTTGAAAGTTCCGCAACACGCATGGCTGAAAGAGATCAATGGGATTCTTGTATCCTCGTTTGAACTGTTCACCGGGAAAGACCTTGTACAGTCGTTTCGCCAACACCCCCGGTTGATTCATAAACAGACTGGGTTCTTCCTGTTGAAAACACTGTACTTCCGAATGACCACCCAGCCATTTCATGAGCGTTGACGTTCCACATTTTTCAATTCCAATAATGGCAAAATCCAATAAAAACTGTGGATCGGCAATGAGTTCTCGGTCGCCATTGACAACTTGGGCCAGTGGTGGCCATGTTTCGCTGGTATCGTATTTCTTGAGCGATCCCGGTGAAAAGACCTGGACGGCGGCCTTTTTCGTAGTGGACGGCACAAAGGGTATTTCCTGTTCAATGGTGCGGGTATCAAACAAATCATCCTTTCTTATCTTTTTGTCGCAGGGATCGTCCATCCAACTGAGTAATGCCTTTTCCAAGAATTCCGGGGACGTGGTAAAGACATCTTTGGATTTGAGGAATCGTTCGCGCAACCAGATCGAACTTTCTCGCGCTCCCTGCATGAGTTCTTCTCGTAAATTGTCGTATTCAGAATGACAGATATCAATTTTGCGCTTGTCGCGAATGTCTTGATCGGACTTGCGTGCCGCCGGATGAGGTGGTGGAATGCCATTGGTAAAGGGATGTTGTAATCCGAGAAAGGCTTGTAAATCTTGCAACAATTGTTCTTGACGAAACCAATCTTGATCGACAAGTTGCGATGTTTCGACGAGGAATACCTTGTTTTTGGTCGGCAATGTTGTAACGTTGGCTTCGTAGGCATGGGTGTTTTTGATAATGTCTTCAATTTCGGATCCTTGTGGCATATTGACAGTTTTCCCAAGTTTGTACAGCCACAGTGCAAGATGAGCATGATCGGTACAACAGGAATTGTCATGGACGCGACAGAATCCAATGCGTTCGTGTGGCGTGGGTATTGGTTTGTTGGGATCTGGGACATTTTGAATGCGGGCATTGTAGACAGATTCGAACTGTATGAATGAAGAAAAGCATCAACAATCAAACAATAATAGTAGACAAGAGCGAGAGGGTAAGATTCATTTATTCAATATATCACTTTGTCTTTTGAGTGTTGTTGGTAGTACTTACAAATCTGACGGGATGTCTGATGGTAATGATGAATTTGGTTTCTGAAAAGTATGTATGTATATTTTTGAGACTACAGGGTTGATAGATATCCCAATTGTTGACATAGAATCGTACAAAATCTTGATTGGGATGATGATCATAGAGACCAATGACGAATTGATGGGGTTGATTGTTATACAGGTCGATATTCTCGGCGAGTTTTCCATCGGTTTCCTTGTGTCCATTCAAAATGAGTTTCATGGTATACGTGCCGGCCTTTTCAAATCCGAGAATGGCCACATCCAGCAAAAACTGAGGATTCCCAATCACCTTGTTTTCCTTGGTGTCCACCAGTGCATCCAGTGGAGGCCAACTTCCCGCTGGCGTCGACTCGTATTGTTTATGGGTGGCATTGGCAAATTGGAGCATTCGTTGTCGATTGGAGATTGGGACAAATTCCAATGTGTTTCCACTGCTCGAAATTGCGACTTGTTGTTGTTGTAATTGTTGCTGTTGTGCTGCTGGATTGGTGGCGCCATCTTCAGGCGGCTTGGTTTGTTGTTCGGCATCAAAGGATGCTTCGTAGACGTGAAGCTTGTAGAGAAAGACGCCTTGCATGACTCCAAAGACACAGACAAACAGAATGGTACACACATAGATAAAGTACTCCATCCCCGTCATGTTTGGAGAGTCCATCATGTGCGCTCGTCTCTTGCCCTTGCTTCCATTATTCAGCTTTGGTGGAGGGCTCGTCTTGGCCTTATTGTCCACATCGCTCCCATGGCCCTTGGCTTTGCTACGGTACATCATCTCTAGCTAGCTAAACGGGTCCAGTCAAGGAACTATAGAGCTACTACAATACCTGATGCAGATCAATTCTAGAGCAAGCAATGAATCCAGCGATAGAGTGGCTGTCGTTGTTTCTTCTTTCAAGGTCAGTCGATTGAGGTCCCGCTCAAAAGACGTATGAGCTTTGATCTCGAGGCCTTGTTGCAAGTGCTAATAAGCCAGCAGAAAGGTGAGTTTTTGAGATGAATCCGCTTGCTTTGGATTTGGACGAACAGGAGATGGACTTCACAAGGCATACGGTAGCTCTTTGCAAGATAAGCAATTGGACAGCTCGTTTACCCAGCTAGGAGTTCATCAAGAAGGCAGTCTGTCGATCGATGTAACTCTTAATCAAATGTAGAAACTAGCCAGCTTCCACGGATCTAAAACCGCAAAGATTCTTTCAAATACATATAGTTGGCTGCCTCCTTCTAGCTAGAACTTGGATGGATTCCTTGCCCACCAAGAAGGCTAGAATCAACACTGCAGATTTCTATGTGTTTGGTAGGCACCGTAATTTCCCAGGTACACAGCTATGCTAGTCATGCTGATGTCCTTTCTCGACGAAGGAGCGTGCAAAGTTTCGAGCCTTGACGGCTACAAACGCCAGTGTTGCAGAGGTCGCCAATCCAATGATTCCTCTACTAGTTTTACGAGCCAGCAACGACCTTAGAACCACCAAAGCTGCCAGAACTGCCGATCCCACACTGACCCGTTGTGCCATGTGATATGCTCGCAAACAACTGCTGCAGTATTGCGTATGCTGTTCCCAGGAATCCGCCGCCTGTTGTCGTGTCATAGTAATGCTGTTGTTGGGTTGTACGACCGTGGGTGCGGCAATGGATTTGCCGAGGAATCTTGGGCAAGAGTGATGGATTGGCCATGGGCAGTTTGCCACCCAATCGTTGTCGATGCCATCTTCGAAAGGCCACGGTCCCTTGATCGGCGGGACTGGCCAATTCGTAGTGTGAAAGAGGATTGCTGTTCTCGCTACATGCGGCGGCAATCAAGTCTTGGGGATACCGCAGTAAGAACGCATCCGAGTTGAAGAACTTGTTCAAGCTTCGATGAAAGACGACGGTGAAGATTTGGCGTTGCAGTTTGGCTTTCCAAGACTGTTTCTTCTTCGTTTCGGGTGGTGGATTGGGATTGTACTGTCCCGACATGATGCGAACGCGGTTTGTATCAATAGGCGATGCCACAATGACTCCTGCAGGTCCAGTCTCGGAGGTGTTGCGACGGAGAAACCACACACCCGGATAGAGGAAATCCCACGTCTCATTGGCCGTGCGTCCATTGATGGTTCGATCAAACTTGAGTTGTACACCGAGATTATTGCTTCTCGTTTGCAGATTGGTCACATGATTCTCTCGAATGTCGTCCACTTCGGTCCGATTGAATTCTTTGCCGACACCGCAATGCGCATAGGCGACATGCGTCGGATCGAGAATGTTCTCAAAGAGGAAATCCCAGGAGTAAGGCAATTCTCGTTGATATCCATTTTTGAGTTCCCAGGAGGCGTCCTGCATCCGTGGATGGTTTTCGTCGGGTGGTACCGATGGGTCCATCCATATCCAGAGGCAATCACCTCGTTGTCGGATTGGAAAGGACCGTACCGCGTACTTCTTATTGCCAGGAATAGAAGCATTGGCTGGGAGTGATGGAATCATGGAGCAAGTTCCGCAACCCTGAAACTGCCAGCCATGAAGGGAACATCGGATCGCATCACCAGTAGCCGTAATAGATCCATCGCTCAGGGGTGCCAATTTGTGTGGACACATGTCGTCCTGGGCAAACCAAGTGCCTTCGGCGGATCTCCAGACTACCAGAGGTCGACCCATGTGCAGAACAGCATTCGGCCAATCTTGCTTCAAGTAGGCTTGGAACGACAGTGGAAACCATTCTTGAAGTGTTTCTTCCGCGTTCATTTCCGTAATGGCTCCGACGACTTCATCGTCCGCCGTGCTAATGGGAAGATAGTGGCCCTTCCAGATGGTACCGGTATCCCAAAGAAGCCTTGCCGTCTACCGGTAGCAATACTAGTGGTGGACAAAGGCTGAACGTTCAGGAAGCCTCCAACGCCAGCGCAAAGCCAAGCAAAGAGGAAGAAAAGACTTATTCTCGTTGGTTGGATCATCGCGATCATGAATTTATCCATCAGTTAGTTGCCCAACCTTCTTCTAGTACCGGTAGGGTGTCTGGCAACCAGACCAGTGGGGCTTCCACTCGATTCTGATTCGATTCGATCGTTGAGCTCTGCTACCAGCGCCTCCTTCACCCGTGAAGCAGCTTATTGAGGACTCCAGATACACTGATGTCGATCTTTCTTTCTAGCTCCAGATGCTGTGGTGCAGCTCGATCTTGCGGATTCCATCATGGTGCGCTATCGCAGCACCACCCCAGGCCACTCTGACGATTTAGTCCGGATCCAGAGTTTTCTATACAGGCTTGCTTCGATTCACCAGCACAGCAAAGAATCAGCTTGTACACCTTCCTTTTAAGATATTTTGACCTTGGTTTTAAGCATAATTGTGGATGTCGAATGGTGAAAGAATTAGAGGTCAGGGCAAAGACTTAAAAATCGATAGCAGGATCCTTGCCTGTGAGGGTGCATTATGGTAGGGGGGACCAATTTTGGAATGTGGGGACCAATTTTGGAATATGGGGACCAATTTTGGAATGTGGGGACCAATTTTGGAATGTGGGGACCAATTTTGGAATATGGGGACCAATTTTGGAATGTGGGGACCAATTTTGGAATGTGGGGACCAATTTTGGAATGGCGGGACTGGTGGGACTGGTGGATATGGTGGGTTGGGCCCATGGGTGAACCGGTACCGGAAACGGGACTAACTGGCGGTACGGGATGGCATTTCAAACTCGTTTCAAACTCGTTTCAAACTCCACTTATTTTTTAACGACGAAAAGATAGGTTGTACCCTAAAGATACTAGCTAGTAGCGAGTCTAATACCGGTACCGTAGCCCTCCTGCTTCAAAGCTACTACGGTACGTAGTAGTTTGAAAGAAGGAGGGTGATGGCTCGGATGAGAAAAAGTCCGTGTTCTTCTGTACGAGTAACGCATGAACGCATGGCTTGGCTGCCTCAAACTGTGATGACCTTCTTGGGTTGCGCGATTACCTGTACTGTAGTCTAATACATGTAGCCATACACGAAGTAATAGTTATTCTCAAGCGACTACTTGGAAAGAACGTTACCGAGTAAGACTTATTCGCGCGTTTCTGAAGTACCTGCCAGGTTTACCGGTACCGGTACCGCTACCGGTTGTACCTGGTACCGGTGGAAACATGAGAAAAGAAGCTCTTCCCCGAAGTATTCCATCTCCACTGGCTTACGGTATTCTGGACACCCATCAAAACCCTGTCAAAGGGGCTTTTACATGAAGTGCCGTACAGTTTATTTTATGGGTTCCGTCACTTTCAGTCTTTTGTCAATTAGGGTAAAGGTCCTTTCCTCTTGGGCGCTTCGGCGATTGGCACATTGGCACATTGGCACCAAGACACCAAGACATCACCAATTGCCGCCAAGATTACTTATGCCTTCTACCAACTAATAAATGTCGGTAAACGTCTTTTCACCTCATGGAGGAGCTGGCAATGGCACCACGTCAACGAAAAGGGACGTGTTTGCACTTGAGGCGTTCGTCATAGTTGTTTTGGGTGCTTTTGATGCTTTTTGATTGGGTATCGGATATTTTTGTGTCCCGTTTTCACAGCTGATGTAAACATCTGGCAATAGATATATAACACGTCAGGTTGAAGCATCTTCTTTACTGGGAGCTCACTGTCCAATCTTAGTAGGAACATCAGCAATAGTACCACCTCAAGAATGCCAGTTCAGACCTGACGTGTCCTCTCGCCAACTCAAGTTCAACAGGCGAAAACCAAACCAAAGCAACACCTTCATCTCACAATTCTTCCTCTTGGACGAGATCATGTGGACAACAAACCACCGCACCTCGAGAGGGTATGAAGCAACGGCGAGGCCATGAGCATGGCCGTTGCGTAATCCCTCCACTACAGGAAGTGTACAAACTTTTTGTAAATTGTAAATAAGTCTCAGGGAGACTACTACAGACCAACCAACTTTAAAACCGAGGAGGCTACCCAATGTCAATACCGGTACAACCGATCCTCCCATCTTGTGAATACCTCTCTTTCTGAATATAATACCTCTTGCTTATACCTCTGCGTGTTGAGGCTACGATGACGCCAACTTTGAACATACTGTCACTGAATCGAATCCCAAGCCTGCAACCGCGGTACCTACCACTACTTGTAATAGACCTACCAGGTACCAACCAACTGTACACACCACTCGAACTGAACAAACATCTGCTCATACACCATCAAGACAAGCGACTCCCGATACTACTGAACATACAACAGCATCGAGATCACGTCCGCAACTCCCTCCTTGCATTTACCACTGGAGAACTGCACATATCAGCACATACAAGAACTTCCAAATCAATTGCTCGTCACAAACCTGCTCATACCACCACTTTGAACATTTTGAACATATCGACCAAAGCAACTCTCTGCCAATAGACATCACCAAAGACCTTTTTTCTCAACTGAGCAAATACTACACCATTTGAAAACATGAACATACACAACTAAACTTACACTCTTTAAAGAAACCTGGGTGCAAGAACCCAATCTCCCTGATACCTGAACATACATACATACACAAAAACTCCCCAACCCAACACAACTCGGAAGGACCCACCCAACTATGGGTCCTTCTCTCTTGAATATACAACAATCATGACCTCTGAACATACAAGCCAACTACACTTACACGGACATGTCGGAGCTGCGACAAGTATTCTTTAGTGGCTTTTGATTCTTCAGTGTGGGCGACCATGTGCATTTCCCGCCTCGTCTCGGGAACAAACGAACCACCGGCAAGCTCCCCATTTTGTTTATACTTTTCCTTGTGCGTGACGTACCGGATGAGTTCCGCTTCGCTCGACAACGCTTTGTCGAGTTTAGCTACCGGCCCAATGTACATTCCCGAATGGCCACTCATCTGGTACCATGCACTACATAATATTGATTTCTTCATTCTCTACATAATTGTGGATTATCAAACTGTGTACAAATGACTCAGTCTCTTCCTACATGTAGCTAGCGCTTAACGAGTTCGTAGCCTCCACATTAGCCTTGCTTGTGGCGAGCCTGTCTCATCTTTGACTGTCAGGAGAAATTCTGTCGAGGTGATTCATTTGGTGCACAGGCGCACACTCTCAAGACGGGATGAGCTCTTTCCCAGCAAAAACGTCCTTTGACGGGCAATCCCTGTTGGAGTTGGCTGGCCCACTGTGGATCTTTCCTTAACTACGGTAGCCAGTTGCGACTCTCCAGATCCCTACTACCGTGCACGAACACGGACGGAAGTAAGGAGATGTTGCGAGACGAGAAAAGGGGCAACTTTGTTTCTGTTTCTATTATTTTATGTCTATAACTCTATTTGGTTCTTAGCTTTTGCTTATACGCAACAGCAAGATTGTCTCTCTTGGCGAAAGTAATTCTCAGGAGTCATAATGCCCTTGGCCAGCTCATAGCATAGAAAGACATGAGGATAAATGAAAAAGATCGAGACACCAAGTCCAATCCAATTCTGGTCCAAGCCGCTCAAGACAGCATAGGCGATTTCCATAAGGATTGTGATGGTAACAGGGCAAATGGAGAAGTTGACAGCGCCCATAAGACCACTAAAGTGGCCAACACAGACAGCTGCTTGAATGGCGATGAGTGCCCAAATGTCGTAGCCGTTGAGGAACACCTTTTGTTCCTCTTTGTCGCCATACTTGTCGACAAGGATGACTGTAAGAAGTCCTGCAATCCCAAGGCCAACCCCGAGAATATTTATCATGATCACTGCTCTTCGCATGTCACAGAGGCAACCAAGGAATGAGTGGCCTTGTTTAACTCGTTTGAGGTCCTCAACGGGGGCTCCAAGTGGGGCGGCGACGGATTGGGTGGTTGCTGTGTTGTTGGTCATTTTGATTTCAATAGTTTGACTTTTTTGTTTGTTTGTTTGTTGTTGTTGTTTTCTTGTTGTTTTTGTGAGCTTCACAACGATACTTGGGAGGGGTCACCCATCTGATCTGATCAAGCAACACAAGAGGTTGCCTTGATTGATTCATTCACGCATGTCACATGTTTCGGTACAAACGCACGAATTGATTGTTCCAAAGCATGACACACTTCATTCAGCTCTTCATTCACACTTGGGAGGTCGACCTGGCGTCCTGTGTTCCGAGATGTTTTCGCTTGGGAACAAATAACTTCAATCCGATGATTGAAGATCCGAGGTGACCGGAGCAACTGCGATCGATGATGAAGGCCCTTTACGCCGAACAATCCAGATAATGTGGAAAAAATCCACACAGTGTGGTTAAAACGGTAGCCTACCGGTAGCCGTGTGACAAACAAAAATAGCCTCGTTGTTGATTATCATTCTCGTTGGTCTACTGCGGTCATCCTTTGATGTTTCGCCAAAAGCAATTTGCTGGACTCCTCAGTGACTCGGAGCAGCTCTCGGAGCAGCTTTTGTTTCTAACATGCCATACCCGTCCGTATGTAGCCAGAGGCGGATCAATCGTTTAGGCAGGGCTGCTGCACTTTGCTTGATAAATTGGCATCCAGCCAAGTTTCAGCCACACGTGCACTCCAATGTTCTAGTGATAATGATACCCGAAAGGCTTATGGTGATTGAGCAGGGGGACTACCGTACCGGCATGACTGCCCCTTGATGTCATGATGGCGACCAGGGCCTCTTGACCGTGTGAACGGTACTGCGAAAGCTATTAATTTTCGACTAGGTAGGAGGAGCAATGAGGAATAACGCAATGACCACTGCAATACTAGAGCTAGAACATGGCGTCTGTGTGGTTGCAATCCTACCGGTACGGTACCAGAAGCGCTGAGGTGAACGACACTCCCGCAACCAATGTTCCGGGGCAGCTATTAATAGATCTACTAGCTAGACCTACAACCTAGTTACCCCGTAACTAGATATTGATTCGATTCCTTTCCCGCATTTCACAGAGCCACCACCGCAGAAGATCTTCAGTTTTGTGAGCAGTGAGCTCGAGACGGATGACTCCCGTGGTAGTCTTGAAATAACCCCTGATAACGGTAAAACAATAAATAATTTCGCATTCGGTAATCAGAAGGCACTCAAAGAGTATAGAGCCTATCCTGACCGGACGTCTCAGCAAGATCTAGGCCTTTTGGATCTATTGTAGTTTTACGATTAGAAAGCTGGGAAATTGCAGGACCAGTCCGATGGGCGGTTGGTTGCGGCTAGGTTCGGCGAGCTAGAGCTATCCCAACCAGCTGCTCTTTCTTGGGCTGTTGCTTTGGTTTGGCGGGCCATGCTAGGAGCTCCTGAGGCAGCATGCGGTTGACGGCATCAGGGGGGAGGACGCAACAGCTACCAGTAGGTCGCTAGTAGGTTAGCTAATCAGCCAGGAACTCTCTAGCTACCGCAGTCTTTGCTTCCTTGTTGGAGCGAGCAGCTAATCAAAGAATCTATCTAGTTTGTTACTTATGAATTGTGTAGGTGGGATATAGGTAAAGGCATAGCAAAGCTCGATGCTTTGGCTTGCGGCACGGATCAGGCATTGAACATGGTTAGCCTGGACCAAGCAAAAGAAACACAAGCAGCATGCTGCAGGTACTAGATGCCTGCAAAACAAGGACCTCATGGCTACAATGCGATGGGTCGACCAAGCCAAAAGCAGCCCATGGGTCGTGCTTTTCTTGTTCGTGTTCTGTTTTCTGCCTTCCTGAATCTTACAGGCCCCTGGCTACGATGTAGTGCAGGAGCTCCAACCCAATGGAGATCATCCTGTGGAAGGCTCTCTTGTTGTCTTGTTCTTGTGTTGCGACGGCCGATATTTTTCTTTTCTCCTTGCAATCATCATTTCTTGCTCAGTTGTCTTCGGGGACGCTTGGGCACCATTTGGAGCTTGTCTCGCACCGTTTGTTGCTGCAGGTCACCGGGCGAAGCCTTGTTGTCAGCAGTAGCACATGGACTGACGGGAATGCTGTCCCATCTGGAGCTGCCCGTACTGTGATTGCTGCAGCTATTATCATCCATCAAAACAAGATTATGGCTACCGGAAAGAAAGCTCATCGCCGACAAACTCCCTGACAAACTGCCGTTTAGCGTAGAACAACTCGAGTGAAACGAACAAGTGGACGATGCATTGTCGAATCGAAGAGTCACATCGTCGTGATCTTTCACCAGCTCTCGAAGAAAACTCTCTAGTGGAGAGCCCATTGTGTGATGTATGTATCTTGCTTCTTGTTGATAAGAAGATGGGTCTATGCCATTAAACTCGCTCTGCGGTTGATTGTGTCGTAGTGGGCGTCTTGTCCTTTCATCGGATGCTGAAACAATGAAACCCTCCCAGGTCTGACTCGACCACTCCTATCCAAGGAAGTAAGCGAAAAATGGAAACCAGATCTTCTTGGCGTAAGAACATTAAGCTCTCAAGTTGAAAGCGGAGGTGAACAACTTCTTGAGTGCCACCCGACGACACGAACATTTAGGGTCATTTTTTCAATACTTAGGCCTCATTCTTGGCACAAGTCTTAAGTACCTTGCTAATGACCGGGACCTGATGGACGCAAGAAAAGCAAATTGCCTCCTCACAATTTGACTCTGAAGTCAAATTTTCCCCAACGGTCGCCACTATAAAGGCAAAAGGCGACAAGAAGAGCTGCGGGGTATCCGTTCAGCACATCCCGGCCAAGTCATGGCTTCGTCCACCGGTACCTTTAGATCACTTACCTCACGCCGGTATCCCACCGATTCACATGATCTTTTTGATTAAGCCGCCTCTATCCCAAGACATACGCCTCTTTCTATTCTTTGGAAAGTTGGGTAGTGGCGCGACAACCACAGCTCCGATTGGGTGTACCGAGTGCGCTACCCACCGCTTGACTTTTTACTGAGATAGATGCAAATTTTAGAAGCTATGGTTCTGCTGGACAAGCAGTCACAGATGTGAGTGTGTTCTGTACAACATACAAGCCCTTTGGGTTCACTTCCCGGGTGCACACTGGAAGTACCGGTAGGCATTGGATCTTTCGCCTTGGAGCTTCCCATTGCACTCGGATCCCTTCGTATTTATCACGACGAGAGCTGTATGCATGCAGCTCCATGTCGCGTTGACTATGGCACTGTATACCAACATCAGACCGGCCGGGACATGGTTACCAGTGGAAGGAAATATTTGATCAGGGAATGCATACTATGATTTGTGGGAGTGCCTTTGCGATGACATGGTTCCCACTACTATCTTGATATGATAGTTGCACGCTTCCACCTCGACTGGAACCTTGAGGTCGTGGGAGTGGTTCAGACATTGTGGCACCACCGCAGGAAAAAGCAACACCGCGTGCGTTGGCAGCCAAGAACCACGTTCATCCAAGCGCAACAAACCATGAGCCAGGGAGCAAAAAGATTTGCCAACGGCAGCCTTTGATATCACCTTTTACGAGGCCAGCAACATCCATCCATTCGTTCATTCGCCCTCTTCGTCAGGTCGGCCGCCTAGTAGCATCCATCCAAAGTCCCACTTGCACAATCGATTTGGACTTCTTTTTGCATTCGAAAGAGGTGAACAGGCTCCGGGTGGAGTTCCAATCAAGTCATACGATTCCTGCAAGTCATGGTAACTACAAAACGAATTCATGGCTCGATTCACTGCAGTGAAGTGAAAGCAAGAACACCACGTCGACCTATCCTTGGGGGGATCTGGAAACCGCAAGCGAAGTGGGATCGAGGGGATGTAAGTACGACGAACTGAAAACGTTTCTCTCGCTCACTGCTGGAAGCAAATCCTCCAGCGAGTCCTCGAGAGGCACGCAATGACACAGGGCTCGGTCTAGATAGTACCGTGGGTCTCTCGCCCATCCATTGTGGTATCATCATTGTACCGAAAGCAGGCGTGCGATTGATTGATTCATTGCACAAAGCAACGGTTCCTTTGAGACCACACGTGCTCGTGGAGAAGCGCTGGTCTCGCCAGTCCATAAAGCGATCTTAGCTAAAGGGTTTCAGCTTGCTCTTGCTGAAGCGTCAACGGTCTCGTTACACGTTGCAGTGACAGCTCTCCTTCGTATGAACCGCGTGGATGGCTGTCTCTGCAAGAAGATTGATCGATAGAAGCTGAACTGACGCAAGTCTCGGTTTGAATTCTTGCGTTGTCCCCGGTGCTTTCCCTGACAAAATCGGGAGCACACGTACGGTTACATTGCTTCGTTGGAGTTACTGCGACTTATGTATAATATATGTATACTGTTCTCATTCATGGCTTATTCTTCTCTTCAAACACGCAACAGTGTTCCAGACACCTCGATGGTTGGTTCGTCTTCGATAACAACTGGATGTTCGATCCTCTCTTCCGAACGCCGCGTAGCGCTGATCACGTCGTCAATTTCCGTGGGAGAAATGCCGAGCTTTTCCAATATCTGCATCCGACGTCGATAGACGAGCTCGTTCCTTCCGTCATATTCTGTGCGATGGCCAAGCTCTTCGCGTGTTAACTCCATAACATCAGGGTCGGTCGCACCAGAGAGCATAGTGTTATTCTCTTCATCACTGTTTTGACGACGCCATCCTGGGTGCATATACTTGTTTGGCATGCGAACCAACACAAACAAGAGGACCAGCGTTGGAATCAAGGCCATAAAAAACATCTTGACGGCCCACCAGGGAAGCCCGTTGACGACGGTTTCGCCGAGTGCTGCGGTGTCTCTAGGCAGTCCTCCGGCCACGAATGGCGTAATGATTGAGATGGTAACAAACATAAAGCTGCCATACCAAGGATTCGTAAGAGCTTCGTCGGTACCCTCCATCATTTTCCACAACAGCTTGGGTGTCAGAGGCTTCTCTCCAAAGCGAGCTCGCCTTGGAAGATCCCAGCTCGGTCTGTTAGGAAAGATCAAGGCGCCAGGGCCATCCAGTGGGCTGCTGCTGTGCTCCGGTAGGTACAACCGACGACCACCTTCCGCGATGGCGAGGACTCCAAGTTGAAAGAGGATTCCTGTGATACCTGCGTTGAGGCTGCCGCAGTTATCGCAGTTGCGAATGTGAGCGAAGTAGATACAGAAAATGTAGATCGTGCTCGTGATGGCCCCAGCAGCAAGGCTCCAAGGGTGGCAGTCGAGCTCGGGAGTGGCGAAGAGACCAATCATGAAGATGAAAAGGGTCTGAAACGAGAGCTGAAAGTTGATGTTGGCCTGTTGCGGACGGTACAAGCACGTGAGAAATGGTGTCGCCGCGCCTGTTTGTCCTCGATGCAACCAGGCACTTTTCCTGACCACTGCGCTTACCAGGTGCGTGATGCCATCGTCCCAAGTGAGTCTACGAATTAAACAAGGTTACATTGAGATTCTTCTGGCATTACATGCTGTGGGCCGTGGCGAGGAGGATTCTTACCCCAGTACGGTTGCAATGACAATCGCAACAAACGACACCGCTCTGCCAACCCAGGCCATTTTGTCCGGCGTGGCGTTAGGATAGAGAGGATAGGCAACTTCTTCAGTCACCAGTTGGCTGATGGCCACCAGCAAGGAATCAACTGTGCTCATGATTGCGGCCAAGCTTGCAGTGATAGTGATCAGGCCGATCAAGAGGGGGAAACCACCAAGGTTCATTATCTCTTCCAAAATGGCAGCCAGCGGATTGACAATGGCTTCTCCATCGTCCGGAACAATCGCAACCCCGACCGTTCCAATGAACACACCACCAAACATGAGGAGCCACATACCACCGGTCATGGACACGTAGGCCGTTCGAAGGGAGACAAGATCCTGGTGGTGTGGGTAAGGAATTGCCGATCTGAGAGAGAAGACAGAGCGAATATACGGACAGCGGTAGGAGGAAGCACAACTTACTCGAGCGGCATAAGCGCGTTGCATAAGGTGGGGTAACGTGAAAAAGGTGAAGGTGGACAGCGCGAACTGCCAAAAGTCCATCTGATCTTCCCATGACGGTGTCTGGTAAAAGTCGGGGCGAGGGTACGTATCCAGAGAGAGAGCCTGCCAGCCACCGTAGTTCCTGACAATGATGAGCGGCAACACAAAGTATGCAACGATCATGATACTGGCCTGGATGCAGTCCGTCATAGCGACGCAGCGCAAACCACCGATCCACTCGAACATGAGGGTGACACTAACGATAAGAAGCACCGGATAGACCGTGTCGGGGGGGAGTCCAAAGATGCTGTTGCAGGTTGTCTTGAGGGCAATCACCTGAGCGGTGGTATAGAACAAGGAAGGGACGATCTGAAGCACGAGGAGCGTGTATCGGAGGATTTGACTCTGGAACCTATCGGTCACAAAGTCAACGGGAGTCTTGTGATTGCGGACGAGAGCGGCCTTGCGAAGTCGGAGCACCGTGCCCTAACATCCAGCGAAGAGCAACATGCAAAAGCGTGAGCAACGATGAGGCCCGGACGTAACACAACCAAGATGAATCGACTTACCGACATGCCCGTGACAACCGCCAAGGCCATAGCAACCCAGCGGAAAGCAAGGAAGCCATTTTTGAATGCTTCAGTGGGTATTCCAACAATGGTATACCCGCTGAAGAAGCTGGCAAAGACAGTGCCCGCGCTGAGAAGAGGTCCAATGGATCTACCGCCCAGATAGTGGCTGCTCAAACGATCCGTCTGGTGACCTTCCTGCCGGTTCTTCCGGTTTGCCCAAATCGCGCAACAGGCCAAGACGACGAAGTAGAGAGGCACTGTCACGAACAAACCCGTTCGATGCTCGCTTGACACCATCTTGCTTGGTCAGGGTTACTTTGTGGCTGTGGTCGTTGTGGGGTCGCGTCGTTGAGATTGCTTCTCGCTTTGGCTAAAACAAAGAAATGGGAAGATCTGGCAGGGAAGCAAAGGGTCGCAAAGAAGTCGCCCTGCAGTGGGGCAAACATACCAACCTTCTAGCCAGAGATCTGGATGCAAGTTTTTGGCAGGTATGTTCCGGTACTACTGCTCTCTGCAGAGCAGACCGCAGAAGCAGCTACTGGAAGCACAGCACTGGGACCCAAGAAGCAGGCTCAAAACAATCGCCACAGTATCTTCAGTACAGCTATGTCGCAAACAAGATCTTCAAGTTGTACCAGAGTTGTTTGCCTGTCGTTGATAGACTATCCAAAAAGCAGCTGTACCACTCCAGGGGTTTCTATCTTCAAAGATACTATTACTCTGCTTACGCCAATGTTGGATTGAAGTGTAGAGGTGATAGTTTGCAATTTCAGACTTGGAAGATTTGGCGACAGAACAATCACATCAAGAGTCAGGAGGCTGGCCAGGTTGCTGGTAGAGAAGCCGTTCATAGACATTGCCAATTTGGCACCCCACCCCACGAGCAAACCTATTTGCCCAGACTGTATGCCGAAATTTTGGGCTGAAGATGTAGATGCTTAAAATCATCAAATGTGATTAAAAGAACCGGTACGTAATTTGTGATCAGGTCCAAACAAAACAAAAGAGCTAAATACCGGTAGATACCGCACACTCCAAACCTGAAACTAAGAATCTCCGTTTTGAGAGAGCGAGTACGAGTACTCAGATTCCAAAGAGACTTTAGAAATGCTTTACACTGGATTCAGGAGGTTTTGTAAAGAATAGACCCAGTACGGTGGCTGACTTAGCTAAGAAACAGCACGAATGCTGAGGCAGCCTCAGCTAAGAATCTGCAGAGATCAGCGGCTGAAGAAGAGCCCCCACCCATGGCCAAGAACCAAGAAGTCAAGGCGGCCAATGAAGAATCCAAAGCAGCTACAACTGGGCAACTTCTTTTCTCAGGGCCAATGATGACCTTCGTGTTGGCTGCTTTGAGAGGACTGGTATGCTGCTGACTTGGATGGCTTGGAGGACAATGAGAAAATCAAGCCACAGGGATGCACAAAGCAACCAAATAAGGTTCCCAACATGGTGGACATGAGCCAAGAGCCAGCTGCCCCCAGAGTTCATGAGCCCTGACGAACAAGACGGGCTCATCAAATCTGATGATGCAGCAAATCCTTGGGCGACGAGGAGGAGAAATTGATCAGGCTTGAGAAGTGGGGGGTGGAGGGGAGGTAGACATCACAGCCAGTGACCAAGAAAGGCAGGAATGGTGGGAGGAGGGAGGTCCTTACTGACCTTTATTTGCTTTAGTATAAACAAAAGAAAATATATATACTGAAACTGGCTTGTGCTGCAAAGGCAATGTGTGGCAAAATGGGGCAAATGGGTGAGAAAGCTTGGGTACTATCTCCTAGATACATCTTTCTTATTGATGAGTTTGAAGTGTATAAATACCGGTAAAAGTGGATTCTGAAAGGAAACACTTCTTAAGTAATAAACAAGTCTGGCTCCAGCTTTATCAGGTATGCATAGATCTACTTGGTACTCAGTATGGATACTAGTACACTCTAGTATTAATAATACTGTACCGGTACCGAGATAAAGGGTAAATAAGCCGCCGACTCGACTCGATGCCATTTCTGAAAGGGAACACCTCATAAATACTAAACAAGTCTGGGTCAGTCACAGTTACTTAAGATACGTACTTCAGGTACAGTGTGTACTATTAATAGTAACACGGTACCGGCACACCGGTACCATACCTCCTTGTCTTGGGGCGGCACCGGACAAATTCCTTTTGATGGTTGATTTTGTATTGGGTTCATTCTTTGGATCCTCTTGACCCACATCCTCCCCAAGCCCAAAACGAAAAGGTCACACTCTTATCATCATTATGGCAGAGAAGAGGTTTGTGTACTTGGACGTACTGTATCGAGGCCGTGAGGGAGAACTGGCGCTGTCTCCATCAGGGATATCCTTTGTCACCACGGATGGAAGCAACGATGACGAAGAAGGGGACTATGATGCCTGCATCACAAAGCCCCTGTTCAAAGTGCCATGGGAAAAAGTCAAAAAGCACCGACTCAACTCCCCAAAGGCAGCAGAACCATCCTTACGTCTGACGGTATTGCGAGACTATGGCGAGGGAGAGGAAGAAGAAACGAATGTGTTTGGTCTATCCAGCAGGAAGGAGCTTGAGATTCTGGGCCTGGCCATTGATGTGCATCAGCGCGAGTTCAAAGAGAACATGAAGCCAAAGAAAGTACCACCCCAACCCCAACCAGACGCCATCACGATGGCCGGCACGGAATCCACAGTGGCAGAGTCGGAGTTCGTCTCGTCCGTCGGCTTGTTGCCCTCTGAGGTATCGTCCTTGGCATCTCCCGACGGCGACTTCGTCGTAGAAGCGCAACCACCACCACCCCAGATGGGAGGAGATAGCGACCTCGTCCGCTTGGTTTACGAACACCTTCGTGCTACTTCGGAACAGACGAACATGATCTTGCAAGCCATTTACAACAGAGAGCGTGAACAAGACAACCCTTCCGCCAAGGAGGCTTTGCCGACTGTCCAGGAAGGGTCAGTAATGACAGCACAGAGACTTGAACATCCGATGTGTCGTTTAGAGCCGTCCGCCTCTGCATCCAACATATCCCAGCTTTCGAGTCTGTCTGGGGTGGATACCTTTGCGTCCTTGCCTTCGGTTCAGGAGCCGATAATTTTTGCTGGATCCCCCAACAACCACCAAGATATCAATGCTGTTTCGGTAGCAGATAGTGATTACACACACCAACTTGACGAAGACCGCGAAATAGAATACCTCTGTGCAAAGGAGAAGAATGATGAACTCAGTGCATTGGAGACAGTCCGAGAAGAGTCCGTCGTGACCCCACAGCCACTTCAAGATGCCGTGTGTCAATGGGAGCATTCATCCTCTGAAGTCTCTCAGCAGTCAGGGGGGTCCAAGGCGGATACTGGTGAGGTTGGGTCGTTGCCATCCGTCCGGGAGCCCATGCTTCTTGCAGGTTCGCCCGGCCGCCGCCATAGCCTTGAGCCTAATCGGACATTTGCGCCTATTCGGAGACTTGGTAGTGAAGACGCAGGCGAAGTTCGCACCCTTGCGAGACAACTGGATGAAGAAGATCGCCAAGCCAAGGAGCAGAACAGGCGACAAGATCCCAGCGGCAACATTGGTGAGGCCGGCGAACTTGCCACTAGAGAGAGCAAGATGAAGCCCGGATTAACTCACCGCCGCCAAAGCACTAAGCGCGGCATTGCCAAACAATTGGATGAAGAAGACCGCCAAGCCAACAGGAAACAAGACCCTACTAGCGGTAACATTGTTGATGAGAGTGACGTTGGAGAAAGCGAACCCCCTCATCGCCGGCAAAGCACCAATCGGACCTTTGCCGGACGGTTTGATGAAGATTATCACCAAGGCGAGGAGCAGAGCAGGACACCAGCCCCCAGAAACAACGCAGTGACCACCGAGCCCAGCCGGGGGAGCAAGCCATCGCCTCCGGCTCGGCAACCGCAGCTGGAAGAGTCTCAGGAGCAACTCAAGCAGCAAGTTCTGCAGCTCTTGAAACAGCCTTCCGTTCCAAACTTCTCCGACGAGGAGCGCGATGGCCGCAGCAACGTCAGGCCCGGTGCCTATCATCTTCGCGCTGACCAAGTGCCAAGGTATGAGTTGGCAGATATCCCTGAAACAGAAGAACAGACCGTTGCATTCGAAGGCATTAGCCATGACCAGCTGATCGAAGCCTATCTAGTCGCTCAACACCAACAAGACAGCGCCCATCGCGTTTCTAGCCCACCCGAATCCGAGTCCGGCAGTCACTACGAAGATGATGAAAGCAATAAGACCAAGCCTCGTTTTTGGGAGTTGTCCGAAGTGGAGTTTCTCAATGCGCTGGAGACAGTCATGATCAACAAGTGCACGGAAGCAGTTCCTCTGGATCAAGACATTGCGGACCTAAAAGCTGATGTCGATTTCCTGCGGGCTGCAGTCAGCAGGTCCATGACGGTGCCCGAGAATCCTGCGCAGCACTGCGGTGGAAAATCCTTGTCGGCGCCCGAGAATTCGGCGCACATCTGCAGTGAACATTTATCACAATGTTCTCAAACGTCACCGCCACCCTCCACAGTTGCGCAGGGATCATCCGTCCACGGATCAGCGGTGCCAACGTTCCAAGGCGACCACACATACCAAGCCCCAAATACCGCAGTTGTTCCACAGGAAGATCCTGCCTGCTGCGTGATTCTATAGATGAGCCGTGTTGCGCCACCAACCCGACGCTTCACACGTTGCCAAGCCAAGATCATAGGACTCAAGTCAATCCGGGATCGGTCCGCAAGTTCTTGTGTGAATTGGCGGCGGTGCGGACGAACTGTCACGGCAACCCCTGCATACGACTTCAATGGAAAATTTACACATTTTATCCCTGGCCTGGCTTGGCTATCACTGATCAAATAGATGTAAAAGTAAAAGCCAATGAACAGATATGCCGTTGAGCACAAACGAGGCACGAAGCAAAGCACGCTCTGACCGATTCGCTTTATCCGCCATGCTTCGCACCAACCGTCTTCGCTTCGCCGTGCTGAGGCCTAACCGCACTCGTTCAAGCCGGTTTTAGAGCAGGGAAGCCATCCACGGAAAGAACATCATTTGGGAATAGATATCCTCACACCACACCTATGTGTCCCAGCTTGAGCGGGCTCCAGAATGTAACATTCTGTGTCTATACTGCAATGGCAAGCCTGCTACCTCCAGGGTATCTAGGGCCCGTCAACTCCATTGGAGAGCCACAGATCCTCACCAAAAGATCCCTGGCATTTTACTGCTAGCTATCCTCAATATTTCCGTGGACACACCTACAGTATTCATTCTCCACTCTGGCTGATAATTGCTCGCTGAAGCCCAAGCCAGCGCGGAGGTCAATGACAATGGTTGTTTTCGATTTTAAATAAATAAAAGTCAATTTTATCTATTAGTAGGTAACTGGTACATGTACCAGTATTTTTAGAAAAAAGAAAAATGGAGTCGAGTCTGTTTCGATTTTTTTAAGTCAGCGGGAGCTGCGATACCTCGACAGAAAGACAGATAGAAGAATGATGACATGTTTGAGATTGCACCATTGTTTCAAAGTAGCCCTGGCGACAACACCCGACTTCGTCGTGTGTTGCCGCCCGGTATCATTCCTTCAATATAACCTTCTTTTTTATTTATGCTAGCCCTGGTGACAACACCCGACTTCGTCGTGTGTTGCCGCCCGCTAACCATAATTTTACAGCTGTCACGCCCGTACATCCCTGTAACTTTTGTAGCTTCTGCTGGCTTATTGTGTTGAATGCACTAACCTTGAATAATCATGATTTATTCCTACCCCTAAATTTGTAGAGTTGGCTTGTGCCTATCTCTATCCCTATATTTTGGCTTCACCGGAACAGGAAACAGGAAACAGGAAGCAGGAAACAGGAAGCAGGAAACAGGAAACAGGAAATACCAAAAAAGGGGGTGAGGGCTCAGGCAGATAGACTGCCGAGGTAAAGAGTCTTTCTCAATGACTTTTCGCGGGGGCAGCGCTCATGGCATTTGCCCTCGATCGGCTCTCGTCGACCTCTCAACTTGTCTCATGGCATTGACGCAGTACGAATCTTCTCCTGTTATTGACGTACCAGGTAGTATCTTCCCAATCAACCATTGAGGTGCTCACCATTACTATTACTAAATCTATGAAATTCGTCGTTCGTTGTCACCCGTATTCATCAAGGCTGTGGTATTTCTCTTGGTGACTGCCTCTCATGCACAGAGCTTATTCTCTCTCCCAAAGACGGGCCGACAATGAATACTGATATTAGCGATGCAAACTTTGAGCTGATGAAGATTGTGGATCAGAGGATTGCAGCAGCAGCTGAAGACGACAACAATTCTCAACAAAGAGAACATCACCATCTAGGGAATCAACATCCAAGGGAGAATCTGACTGCACTCGGCCCACATACAAATACGAAGAGTGCTGGTAGTCATGAGAATGATGACTTTGACTTGATGGAAATCGTAGCCCAAAGAGCCGCCGCTGCCAGGGCGGCCATTGATTCTGAACAGGCTCAAGAGCCGGGTTTCCCAAAGTCCCACAATCAGGCTTCACGTCCAGCAAGAAGTCTCATGTGTGCTACGGAGGAACAAGAGCCCAGCAATATTCCAAGCTCAAGTATTGGTATGGCATCCTTGAGGCGCATGCAAAATGTCATAGCAGAGTTTGTACAGCCAGGAGCATATTCTGTTGATGGGATCGCCACACATCTTCAAGAAGAAGATGGATCTTCGGAATCGGACAATGAAGGAGGAAACTGGGAGGAAGAAGATATTCAAGCTGTCGCATATCCCATTGACCATCAGGGAACGGAAGAATTTCTCCCTAGTGGAGTGCCCTTCATAGCAAGAAGCAGAACTGCTTGGAAGAGAAAACTTTTGCGTGACGTTTCACTTCAAATGATTATTGTTATGCTCATCGTGACCACTTTCCTTGTGGTTTTTGTTGTGGTAAATCGAATTATCAGGGGCCGAGAAACCAGCCAATCAGTCCCAGAAAATGGGGTTGTTAGGGTTCCAGTGCTGCCCGCAGCCACACAAGCACCAATAAGTTCAAGTTCGATTGATGGCCTTCTAACGTCTCTTAATCTTCCTGACTATACACCTTGGAAGATCTACAAGACCATAGGTCCCCCCAACACAAGGCTTTTGAATGGCTAGTCAGCAACAAAACAAATCTTGCAACACTTCCAAAATGGAGAAGGACCCAAATTTTCGCTTTGGCTACCTTCTTCTTCTCCACCAGGGGAGACTTTTGGGTGAATCATTATAGCTGGCTAGACTGGGAAGTTCATGAGTGCAATTAACTGGGAACAGCGTTCCTTTACTCCTGACTACATGCAGTGTGATGATTCTGGGCATATAAAAGCTTTGTCCTTTATTGGAAACAAGCTAGATGGAACCATTCCACCAGAGCTGTCCCTTTTGAGTGCAGGCTTGGAGGTTCTGGAATTGCCAGGAAACATGGAATTGAAAGGGCAGATCCCAACCGAAATTGGATTACTAACAAAGCTGACAGAGCTGGTATCATTCAGTACAGCACTTACAGGAACAATTCTTACAGAGCTGGGTCTCCTGTCATATTTGAGGTCGCTTGGCCTTGGCGGGGGTGGAATAGGTGGAACTGTGCCCACGGAACTGGGCAATTTGGGTTTCCTTACAAGCTTAAACTTCTTGATGACCCAGCTGACAGGTACGCTTCAACTGTGTGCTGCAGCTTACCATGCACTTGTCATCACTAATATACTGAACCCCATATCCCTTACCAGGCACAGTCCCTTCAGAACTCTTCAAACTGACAAACTTGACATCCGTTGGAATACGTGATTGCCCTCAACTAGCCTCAGAGAAGCTTCTGCCAAACCTTGTTGAAAACATGCCCCAACTTGAGTATCTCATGCTAAAAAACACAGCCAATGATGTCAATGCCCGGATACCCAGTAAGTCATCTCCTGTTGTACCAGAAAAGGCATCTAGATTTTTCTAATCTCCGTACTCCAAGATGATATTGCAAGGTTGTCCAATCTTACGATGTTGCACCTTGAAGATTGGAACCTTAGCGGGTTGATTTCAAATCAACTTGGGCAATTGACACAGCTTGTAAGTCAATCTGTCCGCTAGATTGATTGGTGCTGTAGCCAATGACATGCTTACAGTTCTTTGCCACTCTTGATCTTTTGTCGTAGACTGCTCTATCCTTACAGGACAATTCTCTTTCAGGGCACCTTCCACTAGAATTATCAAAGCTAAGCAGTAAGTCATCAAGTCAGGGATGTTTTGAACAAGAAATTGGTAGCTGAGTTTACCATACTCTTTTCATGCAGACTTGTATTTTCTAGTCATGAGTTCCAACCAGCTTGAGGACAAGCTCCCGCCAGGCTTGTTTTCAAGCCTGACTTCATTGCAAGGGTTGCACATGAATGGGAATAGATTCATTGGCACCATTCCAAGTGAGGTTGGTCTCATGTCTAACCTTCTGAAGTTACAACTGCATGACACAGCCTTGTCTGGAACTCTACCCACAGAGCTCCTTGCCTTGACCAACTTGAGATTCTTAATGGTTACAAATACATCCTTGTCTGGGAGCATCCCTGATGGGCTGTGTGGCATGATGCGTGGTTATGAAAGGGAATGCCATGAAGCTCATGGCTGTACTGGCAAAAAGACTACCACAAAGGTGTGCCAAGGCACCTTACTTTGTGGATGCAGCTGTGGTCCATGCTGACGAAGGTAATTCTGGCTAGAGACAAGCTTTTAAAATTGTCAAGCCCATGAGGAGTGCACGCGGGAAGAAGTGTCTGAAGCTGTGCCATGGAAAGGTTTTTGGCATTCCGATAAAATATAGTTGGCATATTATCTATACATGTAGTTACAGACGGGGTCCGTTATCGTGACTGAGCCGAGCTTGAACGATGAGATCAGCATTGGGCCCGCAAATGCCGGAATCAGGGCAATCTACAATGAGTGTTATTGGGAGCAAACCTTTCTAGCTATAGCAGAGGAAGACTCTGTGAGGCTTCACTGCAATGAGATTAGTCAAATCGCAAACAGCAATTTGGTTGGAAGCATCTCCAGAGAAATAGACAACGGGGCATGAGTTAAAAATCGGACGGTTAAAAATATATAGCAGCGCCCCCATTGGAGGCAAAGGAACGCCCACAACAATCCACCTCAAATGACAGCTTCTTCGGCTTCCACTACCGGTAGTTGGTTCTTTTGTTTTGTGCGACTAGCTAGCCTAGCCTAGCTAGCACCACACTCCCCCATCTGGCAACACTTGCAGATTCCTTCGTGCTGTTGTAGTTGTAGTCGCCTCTCTATCTTCTTTCTCGTCGTCACCACCCATATGTACCATGGACAGAATCGACAAGGTTTGTTCGGAAAAGAACCACCCCGTTCCAAAGAGCGACACTGCGTCGTCGTTGTCAGCACTGTCAAAGCAAATTTCTTCTTCTTCTTCTTCCAAGCACGAAGAATCGTCCTCGTCCGTTTGTGGTTGTTGTCTCTTTTGTTGTTCGTGATGACGATAATCGTCTTGGTGTTGTTGTTGTTGAATTTCCTCGGTGGTTTGTCCAAAAAAGACTTGTTCTTCTTCCACAATACTAATAGATTGTCGTGTTCTTTTTCGTTTTCGTTTTCGTTTGGGGAGCCGAATGTTTCGATTCCGTCGACACGGCCGTCGTTGCCAGATGATACAGAAACCACCCAACACCAGTAGCAGAAGTAGCCCCACCGTCACTCCCACAAATGACCCGGATTGCGCTTGTGTTGGTTCCATTTTTTCTTGACAATGTTGTGTCACGGTTCCTTGCGTCCCTTGCAACATGCCGTGAGTCCCTTGTGCTGCTCCCGTGAAAACCCTCGTGTGATTATTGGTGTGATTATTGTTGTTGTGAATGATATTCCAACAGAGTCTTTGTTGAAAGGCTTTGGCTCCCTCAAACATGGCCGTCATGTCGGTGACCTGATGTACATCCCACGAGGAGAGATCTTGATTGAACGAGTACGCGTTCTATATATATATAGTGAAGAGGCATGAAGAAAAAGAGGAGGGTGGTCATCAGCACATGTATATCAGCTTGCAAGAATAGGATAGTTGAGTTAAGTACTCACATGAAACATAAATGCCAAACTTTTGGCTCCTGTGACATTCCAGTGTTGCAGGGGTTGATTGAATGCGGCCGCTCCATCAAACATGGATTTGAAGGCCCATTTGGGTGTAGTCGTAATAGTGCCAGTATGATCTTGCGCGGCCGACACATCCCAGTGCCCAAGTTCCCCCGCAAAAGCCGTGGCATCGTGAAACATGTAAGAAAAGAACTGGACTCGACTCACATCCCAATCGAGACGAGTGGTGGAAAAATGCTCGGCATAGCGGAACATGTGACTCATGTCCGTGACACGGTGAGTGTTCCACTGTTGCAGTAGATTGGTTTGCGTCGTATTGGACGAACCGAACCGCGCAGCCCCTTGAAAGAGTCGACTCATGTCCGTGACACGGCTGGTATCCCAGCCACTCAAATCTTGATCTAGCATGGACGCGCCGTGGAACATGCTGCGCATGGTGGTACATCCACTCGTATTCCACCGACTGATATCCGTGTTGAACAAGTTGGCACCGGGTGTCGTCAATTTCCAATTTCCATCACCCAAGTCTTGCCAAAAGAGCAAACTGCAATCGGTCACGCGACTCGTATCCCAGTCCGACAATTCATCGCACGCGGTGGGATTGTCGTCCGTCAGCGCTTCCAAGCATTGCCGCACATATGGACGAAAATTCGTGTCGTCCACTACTACTCGCGTTGTGGATGCCATCGTACGTATGACAATGCAATGCAAGCTTTTCAAACGACCCCCAATCAAACCCTTACTGCCACTACAACAGCATCCCTCTTGCAAGCTATATATTCTGTCTCTCCAAGAATTCAAGTATGGCAACAATCGTCTTATTGTGCCAGTTTCGGTGTTTCGATGGTTTGCCTCGAGACTTGGAACAAGGAACCGCGCATACAAGAGGTTGGGGGAAAAGGGACATCATGAAGGGTACTTGGAAATCTTTATTTAAGCCAACAGGAAGGCTGTATGTACCGGTGCCGTCTTGTGAACTGTTGAACTGAGCTCGAGAGTGTTCACATGTAGTGCAACTAACTCTAATTCCGTTTTCTCTGTACATAAATAACAAAATCGCCCCTGTGAGTTAGTAATACATCTCGTGAACTCCATGGCTCCTGCAAACCTCGCAAAGCAAAGACGCAAAGACTTTCAAAGCATTCCATGTAGGAACGATGAAGGACGTCTCGACAGAGATTTGAAGCCCGTCAAAACACTACAATGTCATGTATGTACTCCGACTAGTCAACTCTGAGCTCTGAGTATCCAGTGGACTATGTGCCACTACTGAATGGTGACAAAAGTTAATCACTGCGGACTGCTGCACCAGTGGCTGCCTAGGCTGCAAGTAAGTGGGAAGGCAGTTTGATCTTTTGCTGGGAGCTGTTGTAGTCCACCGGCTTCCTCCTAGCTAGTAATCTAGTAGCAAAACACAAAAAGTGTTAGTTTTGACCCTTGGACTTTGGAGAGCTCTTTGGAGCTGCTTGCTACTGTACCGGTACCTGGTAGCTGATATATACATTGCCCCACACAACCACACAGCACAGCTACGCAGCTATCGGCAGTACTAATACAGTAGACTAGACTAGTACATGTATTACACAGGCAGCTGAAAGCTGAAGACACCGTTCTCCGTTCAGCTTCGTTCACTCCGTTCTTTAGAAAGAGCTCCGAGCTCCGTAAGACTAGTAAGTCAGTCGATGATGGATGACGAAACAGCTGTCAGTGATTCGATTCGATTCAGTGCGTCAGTGTCTATGGTCAATAAATCATTAAAAAGTATACAAAAACCACTGCATCACTCTTGTACTAAATCTTGATAGTCGTGGCCAGAGCAGTCACCTTTGAGAGTGAGGAGTCAACAACAATTATTGAAGCCAGCTCTAGAGCTGGACAGCAATAATTGTACTCACTAGCTCTCTTATTACTCCAAAAGCCAAAGGCAGCAGGTTTTTTGGTTTTTTGTACGCACCACAGCCACAGCAAACACAACTCCACTATGCATACATTTACATGTATCTAAGCTCGCCATCTCCAATCTCCAGTTAAAAAGCTTTTTGGAATCGAATCGAATCGGCTTCCTGGTCCAGTTCTGCAGAAGGTGTCAATTATCTGCCAGTATCTATCAGCCTTTTTAGGAATCCGCCCCCCGCCCCCTCATTGTAGCCTCCAACACTCTGGAAAAACCTCAGCAGCAGCAATTGAAGCATGGCTGATGGCAAAGATGCCGCCGCGGACGCGGACATCCAAACGATTGTGCAACCACGGGTAGAGAGCAAGACCCCTAAGGACAATTTGGATCCACTCGAGGTGGTGCAAGCAACAGCTAGCGATCCAGCGCCACGCAGAGAACCACAAGCATCGTTGTCCCACTCTGAGAAAATGGAAGAGAAGGAGGTTGAACGCCACAGCACTGATAAGCCACAGCGTAGTGCTGTCCAGAGCCACAGTCAGCAAGGGTCGTTGTCCCCCCACGAAAAAACAGAAGAGCGACGGACAGAATGCCAGAGCACTGATTTGAGACGGCATAATGCTGTTCAGATCAACAGTATCCCTGGAGCCTACTTCATCCAAGGTTTGGTTGGGCGCACAAATTCCATCAGTGATGGTTTCGATTACGAATCATCGGATGAGGGGATGAGAGCCGATATTGAACTAACCCGGTGCAGCAACAATCAGGGCGAGCCTGTCGCTGTTCCAATCGAGGACGATTGCGTCCCTTCACAGTTTGCCACTCCCATTACGTCTTCCACGAGCAGAACAAAGAACAAGTTCTGCGTGTACTATTCCCTTGTGCTCTACGTTTTCTTGGTTATTGGAGTTTTTGTGATTGGGTCGCTCTGTGCAAGCGGCCTCGGCACCTTTGGGGACACCTCTGAAGTAGAAATGGGTACTCCCGACAGCTCTGAGCAAATCCAAACATTAAGAACACTTCTAGAAAGAGACCTGGGTGATGGCTACTTTGAGCAGTCAGAATCGACTTCTGCTTCTTCTCCACAAAACAGGGCACTTCATTGGATCTTGAATGATCATCCACTTGAAATGGATTCCAGTGGCAATATTATGGATGGTAGTCTCCTACAGAGATTCATTGTTGCCCTCTTCTACTTTGCAACAACGGAAGAAGAGCCATGGCTTGTCTGCAATCCTCCACAAGGGGGCGAGTCGGACAGCTGCCAATATGACTCATATCCAGAGTCTACAGGCATTAAACCTCATCTCACAACTAGATGGCTCACAAAGAATTCAGAGTGTCTGTGGGCGGGCTTGCTCTGTAAGAACGGGGAACTGGTTGAGATTCGGCTGAGTAAGCAAGGACATGTATGTGAACCCATCATGATGATTGTGCATGTTGTCTGACTCTTTTGTCTTTCCACACTCCTCCATGTGCAGAAGCGAATAGGCTAAATGGGAAAATCCCCACTGAATTGGTTATGCTGACAAGCTTAGAACAAATTGATTTCTTAAAGAACAAGTTGCATGGTTCCATCCCAGTTGGGCTCTATCAGTTGCAGAATTTGGAAAGGCTGGCCCTTGAGAATAACATGCTTACAGGCACCCTCCATTTGTCCTTCTTCAAGTCAAATATTCAACGCCTGTCACTGCAATACAATCCCATCTCTGGAACTATTCCAACTGAAGTTGGGTACTTCCAAGGCAGGAACCTTTGGATAAAAAGAACTCAAATATCTGGGTCAATTCCCTCTGAATTGTTCAGCCTCACAAAGCTGAGGCAATTGACTCTTGATGGGACTAAGGTAGGTACCAATCGCATGGATCCAGCCAATAGTCATCATGACCAGTGGCACAAGGAGGACTTGTTCTAACTATTAATTCGTTTGGCCAATGACAGGTTTTTGGGTCTCTACCTACTGAGATTGGCAATATGTCAAACCTCATTGTCTTGTCTTGGAAAGATGGTCTAGCCTCTGGCACCATACCTTCTGAACTTGGTCGTTTGGAGAATCTGGTGGAGCTGGGGCTGTCAAATAACCCAGGACTAAGAGGAACCATACCAGAGGAGGCGTTCACCGGTCTTCGTAACTTGAGCTTTGTGGTACTGAACAGTTGCAACTTTTCAGGAACACTGAGTACCAATTTTGGTGACTTGCACAGGCTGAACTATTTGGACATTGCCAACAATGCCTTCACGGGAAGCATACCGGTGGAGATGTCCACCTTGTCTAATCTGCAACATATCTGTGTGAATGGGAACCAATTGACAGGAGATTTTCCTGGAAGTGTATGCCAATCGATGGTCAGCAAAAGCAGAGAGGTAGTGGCTGATTGCGCACTAGACAAAGCAACGAATGTTGTTGCAATGCCATGTGAATGTTGCACGCAGTGTTGTGAGCCATCAAGCGGACATTGTAGTCCTCAATCCGGAAATGTCTTGCGTTCTCTGCGCAGAATCAAGTCGACAATGCCCACCTGAATCAATAGAGGAGCCTTTGAGTGTTGTCAAAATCAACAGCTCACGAATTGCTGCAGGTATTGTTGCCATGCCACGACGAGCCCAACCAAGGTGGCCGTGGCAACCAAACTAGTCTACACGCACGTACCGGTAGGACTCCGTGCCGGCCTACAAGGAACGTTGGTTGCTCAGTGATCGGCATCCTTTGCTTTGTGAACAGGTAGTCGAATTTGCTGCTAGCTAGGGCCTCTTTAGCAAATTTTCTCCCCCATAAGCACGGCCATTGGCGCGTTTGACTAGCTGGCCTACTAGTAGCTGGCTGGCACATGGAATGGAGGACGTGAAACCTGTCTATAGCGGAAGCGTTCTTTGCCCTGACTGGCCAGCGGCCAGCAGGTGCAGCACTGACTTTCTTGTTCTTGCTAAAAACCTACTTGTAGTACCTACTAGCCTACTAGTACCCCATTGCCACAGCTATTGCCACCTTCTGCCTTCTGGCTATTACTACTAGTGTACGAAAACCCTACAGTACAAGTACGAAGTCGATGACGAAGACGATGTCATGTGCGTGGTACTGATGAACTGCTCAATGGCTCAATGTGTCATCTTGTCAGCTATGTGTCCAAAAAGATTCACTTCTCTTGGACAAATCAAATGATTCGATTCGATTCATTCGCTTCCTGTAATTCGGACTAATACTGTATAAATCCGGCAATTTAACCGAACCACTTACTTACTGTGCATCGTACTCAGTGCTAGTACTTTTTTTAGCGGACCCCTATTGCCCAGTGACCGCGGCTCTGACTACCAAAGTTCCACGAATCCCCCCCTTTCCGAGTTTTCTTAAGAAAAGGAGTGCTCCCTTCCTTTTCGGGGTTGCCAGGTTCTCTGGCTGTGGCTTCTGGTTCAAGGTTTTCTTTAGATAGGGAGATAGGGAGGTTACCTACCGAAGCGATGCTGCGAGGGTGGGGCTTTGGCAAAGAAGACAGAGTTGTGCACATGGCAGTCGAGTGACAGTCAGTCTGGTTGCCAGTTGCCAATACGTGTTGACTGCTTCGGATAAAACTTGCTTCTTGCCAACAAGAGTGTTCACTACATGTAAAGGGACACAATGAATAGCACAATGGATGACACCAGCAGCAACAGTGGTGATGAAGCAGCTATCTATGATGAGGAAATCCTAAAAGTGGTGCGGTTAAGAGCTTCTGCTTCCACTCCACGTACCGATAGCGGTACCTTTACCTTAAAGGTACCGGTAGCATCTCCCTGCTCGAAAACCCACATTGCTTCTAGTAGTCCAGACCGCCCAACATTGACCGCGGTTAAAGACAGGACCGCTGCCCGTGGCGAGGAAAAAGCTGATATCCTGAAAATTGCAAGAGAAAGAACTACTAGTAGTAGAGAAGCTACCGAAGCATTCATGGACAAGGATGCATCTCTGTTTGTAGATGAATACACAGACGAGATATCATTGCCTGAAGCTGAAACTTCAAATTTAAGACGTTGTCAAAGTCTCCCCGGAGCCCATTGGATCGAAGGTCTATTCACAGGTGCTTCATTATTTGAGAGAGGCCAACGCTCTGTCGCTGATGATGAATCAGGTATTATAGTAGAAGCATCCAATGAGCTTGATGAGACCTCCCCTGTAGCACAACTCATAGTGGACGCAGAACCCTCACAAGTCGCACGTCCAATGAATAATGAGGCCTCTTTCAGGCGGAAGAAGCATATCCTATTGTATGCCATCCCTTTGTGCATGGTGTTGCTCACCATTGTCATTTTTGCTGCGTCCATTTGTGGAAATGGTCTGTGCAGCCAGGGTGAAACTCCAGAGATAGATGAAGCATACACGTACCGGTACAACCAGGATGTACAAGCAGCAAGACTACAAAAGCATCTGGAGCAAGACCTGGGTGATGGCTACTTTCGCCAGTCTGAATCTATTTCTTCTCCACGAAACAAGGCCTTCCAGTGGATTCTGAATCATCAAGCCAATCATGATAACCCCTTTCTGTTGCAGAGATTCATTTTGGCCCTCTTGTACTTTGAAACGACTGAAAATGAGCCATGGCATGTATGCAATCCTCCAAAAGGGAATGAGACAGACACATGCTACTATAATAGTTTTCCAGAGTCTCGAGCCAGTGAACCTGAACCAAAGGCTAGATGGCTCACAGTGAATTCAGAGTGTTTGTGGGCAGGGTTGCTCTGTAAGGATGGGGAAGAAGTGAATGAGATTTACCTGAGTGAGTCATCATTTGTTTGTTTGGATACTGATTCTGATGCTGGCGGGAGTCCTAATGATGTTATCCTTGCATGCATGCACTGTTAATGTACAGAGAAAAATCTGCTCAATGGGCAGCTTCCCACTGAAATGGCCTTGCTTTCAAAGCTGCAGATTCTAGATTTTCTGGGGAACAACTTACATGGATCACTTCCAGTTGAGCTGGCTCAGTTACAGAATTTGGAAAGGCTGGCCTTGTCCGACAACAAACTAGAAGGCACCCTCCCAGGAATCCTGTTTGAGAATCTTGCAAAGCTCACACTCCTGTCTGTGCGGCAAAATCCCATCACTGGGACCATTCCAACTGAAGTTGGGCACTTCCGGGGCATCTGCCTATGGTTACGCAATACACATCTATCAGGGTCAATGCCGTCAGAATTGCTTAGCCTCACAAACTTGCAACAATTTGGGATTTCTGATACCAGGGTAAGCAACATGAATTCAACGTGCGTTATGGAAGCTGCCTATTGACAAAAGCTTACCACTGCATGATTGTTGGTTACATCAGGTTGTTGGTACCATCCCCACAGAGATTGGCAATTTGTCAAACTTGCTACAGCTAAACCTTTCAAACAACCAGGGATTTGGGGGCACACTACCCGAGGAATTATTCCAAAGCCTCAGCAACTTGAGGTGGTTGGAATTGAATGACTGCAATTTTTCAGGAACACTGAGTACCAGTCTTGGCCACTTGTCCAAGCTCGTGTCTCTGCATATTGCAAACAATGATTTCTTGGGGCGCATTCCTGTGGAGATGTCTGCATTATCTGATCTGGCATATGTGTCTGTGAATGGTAATGGTTTCATTGGGAGCTTTCCGAATGAGGTGTGTTCACATCTCAGCATAAAGGCAAAAGTCACGGCAGATTGCACACCAGACAGAGCATCTGGCGCTACCGCCATGCCCTGTGAATGTTGCACACACTGCTGTGACCCATCCACTGAAATATGTAGTGCCATATAGAAGCTCGAAAGTTCATACTTCATACATTAGACTAGGATACAAGAGAGCTTCATCTCTCTGGGGGGTTTCAGGTGCCCACAAGGCAATCTCCTATCTACAATCATGCGATTGATATCCACGCAGACACACTCATGATACATAGAAGCGGTAGAGCTTGCCAAAGCAGGTCATTCATTCCAATAGCGGACGAGCTTTCCGCCCATGGCCTGTCCGCAACGGAGAAGGGAGGTGGACTAGTGCTACTGTTGGCAAAGAGATCGCCGGGTGCTCCGTCAGTGGCCACAGAGCCATCATCTTGCGGGTTGGGAAGGTCAATTTTGGATTGATTCGTGGGATTTCCATCAGCGTCACCAAGATCTGTGCCATTCGTTGTGGTAGCTATTCCTATAGCGATAGTCACGTTGCCTGCGTTAGTTGGACCATTGTCTTGGCTGGATTGGGAACAAAACGAAACAGGAGGGGAAGATCCAGGAAACTTACCGGTCTCTAGACTTGGTGATGGAGTAGATGAGGTCGGAGCTTTCGTCGCAGCTATAGGAGCAGCGGTGGGACTGGAAGTCGTAGGACTATTGCCGTTGCTGTTACCACTGCCGCCTCCGCCCAACCCGGAGACTTCAAACTTGACAATCTGACCATCCGGTTCCAGAACCTTGATGGTGACACCAGACTCAACGACCCATCCATCCATGTAGGCATCCGTGTTGGGAAAGACCGTGTTACCATTTCCGGGCCCCAGCTCCTGCCCGGGAGACCACAAATCGCCGGCATCCCCATAGTTCTTGCCTTGTTCCAAATCGTATTGTCCATCGGCAGGCAGCATGGCCACTTCGTAATGATGGCCATTTTCGGGCCATTCCAGGCCACTGTCGTCCGTGTGTCCCGGGTATCCAGCTTGGTCTTGTCCATCTTTTGTGTCGTCAATGTGGAAAATGGCCAAGCCATTGCCGTACAGATCCACATCGAATTCCAATTTTTGTCGATTTTCCAATAGCAAGTACTCTTCGTTGGGTCCAAAGGAGTTGATGACAATTTTGTAGGCATCGTTGGACAATGGAAGTGGCTCCAACGTGTAGATTCCATCCGAGTCAATGATTTTGGGCGTGATCCACTCGGCTTGTATTTTACTCCATGTGCACAAGTGTCCGGGTTTGTTGGCATTTCCCTTGGGTCCTTTTTTGGTTTGCAAAGTCAAGCAGACATGGCAAGGACACGCGTCAAGGAAGGATGAATCATACCAACAAGCGATGCCAACATTCGATACTACGACGAAGAAGTTCTCACCGTATGGATTTGCCATGATGTCAAAGCCGCCAATACCCAAACCCATGGGAGCATAGAGATCCTTTTTTTATTTTTGAGAGAGTTCGCGAAAAGAGTCAATGTGAGACGAAACAATGCAGTTATGATGGATCTGGCATGCAGACGCAGTACGAGTACGTACAATGAGCCCAAAGGTATGCATGTACCTACAAAGCAGCAGCATGAACAGATCATTAGAAAACTGAAATGCTCCAAAGGGCTTTCCGTAGACGACATCGCAGGAAGCAAGGACCAGCTTACTGTACAATAAGTAAGATTCGAATAGAGAGGAGTATGAATGCGGGTAGGGAGGAGTATTAGTCCAATTTCAACACTTGCCTCAGAAAACAAAAACAGTGTGGAGCTCATTGTCCATTTTCATAAAATTGACTACTACACGATTGTACGTACCTCATGCACCGTCAGACCAATGGTGGCGGGTTCCACTCCCGTGTCATCTTCTAGCGCCGATGCGACGGTGTATCCATTGAGTTGGACACTCCCGTCTTTGGAGGTCCATTTGATTTGTCCACTGTTGGCAAATGCATGGGCCCAAATCCGTTGTTCGTAGTGTGTCCCGTATTCATCTTCTTCTCGAGTCTCTGCCCCGTATCCCGAGTGTGTAACCACCACACTGTCCAGTTTGCCATCTTCGTCGATGTCAAAAATGGACCAGTCCCAGCTGCGTGATGGACGACAAATGAGAGGGCATGTTGAGACTTGAATGCAATGCAAAGCTAGTAGTGCACACTTGCAATTCCAACTGTTACTAACGGTACTACTCACCCCGGTGTATTGTCCAGAGCATCGAGTGCCGGCCAAGCGGCCTTTTGAAAGTCCGGCGTAATCCCTCGCTTATCAAACGCATAGTATTCTTCGGTATTGTCCGTGACGACCCATTCGGTAACGACGGGATCGATATCGTAAAGACCATAGCTATTGACATCAAACCATTCGGGCACCAATGTCTTCCACGTATTTTCCACATCGGCCTTGTCCAATCTTGGTCGATCCACGTGATCGGCAAAGACTACGAGGAGGATGAGGACTTTGAATTTTCCCAAGTTGGGATTATTGCGGCGTTGCAAACGGCGCCGTTGAGCTGCGGCATGATCCTGCATACTCTGATCGGCCGTACGGCATTCGTCGACTGTCAAAAACCGACAAATCTCGGGATGTAACAGGGAAGGTGTAAAGTTAAAGTCGATGCCCAATCGTTGCCGCATCGCATCGACTGGTTCCCAGCCGGTCGCATTTCTTGGAGGGATCCATGCCACAACAACGTAGTGGCTGAAAACGACACACAGCCACAAGACAAAGGAGGGTTGAAGCATGGTACTACTAGTATAATATGTTCTAAAGGACTGCCTCCCACGGCTCTTCACTCTTCTGTTTTGTCTTTTGGGTTCACCTCTCATCGTCATGGTAGAAGTCTCCATCATCAGATTCTTGCTGGTACAAGCCAAGCAAGTATTCAAGAGGGTCTGGATTGACGGTATCTTTGGATCTTTCTTTTGACTCAATTCGGAACCAGAATAAAACAGCTCCACTGGTTTGCAATTGTATGACGTCATGATACCCGGTGTGACCTCCTCTCATAAGTCTCCCCTCAAAGAAGCCGCAAAGACACCATCACCAGCTGGAGTGTTCCTTCCTGATCCTGCTGCCTCCTGGACAATCTTGCCAGATTATTGCACTCACCTCGGCTGGCGGTGACACGTGTTGCTCCGTTCTCACGGCCAAATCAGACAACCAGTGTTCAGGAGGTAAACGCCCACAACAAACTTCGTTTTACCCGGTTGGCATCCGTGTGAGTCGTACCATAAAACAAGCTGGCATCTGGTCGTACTATTAATATTGTGCCTAAAGCTCCCATCTGAATGCCCTATAAAAACCGCAACCAAGACCATCTCAAGATTTATCTAACGACAGAGAACCCATCTTGGAAGGTAGATTTATCGATCGTTGACAGTAAAAGGATGCCTCTAGTACCGCCTTCTCAGTAGCTCGTGAATGATTTCATGCTGCTAAATCTGTCTATCTACACTGTACTATAATAGTATTGTACCTGAGCTTCTCATCCTTGTAGTTGTACGGTTAGTACCAGTGAAATGTAGTCATTCCAAGTACAGTACAATGATCGATTGATAAAAAGAGGCTTCAAAGCGTAAGAATGTACGGCCATTGTGTGAAGGAATGTGAGTACCAGTTGCTAATGCTTAGTCATTAGAGGCTGATCTAGTAAAATATAGTGTAGTAAGGTTATAGTAAGTGCTCTTTTCAACAGGGTACGTTGGTGTAGAGGAGCGTGTTTTGATTTAGGAGACATGTCTGTCTCTAATTACGGAAAGCAATACCTTGACTGTATGAACGGTTCTGCTGACGATGACTTACGATGCCTGGCACTGGGTCAGAAGCCCCCTTGTTTAGAAAGACCAAAGAGGGGAACCGAGGGCTTTGTTTTTGCTTTTTTCGGCGTTTCGAACCCAACATTTTGATCTTCCGCTTGCCAACAAACAACAACCTCTATCTATACTGTAGCTAGCACCTCCCTGTTGACCATGATACGCCGTGGGTTTCTCTCGTCAGTGTTCGTATCGAACAACGACGACGACAAGTCTGGAGCAGCAGTGCCTGATACAAGTACATTACCGTTGTTGACAATGGAGGACTCTAGTAGTGCTAGTAGTGGCAGTGACGATGCAGGACCAGTCCCAGTTGATAGCCATGCCGTAGACCAAGCCAGCATGGAAGAAGGGACCCGCTTGCTGCCTTTGGATGAGAGACGACCTTCCCATCTTACTAGGTAGGTACTGTGGGATTGATAGGTGGATAGGTTGGTCATGAGTCGAATTCATTCTCACATCTTTTGATCTCTTTTGCTGCTGTTGGTGTTTCTATTGGCGTTGTTTGGTGTTTCTATTGATGATAGTGCTAGCCTTGGCAGTATGAACATGAACATGAACATGAGTATGAATAGTAGTAGTAGTAAGAGACGGGTGTCTCTGTCTCCGTTTGTAATGGTGAGGGATGATTCAACAGGGCAAGTCTTTATGGACGCACTGGAGCAGCCGGGCTCTTCGAACGGAAGTAATGGGGAAGGTGGAGGGGCGGAGTACAGAAGAAGACAGAGGAGAAAAAGGAGGGCTGAACGACAACGACAGCAGCAAGAAGAGCTAGAACAACAGCAACAACAGCAGCTAGAGCAACAACAAGAACAAGAAGATCTAGATGCGTCCATGGATCTAGCAGAACTAGGAATGGCAGAACAAGGGATACAAGTAGATGCCGACCAAGCAGATCAGGCTGAGCAAGAGGATGACGAGGAGCCCATGTTCTACGCCACGGCTCTCTCTTCTTCCTTTTCCTCTCTCAGAGAAGACTCCAACAGCAGCCAGAGTCTTCTCACCAACGGTACAAACTTTCCCCCTCTAGTCCAACCACAACCACAACGGCGCCAAGTGAGCTTCCGAGACAGTCTCACCAACAACAGAAGCAGTAGTGGGCGCATCATTGACGTCGATGACCTCATCGATCTCAACAGCAGTGCCTCAGACCTAAACGTCACTACGACTGTCCCTCTCACTCCCACTCAAACTCCCAGTGTCCGATTTCTAGACCTCCTGGACACCACCACAACCACAACCCTTACTCCCATCAGTATGGCACCACAAGAAACGCCCAGTGTCCGATTTCTAGATGCTGCACCAGGTGACGGTGATGATGACGAGGAAGCTCCAGCTAGTACGGAAGAAGGACAAGAAGACAAGACCACCAAGGGCAACAGCACGGAATTCAGTAGTGCCGAGTTTTCTACTTCGTCGTCCGATGAAAACAACAAGATTGACAATGACGACGACGATCAATCGGACAGTATCATTTCGGATGAACCCAGTGTCGTCGACAAGGCCACACAAATGGAACGTACCATTATGATGTCCTGTGGTCTGGCCATCTTTATGTTGATTGGTGTCAAGGTGTTTGGAAAACTCATGAAATGTTGTAACAAAAACGCCACGGAAGATCTAGAAGCCGAACTCGTCGATGAAGCCGTCGATAATGTCGCATTGGTGCATCAAGAGTCTCTCAAAACATTGATCGTTCCAGTGGCACCCGAACAGTACGTACTATTGATATATTGATTGTCGAGTTGATTCGAGTCGAGTCGATTGCTTCCTCCTTTTGGCTATGCCTCACTAACGCTTCCTTTTGTTGTTTTTCGTTTTTCGTTTGCTGCTGCCACAGAGCCGCCACACAAACCATGGCCGTACAAGGAGCACAAGGAGCCGCCAACTCGACTTCCTCCGGAATCACTGCGTCCGCAGGAGGAGCCGATGGTGCCTCCAAGAGTCTACTGTCACAGCTCAGTTCGTCTTCGACCACGACACAAGCGGCTGTCGCGGGAGGAGTGGCCGGAGTCGCTGGAATGGCCGCGGTCGGAGCAGGGTTGTTGCTGTCGCCGGCGGCCGTCGGAATGATGCCCTCGTATTATTATTCGTGTGGAAATGTTGTCGCACCCGATTATCAGCAAGGACGAGTGCAAATGACCATTCGAGGATTGGATCCATTCAAAATGGCAGAACGCAAATCCATACTCGAAGAGATCTTTGTCGATGCCTACAATAATGCCAGTGGCATGTGTGGGGACTACTATCAACGCATCCTCGATACGTCGATCATGGAGTCGTGGAATGTACATAATGAGGATGATGGTGGAAACCTGACTGCTAGCAACAATAATGCCACCGCTACAATCACAACGGTATGGTCGGCATTGGTCGAGTGTCAGGCATGTCCCGATTTGGATCCACTCTTTCATGTCCCCGACGACGAATGGCAACGGCGGCAACTCGTAGAGGCGGCCTTGTTGGTCCAAGATAGGAGCAGCAACAACAACAACAATGACACCAGCCTCGACAACAAAAACAACACCCAGGTAGTCGATGCCGTTTTGTATGGTTATGACCACAACAATGTGGACCACAACAACAATACTTCGAGCTACGACTCGAGACCCCGGACGCAGTTGGAATTCCTCCAATTGTTTGTCGGCGTATTCAATACGCAGCTACAAGAGCGATTCCGGTCCTCGGCCATTTACATTGGTGTCTTGGAAAAGACGGTTGTAACAACGGATGCTCCCTCCGTCGCGCCCTCGGTCATGCCTTCTGTGGCCCCGTCACAAGCACCGTCACAACAACCATCGCAGCGCCCCAGTGACCAACCGTCCGAAACGCCGTCCAATCAGCCTACTGGCATCCCCACCAATCGACCGTCCATGATCAACCGTGACACCGACTTTGTACTCGACTTTTTGCAACAAATTACATCCGAACCCACGACGTCTCCGAGTGGAACACCCAGCGATTCGCCCAGCGACACACCGACCAAGGCTCCTACGTTTCCTCCGACACCACTGCCCACATTCGAGCCAACTCCTCTTCCGTCTCGTGCACCGACACGCAACCCAACCACCACTCCATCAGAACAACCTTCCAAAGTTCCAACCAGCGCACCGACAGTGTCGCCATCGACGAGCCCCAGCAAAGCGCCCACATTCCCACCAACGTCGCCGCCAACTGTCACTCCTGGATTTCCCACGGCGGTGCCCTCGAGCCAACCTACACTCGTGCCAACAACGAGCATGCCGACGGCCCTTCCTACCAAACAACCTACAAGCATGCCCACAGCCCTGCCGACCAAACAACCTACACTTGCGCCCAGTCCGTCTCCAACTAGTGCACCGACCATGGTGGCGCGAAAGGTGACCTTGTCTCCCACGGAAGAGCCTTCTCCCAGTCCCACGCCACTTCCAACTCTGGAACCCACACCGAATCCAACGGCTAACCCCACACCGAATCCAACAGGTTCTCCAACTACCAAAGGACCAACAAACCAACCCAGTCCAGGTCCCACGCGTCGCCCAACTCCCGGTCCTACGCGTCGACCAACTCCAGGTCCCACGCGTCGCCCAACTGATGGTCCCACACGTCGCCCAACACCAGGTCCCACGGCAACCCCTACAACCCTCGTACCATCGATCTCGCCGTCCATTGCGCCAAGTGCTTCCTCCGGATCTCCAAGTGCGTCGTCCATGGCTCCAACTTGGTCATCGTTTGGTCCTACCGTGTCGCCCTCGAGTGCTCCTTCTTCAGCGCCTACTTCCACTCCTTCGCGGATGCCCTCGTTGGTACCGACCGTTGCTCCTTCGGTCGCCCCCTCCGCCTCTCCTTCCTCCAGTCCAACTAGCGCTCCTTCCGCTAGTCCATCGAAGAGCCCAACGGCATCTCCATCTCACCAACCCAGTAGTGCTCCTACAACCTCCCCCAGCTCGCTCCCCAGCAAGGCTCCCTCCCCTTCACCCAGCAGCACACCGACATCTTCTCCATCCGATTCGCCGACTGTAGCTCCCACCAAAGCACCAACCGAGCACCCGACGAGGACACCGTTCTCTGTGGTACGCTTTGCTCTGGTGGATGCGGATACAAACTCCTATGTCTCTGGGTATGAAGACCTACAAGATGGAGTTGTCTTGGATCGAGGAGAGCTTCCGGAACAATTGACGATTGAGGCGATCTGTGAGCCAAGTCAAATCGGAGAAGTGCGGTTCTTCATTGATGGGTCACAAGTGAGGAGAGAAACTACGGTCCCGTACGCTTTGGGTAGTGACATTGACGGTACTGGAAACTACAGACCGTCAGACAAGTTGGAGCCAGATGGAGAGGAACACACGCTGAAAGCGGTTCCGATCTGGTGGTTTGGATTAGAAGGGCAATCGCTGGAAATAAGTTTCACAGTGATTCGAACCACGGCGCCCCCGACCATGACTCCAACCACAGCTCCAAGCACAACACCATTCTCTGTTGCGAGATTTGCTCTGGTGGATGCGGATACAAACTCCTATGTCTCAGGGTACGAAGACCTACAAGATGGAGTTGTCCTGGACCGAGGAGAGCTTCCCGAACAATTGACGATTGAGGCGATCTGTGAGCCGAGAGAAATTGGAGAAGTGCTGTTCTTCATTGATGGATCACAAGTAAGGCGAGAAACTTCGCTCCCATACGCTTTGGGTAGTGATGTTGATGGCACTGGAGACTACAGACCGTCAAGCAATTTGGAGCCTGATGGAGAAGAGCACACGCTGAAAGCAGTACCAATCTGGCGGTTTGGATTAGAAGGGCAATCGTTGGAAATACGGTTCACAGTCATTCAAACCACAGAGCCAGACGAGTAAGAGCATGCGCAGTCAATAACTGATACTATAGAATAGAAATAGCCAACTAGCTAGTTGCAATATTCCGTGCTCGTGTGCATACACTACTAATAATAGCTAGGTTGGTTGTTGTCTTATGCCTCCCGACCGGACGTTTTTAGATTGCTCCAGAACAAGGTTGTGTCCTGGTTTGCAATCGTAGGTAGAATTAGTTAAGCTGACTATAGAAAAAACAGTACCTAGCTAGTACGGGCCTCCCCTTTGGACGGTGGTAGGCCGCCCTGTACTAGTATGTAGAGCCCTACCACCGTCTACATACGCGACGGTGTCGTCCTGGCGGTTTTGGCCAACCCAGCTACCAGCCAGAAGACGGGTTACGGAACCAGAGTATTCTCACCTTTAAGATAATGAGAATAATCTAAGTCTTCTTCAAGTTCCCTCTAAATCTTTGACATGAGTGTCACCACATTTTGGAACCTCCATTTTCCCCGTCTTATCCTCTTCTTTGTTGACTGGTGGATCCACCTTTTTGCTGGTACTACCAGTGTTTGGCCATCATGTACTTATAAAATGGACATGATCTAAAGCACTACACTGTTTACATGTGATTCTACTAGCTAGATTTTCTTTTAGTAGGCACATAATGCTACTGGATAATGTTATATCGAATGGGGCTTGATAGGAGTAGAGGCGTCGATCCACAATGAGACTCCAAATTGCTTTCTTCTTCTGCCGACAGGATACTGTTCGACGACATTGTAATCGGCTTCGGTTTTGACAACCGATGGCTTGCTGTTATTGTATAGTAGTAGCCACTGTTTGTTGTTGTCGCCGTAGTAGTAGCAGCAGTCGCTGTCTTCGTTCGATCGATCGTCTTGTGGTAGGAATCCACCACCGATTTCTTCCCTTTGGCTGGTATTAACGGTGTCGATTGGATGCCTTGGGCTTCTTGGTTTCATGGGTGGTGCCATTGTGAAAGGCAATGTGTGTTGGGGCCTGGGAATGGCTTCATCCACCGCCACTGATGCCAGAAAGACAAAAACAAGGGAAAACGGTAACCTCTAGTTCAATAGCCACTGAGTAACTACACAGCCACAAAATGGACTTCTAGATGAAACCGCTGCGACGGGCATGTTAATATTGACAAAGTAGTCATGGTGAGTACCTTTTGATTGTTACCATGAGAGTGACAAAGTACATCTACTTCAGAGGAGGGAGGTGTGCAAGAAAAAATGATGGTGGTGACTTGTTTTTTGATGTGGTGTTGTCTAGAGTGGTTCTTCTGTCATGCCAGACTGAGCTGAGCTTCACTGTGTGGTACGGGTATGCATGCAGGTACGGTGCACTAACTGCCGCAAAAAGAACTGTTCCGCGGTATTCCAGGGACCACCCAGGATGGAACCTGTATTGAGCAATGGAACCGGTCTTCTGCCTGGTAGCCAGACGTTTGATTCTTCTAAGCGGAACACAAACACAAACACAAACACAACTATCACAATCGCCACCACAACCAGCACGATCGTAGCGTTGCTCATGATATCTCTGCTGCTGTAATATATAGAAGAGTATCTCTTCAGTCTCTGTGACCATGCCAGCCCAACAAGTGAATCAAGGGGAAGGTCCCGTGGTATCTTCCTCTCCGCCTACTTCTGCAGAACCTTGTACGACAGCCACTCCATCCGATGCTCCTACTACTAGCATTACTGCTGCCTCTAACTCAACGGTCCACAGCATGTACCGTCGACGACTGTGGAGTTTGGGTAGCATGTGCATGGTGGGAATTTTCAGTTATCGAGGCACATCGACCTTTTGGAGTCGTCACACCAAGTTGCAGGGGACTTTGGACTACAAGACGGATGCCGACTATTCTTACTACAATTTACGAGATGAAGAACAACAACCTACCGCCGTGACAGCATACGGTCCCCTCGGTGCCTTGCGTTGGAACTGGACCCATTTACCAATTCAATCTCAAATCGCCAAGGAATTTTACAAACATCAGACCAACTGTGACTTGCCACTGCATTATTTCCCCAGTCGTAATGCCGCCGGATTGGGCTCTGATTTGCACGTGTACGGCATGGCCCTCTGCAATGCCCATCGAAACGGGAAACGAATGTTTACGCCCTTTCCATGGATGTACGTGAGTCACGAAGATTGCGATCCCATTGCCACGTCCAATTCCGCCATGGGTTGTTATTTCCCCAAACTCGAATTGCAATGTCCGGGAGATGAAGGACGAGCCATGCAAGTATGGAATGCCAGTCGCATCATGGCCGATGTCAATCCACGCCTCCACAGATTAATTTGGGAAACACACGAAGACATGTCGTGTTGGAGTATGCTCAAACGACCGGGGTATGAAGGACTGTTCAATATTATGGATGTCCGGTCGGCCATTACCGAATTGGTATTTTCGGCTGTTTCACCACTTCTCCTCAAAGAAGCACAACGACAACACCGAAAAGTATTCCCCAAAGGTGCTCCACCACCGCATCAATTGATTACCGTTCATATTCGATGGGGCGACAAGGGCAGTGAAATGCGATTGCAACCCGTCCGCAAATACATTAAAGCAGTCCAAAAAGTCGCCCAAGAACGCCGGTTGTTGCCGCACGAAGTGCACATTTTCTTGGCAACCGAAGATCCACGAGCGGTCCAAGAGTTCACGCAATTGTCACCCAAAGCCTGGAATATTCACGTCGATCAATTCATGTACGACATGTTGCCGCATCGCAACAATCGGACCATGGAAGTGGCGGGAGCGGCAAAGAGGGGCATGGAAAAAACGGGATTGTGGGCCCTCGGGAGTTTGCTCGTCGCCATGGAAGCTGATAATTATGTACTTTCGACCGGGAGTAATTGGAGTCGATTAATGAACGAACTGCGAAAAGCTGTGGTGCGGGCGCGGAAATGTCCCACGCCGCATCATCACTCGTTGAAACACCACCACGGACTCTGGAACAATACCAGGGGGGATTGTACTACCTTTTTGGATGTCCAACCCTCACATTCCCCCTACGAAACCGGCGACAATGATCCACGACAAGACAAGCATTCCCTCATTCTCAGCAAACTCAAAATGCTACGGGCCAATCGCGGTAACGGACAAGGGGGTGTCATTGGATTTGGACGGCATCGCATTCCCACGGCGCCGCCACGGAAATGGACCGAATTCAACGAAAATGCTCCTCGCATCAAACCCGATTCGTTGGTCCACAAGGAAGCTCACATTCGTCGGGTCAAGTATCCTCGATTGCAAAAGCGGTTTCCGCGACGAAGACGACGATTATTCAATGTGCGGTAGTATATATACGGTAGTAGTAGAGAGCTATGTATGTATTTATATATGCATGTATAGTGTATCTCGTCTAGTTTGTTCCATTGTTGTCATCCAATTTCGAAGCATGAGAAAAGTGAGGGACTGGGTGTATGGCGATCGTACCAGTTTGTCTCCATGGCTGTTTGTCTCCATGGCTATGACTGGCACCGCTAGGAGCGAGCAGGGATCGAAGATATTTATGGAAGCCTCATCAGCACGGATCACAGCTGCATCCACAAAGTAAGGTGCCCTGGCATACATTTGTGGTGGTTTCTTTGCCAGTGCAGCCATGTGTTTCATGGCATTCCCTTTCATAACCACGCATCATGCCACACAGCCCATCAGGGATGCTCCCAGACAAGGATGTATTGGTGACCATCAAGGTTGTCAAGTGGGTCAAGGCAAGGAGCTCTGTGGGTAGACTTCCAGACAAGCCTGTGTCATGCAGTTGTAACTTCAGAAGGTTGGACATGAGACCAATCTCACTTGGAATGGTTCCACTGAATCTATTCCCATTCATGCCTAGCCAATTCAATGAAGTCAGGCTTGAAAACAAGCCTGGTGGGAGCTTGTCCTCAAGCTGGTTGAAACTGATGTCTAGCCAAGTCAAGTCTGCATGAACGAGAGTATGGTGATCTAAGCTGACTCCTGTTTTGCCAAAACACCCTGACTTGATGATCGACTTACTGCTTAGCTTTGACATTGTTGGCGGAATTCGTCCTGAAAGAGAATTCTCCTGTAGGCCTAGAGTTGTCTATGAAAAAGGATCAAGGGTGGCAAAGAACTGTAAGCATATCACTGGCTAGAGCACTGATATATTTGCTAGCCTTACTTACTAGCTGTGTCAAGTGCCCAAGTTGGCTTGGAATCGACCCTTTAAGGTTCCACTCTTCAAGGAACAACATCGTAAGATTGGACAACCTTGCAATTTCAGCTTGGTGTACAGAGATGAGTGAAATGTAGATGCCTCTTCTGGTGCAACAAAAGATGACTTACTGGGTATTCGGGGATTGACATCATCAGCAATGAAGGTTAGCATGAGCCACTCAAGTTTAGGAAAGCTTTCAACAACTTTTGGCAGAAGTTTCCCTGAGGTTAGTCGAGGGCAATCCTGTATTCCAAAGTTTGTCAAGTTTGTCAGTTTGAAGAGTTCTGAAGGGACTGTGCCTGGTAACAGTATGTGGAGTCCAGCATATTAGTGATGACAAATGCATGTTTATTTGCAACATGCATTAGAAGCGTACCTGTCACCTGGGTTGCGCTCATGAGTAGGCTCGTGAGGCAACCCAAATCACTGAGTTCGGTGGGAACAGTTCCACATATTCCAGTCCCCCCAAGCTGAAGCACACTCAAATCTGACAGGAGACCCAGCTCTGTAGGCATTGTTCCTGAAAGTGCTGTTCTAAATGTTACCAGCTCTGTCAGTTTTTTAGTAATGCAACTTCCGAGGGGATCTGCCCTTTCAATTCCATGTTTGCTGGCAATTACAGAATCTCCAAATCTGAACTCAAAAGGGAAAGCTCTGGTGGAATGGTTCCATCTAGCTTGTTTCCAATAAAGGACAAACCTTTCATATGCCCAGAATCATCACATTGTATGTAGTTGGTATAAGCAGCTCGCTGTTCCCAGTTGCACTCATGAACTTCCCAGTCAAGCCAGCCGTGATGATCCACCCAAAAGTCTCCCCTGGTGGAGAAGAAGAAGGTAGCCAAAGCAAATATTTGTGTGGTTCTCCATTTTGGATATGCTGCAAGTTTAGTTTTGTTGCCGGCCAGCCACTGATATGCCTTGGACTGAGGGGACCTTGGGTATTCTATGATGGCATCCAAGGTGTAGTTGGGAAGATTAAGAGATGCCAGAAGGCCATCAATCGAACTTGTTGGTGCTTGTATGTCTGCCGGCAGCGATGGAACCCCAACAATCCCGTTTTCTGTGGCTTTTTGGCTCGTGCTTTCTCCACTCCCGATAATTCGATTTACCACAACAAAAACCACAAGGAAAGTGGTCACAATGAGCATGCCCACAAACATTTGAAGTGAAACATAACACAAAAGTTTTCTCTTCCAAGCAGTTCTGTTTCTCGCTATGAAGGGGACCCCACTAGGGAGCAATTCTTCCGTTCCCTGATGGTCGATGGGATATGCAACAGCTTGAATATTTTCTTCCTCCCATTTTTCGCCTTCATTGTCCGATCCCGAAGATCCATCTTCTTCTTGAAGAGGAGCGGCGGTCCCATCAACCGGATAAGCCCCTGGCTGTACAAACTCTGCAATGACATTTCGCATTCGCCTCAAAGATGTCATACCAATACTGGAGCTTGGAATATTGTCGTGCTCTTGTGCCCCCAGAGCCTGATTGCTGGACTTTGGGAAACCTTGCTCTTGAGCCTGTTCAGAATCAATGGCCGTCCTGGCATCAGCGGCTCTTTGGGCTACAATTTCCATCAAGTCAAATTTGCCATCATTCTCATGACTACTCTTTGCATCACTAATACCGGTATGTGGGCCCAGTGCAGTCAGATTCTCCCTCGGATGTTGTCGTTGTCGATTTCCTCCAAGATGGCGTTCTCTTTCTCGAGAATTGCTGATGTGCTCTTCAGATGCGGCTGCTGCAATCCTCTGATGCACAATCTTCACGAGCTCCAAGTCGTCACTGCTATTATCAGTATTCATTAATTGTCGTTCCTTCTTTTGGAGGCGGAAACTGAACTTTGTCTGTGCATGAGAGAGTCAACAAGAAGCAGAGCACACTGTAGCCTTGATATATACATGAATACGGATAAGGGATCAACGCCTTCATGCTTTGCTCAATTGCATGGGTGGATCGAGAGGACCGACGGAAAACCAGCAGCTGCAGGTACAAGTAAGTAAGTAACGACTTATGATACTTAGTTAGGAGCAGGTTTACTCCGAAGAGTCATTTGAAAGAGAAATTCAATCACTCTCTGTGACTGACTGACTGACAATCATTATTTCTTCTCCCAACGGTCATCAATCTCATGAACTCCAACCTCCAACCTCCGACACATTAGTCTACATTACATGTACTTGTATCGGCTGTTGCTGCCTTTGGCTGTTGCTGCGTTTGCAAGAAGCGACTACTGTATGCATACTGTAGGATATACCGTACTGTATAGATAGATGAGATGTCAACCACGTCAAGAAAGACTCCTCGAAAAAGGGTCCGTTGTATGCTTATTGCCGGCATCTTCCTTGGGGTTTGGGGCATTGCTCTTGTGTGGTCCTATTATGTAGCCCACCAGAAATTCGAGCCAGGGGGTACTACTAAGGATGCGGCGGCTCTACCCAAGTTTCATCAGAGGCAAGTCAAGGAAGTATCATCATCAAAATCATCCCAGCTAGTAGTAGTGAAAGACTCTGCCACGTCTGCCGTGGCAAAATCAGATCCGAAAAATCCCTGGTTTGGCTGGCAACCGGCCATCTCTGCCACGATGGAATGTGGATGGGAAGAGTGCTTGGCCGCACAAACGAAATGTCGTACTTGTCGACAAGAACCACTTGGAGATCCTCCTCCACCCGTAGACAACGATTGGATTCCCGATGTGACCATGCTGCATCGCATGTTCTTGCAGGGCAAAGACTCCAACGACAAACCATGGCCACCACGTGTGGGAGGCGATATCTGCAAAGACTTTTGGAATGGCCGTGATATCAACAAACAACTCTTCCAGCAGGTTCCGGTTTCCATAGTAGCGCCACCACCTGCTGCTAAGGCTCCAAAAGGACCCAAAATTTTCTGTGGCATTTACACCATGGCAAAAGCTCATTCCTTGACGATTCGAGCCATGCGCGAAACCTGGGCGCCTCGGTGCGATGGATTCTTGGCATTTTCTACTCAATCCGATCCCCGCATTCCGGCTATATCCATCACACACGAAGGCCCGGAAGAATACAACAACATGTGGCAAAAAAGTCGCGCCATTTGGAAATTCATTGGCGATCACTACCTGCAAGAGCAAGAGTATGATTACTTTTTTCTAGGCGGTGAAGATTTGTTTGTCATTGTCGACAATTTGCGGGCGTATTTGGGAACACTGGCGTCAGGCCCGGAAGAAGACCATTTTGTGGGACGACGGTTCAAAGGCCATGGTCCTGACAATTATTTCAACAGTGGTGGCGCCGGGTATGCCCTGTCGCGTGGGACATTGCGAAAATACATTGAACGCGGCTACGATCATCCCGATTGTGCGGCGCATCGACATACGAGTATGGAAGATGTCATGATGGCACAATGTTTGCGAAAAGTATTTGGGATTGGATTGACCGATACTCGTGATGATAAAGGAAGAGAACGATTTCATCCCTTTGCACCGGGATCTCACTTGACCCGCAAAAAGGACGAACATGATTGGTACAATGACTACAACAAGGAATGGGGGATTGGATATGGTACGGACTGTTGTGCTCCCGATAGCGTGTCGTTTCACTATATCAAAAAAGCCACCATGGTGAGACATCTACACGCCCTTTTATATGAATGTGGTGACGGTACAAGCAAGCAATGACATGCATAATCAATCTACATGTATAAGATAGAATACATGAAAATTTCATGGGCATACACCACCGACAATTGACTATACCACAATACGGTAACCAAGTTTTGAAGCGAAGGGTTTTCCCACGAAGCACTCAAAGTAAGGTGGTCGATGCGCTTGCTTCGTGAAAGGACTGGAGTTGGGCCAGGCGCACGGTAGTTCCCCACAGGTTGGGTCCGGCGATTTGACGTCGGCCAGGACCCTGGGCAGGGTGTTTGACTGGGGCGTTGGTCCTGCAAATAGATACCACAATAATATGTGCAGTGGTAATGGTGCGAATGGTTTCATTTTCTATTTTGTTTTGTTTTGGAACTAAGGTCTTCCCATGCTGCTCGACTCAAAGCATGGTGGTGGATACGCTGGCTTGGTGAATTCCGCTACTCCTTCCGCACACAAACTCGGGCTTGGCAATGGCGGCAAATGCATCCACCACAATAGCAGCAAGATCCACCTCACAGCCGGCGTGGATACCCCGATACGCAGTGATGGGGCATCGGTAGGGTCGGCTGTGAGGGATCTTGCGCCAGTCGTTGTTGACTCCTCGAGCCCACACTACCACGTGGTTGGGTCGGCGAGGGTGGTTGGCCACACCGTCCGCGATTCCTCGGGCATGGTCCCGATGCAGGACACGAAACGCTTCGCCCCGAGTGTAAGCCTCTTGCAAGTCTCGCAGTGCCTCTCTACATTTGGTATTCCATTCCGCATGCCATGGATCACTTACGGCATTCTTGTTGTTGTTCCCCTCCTGAAAGGAAAAGTCTAGCTCCCATACGCGCTCCGAAAAGGCTCGTTCTTTACATTCGTTCAATAGATCGTACACGTTCTCCTTGTGATAAGCACACACGGCAGCCTCAAACAGAGATTCAAAGGTATATTGTTGCTGTAGTCCTGTTGCGGGTGGGTGGAGACACGACGAGAGCAGTCGAAAGACCGACTGCCACAAACCGGCGACAAGACTGTCCGTGGATCCTCCCGAGGAGGCCATCAAGAACAGCGGCCACCCATCCACTCCCAACCGTTGTACCACCGAAGGACGTCGCATAAATTCCAAGTTCCCTCCCGACGTGCAATAGTTTAGCAAGCCAACGACGGGACGGCTGGGATTGGCCGCAAAGAGGCGATGAAAAATGAGCCGCAGTTGCGTGGAATAGAGGTGATAAGGGGCCATTCCACCGGCATTCTCCGTTGCCACAAAGTCCAGCAGGTCATGCCGTTTGGATGGATACCGGTAGGGGAAATGCGCAAACCATTCGGCATTCAGGTGATGATTCTCCGTTTTGCCGCCCATCATTGCCGAAGCATCGGCAGCGTGAGAATCCCCATGGCTATACACGGCGAAAAACAAAGCCGAGCAATAGTTCAGCGGCACAACTTTGGGACATTTCCGCGAGGCCTCGCCGCTGAGGACGCTCCAAACTGTGGCAGGGTTGACCATTTCAAAGTCATAGTCCGCCCCTCCTTCGTCTAGTAGCAGCTGACAATGCAGGTCCGTCTCTTCCAGCTGTTTTCGATAAAACCGAGGCGACACTCCTTTGGATGACACCAGGTCTCCTTCTGCACCCATTATCAGAGTAGTTCGATAGTCCTGGAGCTGACAGATGGTAATGATCCGGTCGCGGGGAATGCCTGCCATGCGGAGGCTCTTGTAGGCATCGCCAATGAAAGGCACCGAAGTGTGCTGAGAGTCACGCTCACTGCGAATCGGTGAACCCTGCGCTTTGCATGATTCACCACCGATCAAGACAAAATAGCTTTCGCCATGGTGATACCGTCTCCGCTTTGTCATCGTCTGCTTTGTGAGCAGTTTGATTGAATTGGGTTGCAAGGCTCAAACCCACTACGAGTCGTGGATACTGGTTTTAGGGTTCATGCTTACACCAAAAGCGGCTTCAAATGATGGCGAATATTTCGTCGCCCTGCGTCCCGTGGAAGGTGGTGTCAACCAGTCGTGGCAATCTCTAACTCTTTAGTCGTGGCTGCTCCGCAGCACCGCAGCTCCCCAGCACCGCAGCACCGCAGCAGCACGTTCAGCCAAATCCTCCGCAGCCTCCGCACGGCCCGATAAAGACCATTGGTACAGCCAAAGAGCAAGCAATCAGACCACACTAACCAAGGAAGGAGACCCAGGAAGCGTCTTGTTGGGTGTAGAGAGCATCAAATCGGTACCCATCAGTGGCTCAGTCTCTTCTTGTCGCGCGCCATCATTTTCCATCTGGCAGAATCTGTCATCTCAACATCTGGCAGAATCTGTCACGTGGAAAAATGGAATGTCACCATGATGAGCTCACTTTTTTGTTCAACCGGATTGCTAGAGTTGCATACCCAACCGAACAAGGAAGACTTTTGCGATTGTTGATAAGCCAAGGCCAGATCAACCCCCCTACTTTCAATTACCTCTTCTATCAATCTTCTATTCAATACCTATCAATTGCAAAATGAAGTTCTCTTCTTCTATCATCAAGCTGCTCTCGTGGTCCATGACCACCGACAACAACAACAGCAACACCATGAAGACCCCCGTTCTCCAGGTCGCCAAGGAGATGACGGGCAACAACAACAATGACAAGGACGTTCCTGCGGCAGAGGAAGTCCCAACGTTCCAACTGGATGAGTTGGACAAAGATGTCGTCCAAACCGCGGGACTGTTGCACACGTATGGAACGAGTCCTGATGTGGAGTTCCAGCAGCACGGTCGCTACCTAGGTGCCTACGACCTTTCCCTGGTTCCTGCGGATCAGCATGGTCACTACGGATACGACAACAACCAGCACCAGCCCAAAGGTTGTCGCATCCAACCCAGTCAATCAGCCAACACTCGCTGGAAGGCCCATTACGGTCAAGACACCGAACGGAGCAATGGAAACCGTTTATCCTTTGCTCCTGTCAACACTGTAGTGGGGTACTCTTCTGACGAGAGCGAACAAGCTGAGAACCGTCGTGTCTATCGAGACATGAAGAAACATGTGCCACAGGCCCGATACGAATTCTGGCATGAAGCCCAACAACAATTCATTTCTGTCGGCACACAAACACCCCACGAACGCGTCTTGGATCTCGTGCAGTTGATTCAAGAGTACGGATACCAGCAAGTGGCCAAATGGATCACCAACAACCAATGGTTCCAAAGCGACAAAGCGTACCTACAACGCGCCAAACTGTACATTCAAATTGATGCCGTGCACCAAGACCTCGAGGGACTTGTTCGTTTCATCAAGGCGAAGAAAGGAAACGACAAGCTAGTCTCGCACTGGTTCATGGTCAACGAAAAGAACACTTACATGTTCGAACTCGCCATGTGCCACTTGCACCACGGAGGAATTCAGCGCAACGCTGACGACGAAATTTGCACCTTGAATACGCGAGAACAGATTGCCAACCGACGATTTGTCTATCGCAAGGTCAAGGATGTCTGCATGGAAGATGTAGCACCCGTAGAATTAGAACAACAACCAACAACAACTAAAGACGTCGAGACAATAGAAACAGTCTCGACCGTCGACGACAACAAGATGGCATCCGATGCCACAGTCACATGCGAAGCAGTGGTGGTTCCCACATGCACAGCAGTGGTCCCATACATTCAAAAGTGGCATGTGACATACTTCAAGATCAGTGTGCATGGACAACAGCCATTTGTATTGGAGATGCGAATGATGAATGGTGTGCTTCTTGGAGTAGTACCCAACAACATTCTCGAAGCTTTGATGAAGGATGGTGGACACCTTGTCAAGGAATTCATGCGCCGGCACACAACACTACGATTGGAGGCTGGCGTAGCCTCGGACGATACGGATTACGAATTCGTGACTGGCGACGAAGTGGTAGTTGAAGAACCACTGGTCGAGATCGAGGAACAACAAGTTGATGTTGAAGAACCACTGGTCGACAACCGAGTCGATGAGGAGGACAATGTGGAAACAGCACAATCAACTTTGCGACGATCAAAGAGACGCATGGCAGCGATTGCATCTCAGAGAATTGCAGAACAAATGAAGACGAAGCCACGACGGGTGGCAGTTGAAAAACCTAGAATAAAACGTAGATGTGCGGCGGCCACCAAGAAAAAGTCGACAAAGCCAAAGGCGAAGGGCAAGAAGAAGAAGAAGACGACACAACCTGTGACGGACACACAGCAGCAAACCACAGTTCAGACAACAACTCGTTCTGGACGGCAAGTCAGAAAGCCTGACCGGTACCTTCCAGTCTAGGAGAACAGGTAAGTAAGTGGGGACGTCGACGACGGATTGGGGGGACTAACACAATACAATACACAATGAGCAAGCATCTGGTGGGGTGCAGGGCTATACAACAATTTTGCGGAGATGAATACAGTTGGTTCAATTGAAGGGTCACATCGAAGGTAGCCAGGTTTGTGGTTCCTGTGCTAGGCAGCCTCTATTGCAGAGTGCTTGTCCGAACGTCCTCCACGCGACGAAAGTCCAAAGTTAATACCCGTGACACCCGACAACCAACCTCTATCATTGTTGATGCTACAATCTTTTTTAAAATACAACCAAACAGAAAAATAGAACAATAACGCATAGTAGACAATCTTTACAAACAAAAATCATGGCTTCATTCTTTATAGTAGTTGTAGTCGTACTGTAGGGCAAGCTCTGACACGTACTGGTAAGCGGTCGTCCCTATGTGCACGCGGAGGTTACTGTGGGGTGTGCTTCAGATGGGACGATTCGATTGAATCATTCCGGATTCTGGAAACTGCCTGCTTCCAGGGAGGCCGTGCAGATTGCAGCTCGGCTTTATCCAACTACTGTACAGTACTCACAGTAAGTAACCTTACGATCTGCATCAGCAGCATTCTACGGAATCTTTTGTGTTGAGGGGGCCACGGTGAATCCAAACAAACTTGGACTGCAGATCCCAAGCCATCTATTTCTGTGCAAGACATGTGATCCATCCTATTGTTTGCTTTTCTATACGGAAGCAATCGATGACTGTACCGTACTACTGGGCAACATGACGATGTGATCGATCTTGCCGTGAACGCTGATGCCACATGGATAACCCGCCGACGCACGCCAAATAGATAACGGCAGCACGTTGATGTTCTCTCCTGCACTCTGCTGACCTTTTGTGTATCTGTTTTACTAGCTAGCGCGATTCATTTTAAAATTAGTTACTCACGATGCCAAAGGTAGTCAAGTACTCTGCAAACATTTCATCAAACAACTTCCTCTCGAGTCCCAGTTCCTCCAGAGTTGGGTTTTTGTAATTGGCTTTGGCCTTGTAGGCTTTGTGCTTGGTTCGGTCTGCCTCCAAGCGTTTTTCAAATTCCGTCCCTCTAATGGGATATCCCCACGCATCGTAGAGTTTGTGCACCACCTTGTCCTGATCTTGAACGTAGTCATTCAACGTTACCACCATGTGTTTATTCTTCAAAAAGCTCATTTCGGAGCGAGTGAATTCTTGCCAGAATCGTACGTGCCCCGCAACGAGAGCTTTTGGATCGTAGTCTTCCGCCGGTGACAAGCTCTTGTACGATGCTTCCGTGAGTCCATAGAGAGACACAAAGGCATCGGCAGGATGTCGGACCATGCCCACAATTTTGGCTCCTGGAATTTTGTCGGCAATGGTGGGTACCAGGGATATCAGATGTGATTTGGTCAAAAGATGGTGGCCATTTCCCCTTCGGTACAATATTTTCTGCAAGGCTCGTTCGTATAGCACAAACGATCGTTGCTGAGCGGATTGTGGCAATCTATGGACATGACCCGATTGCACCCAAACCTCGGGATGCGGAAATGCCGCCGCTAGATACCATCCCACCAAATGAGTGGACGCCAGCAAAACATCGTCTTCTTCGGCTTCGTGCCAGTGCATGGGATGCCGTGCCATGACATCCGGTCCAAGTTGTGCTTGGAACTTGGCCTCCAGATTTTTGATCACCGTGGTTCCCAGGCGTTCATCTCGTAATTCCAGCCAGTCCAAGAATTTTTGGACGCAAATAAAAGGCCAAAATAACTCGATGAATCTAGGACTGACAAATCGCTCCTTGTCCAAAGAAAGGGCTCGATGGAGTGACGTGGAGCCACATCGGACCGACGCCACCACAAAGACACTATTTTCCAGACTAACCCTGCGGTAGTCCGGGTACAAAATCTCGTCCAGCATCCAAAGGAATTCATGGACCGTCAAACTCGAGAGGCAAAAGTACAGGGTCCGCTGGAAGACTGCCTTGACAGCCGCGGCTGGCATTTGGTAAGCTTGCAACAGAGGATTGTCGGAAGTGGACTGGAGAAATCCCGTGAGAGCCTTGAATCGCAGCCACAGGATACAAGAGGGTGCCATCAGTAGAAACAACGGTGTATCCGTCGCCCAATGAAGGCACAGCCATGCTGTGGCCAACCACAAGAGAACAGCCACAATCATCGATCTCTTCCCTATAGGTACTGTAGTTCTCTTGGCTTTTTGACTTTTGATGGAAGAGGAGCACACAGTGATCGAGAAGAGTAAAAGCAGCCTTGGTTTGCAATCTCTTGATGGTTATCGCTGTCCGTGCCGTACCGCCGTACGGTATGCACTTGTCTGTTGATCTTGCTGTGTCTTTTCGGGTCGTCCAAGGACTGGGAGATTTACTGGACGGAGAAAGCTTAGATTAGTCATAAGCAAAACTCACCCTGCTCTCTCAGGCAGGCGCAAGGTAGATGGAATCGATCCGTTTACTCTCAGTAAATGTAACAGTTCCAAATACGCTTCGATCCTCTCATCGTAGAGTATTTCGAACAGTTCTATTTACGTTGAGTAACTGGATCAGTTCCGTTTACGCTACGTGATATACCGTGGAGTAGTTGGAACAGTTCCATTTACGTTTCGATAGTCATCGTGGAGTGTTCGGATCAGTTCTGTTTACATCGAGTAACTGGATCAGTTCTGTTTTCGCTACGTGGAGTAGTTGGAACAGTTCGTTTACGTTTCGATCGTTACGTGGGATTTTCGGATCAGTTCTGTTTACATAGAGTAACTGGATCAGTTCCGTTTACGTCCCGTGATATACCGTGGAGTAGTCGAACAGTTCCATTTACTCTGCGCCGCAGCAGCAGCAACAGCATCCATTACAAAAGTCATCCACCACACTCCACCAAGTCTCTTTCACCTCACCCAACCATTGCGTGATCCCTCTGCTTGTTTGTTGTTGCTGCTGTTGTTGTGGTTTCTACTACTGTTACTGCTACTACTACTACTCTTGGTTCCACTGTTGTTTGCGGTTTGCTTCTGCTCCAGTCACTTGCACCATGGCATCTCTTGGTGGGAGACCTGAGTTGGATTTATCTCCTGGGGAGCGGAGTGACAGGAAGAAGCAAAAGGTTCAAGAAGGCAGGGATCAGAGTCAACTGCTGAAGAACTTTAAACTCCAGAACTCTGTCTTCCTCATTGTGGTTCCCGAACAACTCATTGACTATGAGCTCTATGGTACTGAGAAGGCCGCCTTTGAACACCATGAAGAAATTAGCTTTGAGAATCGGTATGACATCCTTGAGCTCTTAGACTTTCATGACAGGAGTTCAAACTTCATGAACACTCATTTGTATGGATCGATCCACAAAAAAATTCCATTCGATCATCCCGGTTTCAATGCAGAACTCCAAACGTTGATTGCCAACAATCAGATGGACACACTGTCTACTGCTATTGCCGCCACGGAAGACAAGCCATCCCACTTGGTTGTGCCACACATCAATCAAGTAATTGCCCAGCTTCTTCGCCAGAGCATTGGCAATCTTCCCGTTCCGGATGGCCAGCAGTCGCGTCCCCCAAAATTTTGCCTTGTGAAGCAGACTTCACTCGTCAAGGGCATCTATGAGCGTAAGGCTGATCTCACGAAGCTATTGTCATCCAATTTTGATATCTGTATTTTTGGAACAGATATTGGTCTATGGGAGAATGGCTACCTCCAGGGTGAAACTGATAATGTTCTTGATCCAGCCAAAAAGGAGGCCTTTCCAACTCCCTTTTTGCCGGAGTATATGAGCTTTTGTGGTGATCTGGCCATCTTTGGTAGAATGAAGTTCTATCCACCCCTGTCAGTGACGAACGCTTTCCAGGACAAACCCCTTCGTGATCATGCCCTCAAGCCTTTGCGTGCGCCCACATTGGAAATTCAATTTGGATTGGATAATGTCCAATACCCTGGTGGCGTCTACCCCACTCCGTGGTCGAATACTACTTGGACGCAGATCTACAACAAGTACTCGATAATCATTTCGACTGAGTGTGGAAGAAACGATAATTCTCTTGAAGTGCCAAGGGGCATCAAGTGTGGTAGTCAGGGGTGGATCGAGGCAAATGGGCTTGCCATCAAGCCAATCATCAGTGTGGCGCCCTTGGTGTTCTCTTGTAAGTAGGCCCTTAATGGTGTGAAGAAGAACATGTCCCTGCCTGGTGAGCAACTTGTAAACAGAGGCCTTCCCTGATTGTTTGTTTGAAACGTTACATCAACCATAAGAACTTCTGGATACTTCTGAAACAGTTTTCTCTCTTCTTCAGTGCACCAGGCACAAGCAAGGAACACCTTTTTGCCCACTTGCATATCTTGCTTCATGGCCAATAGTGCCTCTGCAATACCAACCTTCTCTGCAGCTGACTTAAGTCTCAGCTGCTGGACAGTGGAACTGGAGTCCTCATAGGTGAGCTGTATATCTTCAGCTTGTTCCAGGTCCTCATCAAAGACACCTCATTGTTCATCTGTTGAGCCCTCCTATTCATGCTGGCCTTTGAAATGGTTAGCAAACTTGTCTCAGTGACCTCGTGATACAATGCAACGAATCTCATCTTCTTCAAAGATACTTGCTCCCTGAGGTACTGATAAGAGCCTGGGATTGGATACAGGTTTGTTAGAAGTGGGAGACTTGTTGTAACGGAGCTGATCTTTGGAAGGTGCTAGGGTGCCAGTTGCCTTGCTAGTCAAAGCCATCGCGGCACCGGCAGGACAGATTTGGCTATACGTTTGGGCCAGATTCAATTCTTCCTGCGAGTAGGTTTTCATTCTTCTATGTTTGTCAACAAATGGAGTTCGAGAATGGTTGTGAATACCCAGTGCCTTACGAGTTCTCTTGAAGTACCAGTACTGGCCAGGGATCAACCTCAATTTGAATTCAACAGGGCATTTTTTGTGGGGCTTAGATGTCTCGGTTCTGCGGGGAAAGCTCCTCCCATCTGACCTCGACTACCTTTCCCCTTGTCGACTATTCTATCCTGTCTAAAGTTTTCCTTTTGGTTCTCTTTTGCCGATGTTGTGGCGCCCCGTTGACTGTAGTATTTTCGCTTGCATTCACAAAGTAAATAGTAGTGAATCTCATTGCCACAGTTTTGTCAATCTTGCTTTGATAAGAGTTGTGTCAGAATGTTTCATAGCTTTGTCGATGATCAAGTCTAGAGTAACATCTTTCTTATCAGGATCAGGTTCATAGATAGAAGGAGGAAGTATGATCTTTGTTGTTTCCATTTTAGCTGCAGTTTTGGCATAATCTCCATCAAAGCAGAACATGCAGCAAAGGTCAATTGGAGGATTCCCCTCCACATCCTCAAGGCTAATGGAAGGTACCAACCAACTGACTTCTTCTGTAGAAGGCTGGATACGTGGATTAGTTGGTGTTGGAAACATGGTGCACTTGTCTGAAATCTCATGAGCTGACTACTTTAGGAATGAAATGAAAGGGCACATTGTGTTCAAAGACCAGAACCTCTTTAAAGGCAGCAACCATACCACACCAATGACAGTTTAAGGCGGACAGTATTCGGAACGGTTCCGATTACGTTCCGAGAAGGTTCGAGAAGTTAACAGAACTGATCCGATTACATTCTATGGAACGGTTCCGTTTACTGTCCGCCATGACTACGTGAGTAAATAGATCCGTTCTGTTTACATCACGTAAATGGAACGGTACCAAATACCCCAACGGACGAGCGGGGTGACTTTTGCTTATGTCTAATCCGAAGTGGATCTTTCTTCGGATCTTCATGTCTGCCGGCTTTGCATGTCTCGGCGCATGCCGCGCTTAAACCTGGCCACAATTCAGCGTGGGATACAATGCTGGAGTTTGGGGTAGGAATAGCAACTCGGCAGTCTGGCAGAGGGTTGGTTCCCTTGGCGGTTGCTCGAGTACTGTAGGTGACAGTCTTGGTGACAGTCACTCCCTTCCGACGTGCCATTGCTATTTTCAAGCAACCTAACTGGCTGGGGTGTTTGCTGGAGCAAACCTTTTTGTTGGCATGCCCATCTAAACTTTAAGCGTGCACTGCTGTTTCTAGTAAGGCAACATATTTGGTCTCTAAAGCAACATTGACTATAGTATGGTATCTTAAACTGGCCATATCGGAATGATTTAGATACTCAGGCGTAAGGACAGTGGAGCCAACACTGGGTGCGTCCCTCGTCTACTATTTCGTTGGCGCCTGGCTCCTTCACCGATTCACTCATTCAGCAAACACACTGCTATTTTCGTTTGTTCTTGCTTCCTCTACTTTTGGGCAATCTCAACTGACATCGAGAGAGATTCAACCTTGTATTTCTTGGCAGCAGCTGCCTTGGCGACCAGCTTTTTCATCGCAGCATTGTCTCCAATTCCACGGACAGAGCTCTTTCCACTGGGCATGTCGGGTGCAACCACAACATGGCATGAAGTGCTACCAACCAAACCAGCAGAGTCAGTGGCCGATACTACAATATCGTAGACTCTCTCCTGCACTCCGGAAGGAGCATGGCAGAACGATCCATCAGAAGCTCGAGTTTCGCTCTTGCACCTGCGCAGTTGACACGACCAGAGCCGATGGAAAAAGCAATGGTTAGATCAGATCGTCCGTGCGAGCAGCCAAGCGCAAGCAATAATTCAAATCTTGTCAACAACGTACGAAGCGGCGGCAACAAAAAGGTCTGCTTGTCCATATCCTTGAGGGGAGAAAACTTCGGCCAGGAATGCGCTTTTCTTCTCGTCAAACTCGTTGCTGCTAATCTGGACATTCACTTGCACAATGGTGGCGCAGTTGTCCTAAAACAGCAATTTGGAGCAAACGACACTGTGAGGGACCTTTGCTTCGAATGCACGTGGAAGCCATGATGGAGCGAGCCAATAATGGGCTGTGATCGTACCTCCACATTGTAGAAAAAGTTGGTGGGGACGACACCAGCCGCCCCAGGATCCGCCGAGAGTAACAGAGTCTTTCCATCGGCTGTGATCGAGGAGGCGCCTGTGAATCCGCACGTAACCATTGGTGATGTACTGTCCATGCTGACAATGAATCTCTTTGCCACGGCAACAAGCTCCGGTTCATCGGGAATAGGAGTCACGTCAAACTCAGCAGAGCATTCTCCTTTGGTTCCAACCGCGACAATTTCCAAAGGCACTCCTTCATGGTGCTCCAGCGATGCTCGGAGAAACTCAATTGCATCTTCGGCGCTTGTGAACAACTTGTTGGGCATTGTGATGGACCCTGTTGCTGTGTCTTTGTTCCACCCCAGGCAGATAGGAACCTCTACCACCACAACTTGACTTTCAAATCCATCGAGTTCTCGAGTTCCCAACTTTCTGCGGAGGTTGGTGGCTATGGTCTGTAGGTTATCATTCATCGTCTCCATATTGCCAAAGATTGCTTCAGGCGAAAGGAAGGCCGAAGGCCTGGAAAAGGCTACAGGAACGCCAAACTACGGCATCAGCTCGTGGAATTGAGCGAACACTTTTTTATTGAAACAGATCCCTGCCCCACCCCCGTGCCGCAGGACGAACCTAATCAGTGAGCTCTGGTCGGCTTTTTCACTTCGGCTGATTACTCTGCCTGGCTGCTCTGCTTAGATGCAAGAAATTCAAAGCATCTTGCTGAACAAAGTTTTTGATTGCTTCTGCACGGACTAGTACAGTGACGTCGTCGTTTTGCTCCACCTGTGCTTCTTTCGATTGTGATTGCTCGGGTGGATGGTGAATGGAAGAACTCGTTGATTCTAGGCTTGCGGGTCCTCCAGTATAGCCACAGCCAGTTTGGCCTGATCCGACACAGCATCGCATGATTCACAACTTCTACTGGTACCTGATGATCGAGAGACCATTATCCTTTCCATCATGACATTGTGAGTATCGTTGACGTCGCCACTCCAGTTTGTCGGAACCTTGGCCTTCTTCTTGGGCGAGGTGAACACGCCGTGACTTTGCTGCACCTGTGACTGCAATTTTGTGGGTTGATTTTGCATGGAACAAGTTATTGGGAGGCTTGTTGTCTGCTGTATTCCAGCAGTCATAGCATCTGGCACATGATCACTCTGCATGCTTTGCTTCTACCTGATGCGTGAGAAACCATTCTCCGTTCTGTCATGCAAGTGGCAATGGCTTCACCACTCTGATTAGTTGCATCGTTGGCCTCTGGAAGAGGTGGACACAGATTCCGAGAGCTCTGATTTGGATGCATCCATTGTTTAGTCAACAATGAGGAGACAATTCTGTTTGCCCGTTCAGTTCGCTTGCAGCGTGGTAATGCTTCAGTATAAGACGCTTAAGCCTTTGGATTTGGTACCGGTGGCAGTAGGATGAAGCATTGAGATTTTAGCCAACCAAGGTACCGTTGAGACAGCTGTTTGGCTGACGGCTGCTCAGGAACCAGGTATTCAGTGTTGGAGGTGTCGTTGTCCAGCTACGCTTGTCCCTCGGGCACATATAAAACTCAATCATGAAGCTTCCAAATTCGGCACCTCCGGAGGAGGAGGAAGTGCAACAAACTTTTGCGTTGCCTCGTCGGTCTCAAAGTCTCAAGTTTCGAGCTAGTCTACTAGACGCACGTTTACAGTACGGACCAAGGTTCGTTCCAATCTGAAAAATCACAGCTTTGTGGTGCACTGGAAGTGCGTTTCAATCCAGCTCTTGGGCCTCCAAGACGGTGACAAAAGCCTGTTGACCCCACCTCACACCTCAGATCCTTGCCAGCCAGGCTAGTAGAAGCCAGCGATGGAACGTAACAACTAGAAGAAAGAATGAAAGGATACGAACGAGATCCGGGGGTGCAGCTTTCTTTTGACCCCCATTTCCTACCTGTCGGTGTAGACCCTTGCTAGCTACCAGGTAGTAGCTGGCCAGTGATGCAACTCTTAGACGCAAACACCAAAAAGACTCGGAAGAGTAAAAGGATGTGAACTAGAGTGACGAGTCAGTATCTCGCTTGGGGGTGACTTCCAAACAGCTCTCAATCTGGCGTGTTCGGACCGCAGTTGTGGCTTGGAAATGGTTCAGTGTCTGATTGAAGATTCACCTGATTCTGTACTCGGAGGATGCAGAAGAGCCTAGCGTCTCCGACACTACAACGCTGGCAAGCGCAAGAGTCCCTGCAACGGCTGTCAAAGAAATGATGTACATCACGTTGGCAGCATACATTCGAACGCGAGGGACTAGCCTCCCACTCGGGACGTGCTCAAGGCACTGGAACTAATAGACTACATTCTCCATGCGTGCACTGATCCACACAACTCGTGACAAAGGTTTTCAACTTCCTTCGTGGCTGCTGAGAACAGCCATTCGAGGCTGTGGTGACAATCCTACATGTGCCCTTGTTTGGGACGGAAACGGAGATCTGCCCGTGCATCGCTGGATTCGAGATGTGTCGCCCAAGCTCACGAGCCAATGGAGTTAACTGTTGCAAAGGATGTTCCGGCTTGCCCCCGAAACTTTGTCCATCCATTCATACGTCTTCTGGTGTTCTTCCTCTTCACTTGGTCGTACGAGACAAGCAGATACACTGGGAGGGAGGCGCGAGCATCCTGGTGGATGCCTATTAGTATCCCCAGGCTTTGGTAGTCAGATGCAAGAATCACTTGCTGCCATTTCAGGTTGCCGCCACGAAAGGTGGAGGTTCCCTTGATGTCATTTACGGTTTGCTTCGAGCCAAGCCTGATGTTATGCTGTTTGTTTTAGTTACAGAAATCCAGCTTTGATTCGGTTATTCCAGCTCAGAGTCGGTCAGATTGACGAGTATACACTGGACGCTTGGCTGATATATAGTCTTATGAATATAGTACGTATCTATGACTCTATCGCTTCTATGTCTCGATCTGTTTTTCCGCTTTGTTCGATTCCTTTGCCCTTGATATAGACTAGATTAGGCAGCCTTGGGGGCCTTGATGTCGGCATTGTTGCCATTGTGATACTTGGTCGTTGGTTGGTGTGCCTGCAAGGCCCTGAGGAATGCCATGCCCGTGTTGCAATCCTTTGTGGCAAACTGCTCCAACAGGTTCACGATCTCTTGAGGTTCCAGACTGTGATTACTGCTGCGCATGTTTGCATCTTCTTTCTTTGGGCTTGGTTTGTTGTCTGTGGCAGTGTGTTGGCTGGGGCATGCCTTGGCTGTTGAGCCTGACTCTGAATGCGCCTTGGTTCTCTTGATGCCAATCTTCTTGCTCTTGTTGGTCTTGTCCTTTTTGCTGGCTTTCACGAGACCCTGCATGATGTAGTCCAACTCGGCAGTCGAGTCAACCCCCGGATTGCCACTATCACTGTTCGCTGTGAAACTGGACTGGACATCTGCCAAGAGCTTGGATCTATGCTTTTCGTCTGCCAACATTGCCAATACTTTAGGAGGAACGTTCTTGATGTTCATGGGGAGAGTGGAGTTGTGGTTTCCCATTATGGTTTGTTGTGTTTGTGTTAGTGTTTGTTTTGTGAGGTGTCGGATGAAAGCTGGATGCAGAAGGATGGGGTTGGTGCGGAAAGTGCGATGCATCTGGATCTGGATCCTGGGGCACTCCCGGAACCGCTCCATGGTGTTCCTTGGTTCAAGAGTTCCCAGCCAGGATCGAGCTTCTTGCTCAAGAGTCTTCCTCGACTCCCAGCCACCGCCTCAGCCGTCCGCACTCCGGATGACATGGGCAGTTCACTAGGACTATTTAGGGACGACTAAATACACCTGTGTGTGCAGTGTCGAAACGATAGTGCT